GTTTCGGCACTTCGACTCTCTCCCCATCAAGTTCGAAATCTTCCAGTGAAGGGAAGTATTCTTTAATCATCAGATCTTTCAATTCTGTCGCATGGCTTTTCAACATTATCAAACACAGCGGAAGAGGCATAGCATATGAGCATCACATTAGGTCTCTTGAGTCAATCGCTGACTGGTGTTCGCACCTTCGACTTCCTGTAATTCTGAAGCTGGACGGGAGCGGTACTTTTAAAGATGTCATAAATTGCTCGAATTCTTGGTCGTTCAGGATCCTCTGGGCCTGAAAAGTAATCGAACTGTGAGTGGTTATCAAGTCCTTCATCGACCCACGCGGGCATACCTTGTAGTACTCTTCGAATCTTTCATTCTTCATTTCAATTTTCGTATAGTCCGAATCTCTCCTTTCCGGGTTCTCATTTCTTTTTCGATCATAGTTGATCTTACGAAAACGGGGATGTGATTTCCTGCCCATTCTGCTGTACTGCTCTTCCCAAGTACCACTGCCTTTGGTCTGTATTCGAATGAAAGACAGTAAATACATGGTGAAATAGGAACACTCTAACTGGAAGTTTAAGGCCATACGTTAAATCCAAACAAAGCAGCTAATGTCTTGGAATATCTCAAGGATGGGCACAACTCTTGGGATGAGAGTCTTAACTTGGAAATTGCACACGTTTGGATGCATTATCAAGAAGAAATATAATATGCCCATTTTAGGCATCTCATGTAACCATATTCGGCGCTCAACACTTAGATGTCATCTCAAGTGGATGGCCATTGGAATAGTGTATTAGCAAAAACAAATGTCAGTGCCTCCACACCAGGGAATGAACCGGCGACAACCGGTTCGGAAAAGCTAACTAGCTAACTCCTTACAAGCAACTAATATCACTAGGCCCAATTACACATACATAACGGTTGGTCAACCGGGTAACTCACCACCACGAGAGAAATCCTACTCGCCCTTTGATTCCGAAATTCTTAGTCAGAGGATGTTTCAGATACTAGTAAAGTCAGAATTAGACTGGGTAATATGCGTGGGAAAAATCAGTAAGATATACCTGCGATCGTAGCAATATAGTAGTAGCAGCGTTTGCAAGGGGTTGTGTCGTATTTGTCGGGAGGGCGAGGTCCTCGGCACCAGAGCGGCATTCTCATGGTGGACTGAGACTTGTTGGGCAGATGCTTCGAGAGTCGAGGGATAAAGATGGGGGGCAGACAAGGGGGGGTTTATATAGGAAAACCGATAGATTGAGTCATTTAGCGTCATGCAGGTGGCAAACTGCGAATATTCCTCTCATAGATGGCCGCAAAGGGATAATAATTGCAATCCGTTCATGGCCGCACATATTGGACCCGTCATGATGGAGCATCTTTTGTGCACAGTTCATTTGCCTAAATCGAGGCATGTTGCATTTCATCTCATTCGATCCAGTGGCTGCATCTATGTGCAGACTGACAGGCTTTTTTGCCCACACACTATGGAGATGGCATGACGATCAGCAATGCTCCGATTCCCTTTCGGTGCTGAGAATGTTCACCAGGTTGTTCAAAAGACAATCGTCTTCCTCACCTCCAGTTGACAATAAGGACGGTGGGACGAAAACCTCCAGTTCAAAAGCCGCGACGCCCAACCAAGCCGAAAGGTACATATGAAAAGACCTGGCACTGGTATGACGTGAACAAATCCTTTTCCTCTCAGTACACTCACGCACTTCTCTAAAAATTCCAAGTGCACCCGAAGACTCGGTGCTGAACTGTTTGCGTGTGCTCATCTGCCAAGATATTGGTGATAAAAGAAAATTGCCACTTCTGGACACAGCTCACGACCAAGCAAACTATTCACAGACCGTTGGAAGACACCATATAATAAATGGCAGTCTTCCTAAGCCGGTCCCTGACCATCCAGGTGATGCCAGTCATCGTTATGCGGGGGAGGGCTCAGGTTCAATATCACGGGGTCGATACCGCGGTCCCCTTGGAGGACACGGCGATGAAAGACGATCCGGCTTTCGAGGCGCTCCAGGTGGACGACGCAAGGTTGCAATATGAAATTCTGAAGCCATGCTCTGCTCAAGCAAGATCCTGATCCATTTGTTCTCTTGTAGTCAGTTAAAAACTTGGATCTGCTCGGTGAAATGATGTTTGGTGCCGTTCCCTTGAGCCCGAAAGGTGTCACAACAAAGGTGCATTACTTCCGCGCTCCGAATGCGCAGGTTCTCTTGACCAAGGTGTTTACCATGCCGGCGGACATTACGGAGGAAGAAGAGGATACCATTACAGCTTCATTGTTGGCGCATACTAGGTTATCTTCTGTGTCGAGCTCATATTCTACTTGGAGTGATGCCTTTAGCGATGTTGGAGATCGTTCCCGGCCACTAAGCCGAGTCAATTCCTTCTCAAGAAGTTTCCAGCACGGTTTAGAGACGTCCGTCGTGGAGAATTCCTACAGCCGACCGGTGAGCTGGATATCAGACGGTGGTGGTCGATATGCTAGTTCCCCCACGCCGTCATTCGCTTCTTCTTTATGGGCCCTCACCGAGGGTAGTGAATCATACCGGCGTAGAAAGATTGAGCGTTTCAGCATGCATTCTGCAGAACGATCAGGCGACGTCAGCCTTTCATCTTCCCCCACTGCAGCAGGACTTTCATCTCCATTGAAGGTAACTCCAGTGGTTATCTGTCAAAGTTGTACAGCAGGAGACTCACTGCCGATATCTTGCAGAAAACGCGCCGGCGAATTGCGTACAGCGTTGCTCTGGTTTTGGACTGCGGCAGCACTCCTGAACTCCGCGATTTCTTTTTCACGCATTACATATTGATCGAGCGGCATCTACTTCGTCTTCAAAAGAAAGTGCTGGGAATAATTTTGGATTTTCTTCATGGGAAATCACAGGAGTTGAACAGCCGGCCGCCTTCATCTGTACGACGGGGCATGTTAATCATCTTTCGCCGTGCTCTGACTAATATAAACGTCATCCAGGACTCCTGGGCAACAATGACGACAGATACGTCTGACACACAAAGCTGGTTTACGACGCCATATGCATTACAAGGGGATGTAGAATTGGGGCAGGACGTGAAAACGTTTCGGAGAGACATTCAATTTCTGTTTGAAGCACCACGTTTGAAGGTGAGGTGGGAATTATGAGACCGGAAGACTGCTTGAAGTTGCACCTAAATAGTCGCGTAACAGGAGCCTTTGTGGCTCGATATGCTAACCTTCTCAGATAAGCGCAAGAACATGGCGCAGTCCTTGATCACCAATCTTTGCGAGCTCACGAAATCTGTAGATCTGGCAAAGACAAATTTGTATGCCCTTGCACAGTTGCGCTTTTCGACCCATTCAAACGCTTAACTCGCTTGCCAGGTTCCTCTCGGAAGTGTTGACCGGTGTGCTGGCCCATCATCTTGCGTGGACTGGGACTGTCGCATCAGTTATCGAGGCCAAGGGATGCAGAAGTGGCGCAAAGGTTTGTTTAACGCCAACCGAATAGAACATTCCTGGTCCGACTGATCTCCATTCGGTGGTAGTGCATGAGGGTTGATGGACCACCATATAACCCCTATCTAGCCCAACTAAGTGACCTTTATGGAAGCATTGGGGCTCCACCTAAAAGCAGCCGTACAATAATTATTGGACGACGCAAACTGGATATTGTTCGCAAGCTTCTGTCCATCCTGAGCTATTTTATGCGATGCGGCGAAGTTATAGAGGATATACAGAACATGGAGCCTTGGACAGATGTTTCTTCTGAATCTTCTGAGAGCTTCACTGGTTACTTAGAACTCCCACTGGCACGGTATGGAGACTGATATACGCAGGATCGTCCAGTAACGTTGGCGAACGTCGTATTGAAAGGGATGTTTTGCATCAGAACCTCCATCCTGCGGACGATCCCGGATCCCACCAGCGGATCTCAGGCCTTACCCCTACATCGATTTTCGTACGCCCGGTCGCTGTTAGGTGACACCTGTTCCCGTTATGGGCCTGATTTCGCTTTGATGGCCGTGCCAGATTTACCGGACATGGCTACATTGAAGTCGGACCTTCAATTTTTATCTGAGGTAAGATGAAATGGTGCCCACGTCAAGGTGCAACTGTGGCCTATACGAACAACCCATCTCCTGCTTCCCGTCAAGGTGTCAAGTGGACCGGCTGCGATGATATTCGTTAACATCGACGACAGTACATGTCAGGTCGCACAGTATACCCCTCCCTCCTTCCATTGTACCGATTTCGAAGTGAAAGCAGCTTCAGCATCACCATTAATTACGGATATGCTCAAAGGGTTATATGGTAAGGCGGTTATCACTTAGTTCATTCCGATATTGTCAAAGCGTTAACATATGCTTCCAGGACTGTGGGCTTGTAGGCTTCCGGCAGAAACATGCATCACATTCTTGGAGGACCAACTGCAGGAGATATACAACAAGAGCATCCTGCTGTCAGTAACTCTTGCCAGCAATCCCTCGATCGGTTTCGAGACTTTGGTGTCGTTACTGGGGTGGGTTCAAACGCGCGACTGAAGGTGGTACGCCTTGTATCATTCTTATAAACTTGCTATTACAATCCAGCGTCCACAGAGACGATATGCAATTATTGTTACCAGGTGAGAGCCACAGGCACGTGAGCGCTTGCGCAGATACATATTAACGCCGACCGACCCCACTAGTTGCATCCACGTTTGACGAAAACATTGAAGCAATGGTGGAACAGCGACCCTTACTGAGTCAAAGCGTGCGTCGACCTACTTCCAATGTCTCATGACACGACGGCACCAGCAACAACCTCTGTACAACTCTGCCTTCATCCTGAGCGATTGCAGTGTTGTGGGTCGTTACGATTCCTAACAGCTGCTTTCCTCATTTGATGACTCTTTCAGCGTTTGGATCTTAAAAGACCCTGATCAGGACCGATAAAAGCGGGTCTGCATTGCAAAGCTCGCCTTACCTCCTTGAGATTGCGTTCATGCCGGTCTACACAAAATTGCACAAGTGGGGAAATCAACCTATCAAGTAACAAGGCAAGGGATCGCACCAGCAAGCCTCCGTGAAATGATGCTGCTATTATTTCATCTGCACCCGCGTGTGTATCATCATCATCGTGCTCGTGATGCATGCTAGTACAGCGATCGTACGCTTCACGCTCTTCTCGCAGGAGCGTCGTTGGCAGTTTCTCTACCAGCTGGGTTAGGGTTTGCTGTGTTATGAAAGGATCTCGAGGCATAATCAATAGAGGGATCGAGATCCGGCTGAATTTTACGAAATTGTAAGGACAATAATAATCAACGCGCCACCATCCTGGGGCATACCTTCCATCGCTCCCGGCTTGGAAGCACGTTACTTGGATACGTTCCGCCTAAAGCATATGAGAGATCATGATTTATCACAAGGGCTGTTCACAGCTTACCAGAGTGGAGTCAGTGTTGAAACACGAAAATATCAGACCAAAGAACCGATTGTCCAGTAACTGCATCGATCGTTGCGTATTCAAGTCAACATGAGACGGAAATACCGTGATGTGCGGATGACTGGCCGGAAAATCGTTAACAAACCTTCCTTTAAAGTCTAGGGTGATGCACCTACCTATGACTCCAACCAACCACCTTTGTTCCTGTAGCCTCCGCTTCCTCTATTGCATTACTGAGCTGGTTGCAAATAGTACAACTGGTCTAAGTTTTGGCATGCGCGAAAGTTCAGGTTTGTATACTATCAGCGTTACCTGTTCGTCGCTGATTTCAACTCGGTCTTTCCGCTTATCTTTGCGAGTCAAAATAAGGCAGCGGTCCACATTTGCAAAGTCTTTGCCATTTTCTTCATAATAGGTACCGAGAAGTAGAGCAAGAGTTTCTTCTTTTTCTGGAGAAGTGAAGCCGTTGAGACCCGCATGCTGCCGCACAGTTGATGCTCCATGCGTTCCAAGTGTGGGATGGATTCAATCGGATAATGGTACCTGTACACAAACTGTAGCTGAGACAGAGCATATGCACCTCCGCGCTCACATGGACAGCGCTGAGTGCCATGATGGTTGAGGTCCTCAAGTCATCTCGCCAGCAACTATCCCAATAACATCATCTGGCGTTATCACGTGATGTCTCCCATTTGGGGTCAAAGCAGGTCGCAGTTCCAAAAGTTATTTGTTGGGCAATGACCCCATATTCAAGAGGAGACGCTACTGCCCGACACGATTTTCGGATGGCAACTACGTTCTTACCTTTGGTTTGCAAGGAAATAACCAGATTGGGTTGAACGCCGTGGCCTTAACCAATGTCCCGGCCATCACCACGGCGAGGGGACATTGCGAACTTTACCTCGGCCAATGAGACAACCGGTGACGTACCGAATGATGTGCCGACACCACCTCGAAGAGGGCAAAGCATCAGTAACGGTCAGTTCCACTGATGCACGGATTGATCGTTGCACTTGACGTCCATTAGGTGGAGGAACGACTAACTAGAGGCTTCCCTCCGCAACTTTACTTTTAGATCCGACAACTATAGAGAAAGTGCGGCATATTGTGCGTACCCAGTTTGACTACGAAATCCTATTGAAGCGGCACGAACTGCGCGCCATTCGGCGACAGATAACCAGAGGCGAGGAGCTTCTACATCAGTTGCATCATATCATTATCAATGGTTAGTATAATAGTAACTGCGGCTTGCTAGTCTTCCCGCTATGTAGGAATGGAGTACACGACATTCGATATGTTACTTGTCCGTAATCAAGATGGCATTCGTTGTTACTAGTTAGAAGGGAGTCCGTAAATTACGATGACTACCTATTGCGGCTGAAACCTTGGACATAACCGGAACAATATATACCGTTCGCACATTTGTGATGACAATTGTGTGATATAGAGGCCTTTTCAATAGCACTCGAAGATTGCATACTAACCATGCTTTGATCTTCTACTCTATTTGTTCGGAACGCCAGGTCCCTCAGCACCACCAAGTAGGCAGGCTTCTCCACATCAAACAAGCGTCCACACTCGTAGTTCCGGACGACCTACCCGAACCCCCTCTACCCAAAACAAACTTTTGACGCAAGTCAGCGATGTGCTTTATTCTCGCAGGGACGATGGCGCATATGTTAGGTACGGGTGATCTAATCTAATTTCCATACAGGTGGCATACATAATTCATTGGTGTCGTATTTCTAGACTGACGTGTCCCGTCTGTGGCCGGTGGGAATTTGCAAATATGCAGGGATTTCTTAATCACTGTCGTATCAAACATCAAATCGAATTTCCATCCCATTCGGAAGCTGCACGATCATGTGGCACTGTTGTCGTGAGTGCGCTTACTTAGAGTGTTCTGCTTCGCTTGGCACACAGCATCTCTAAAACTCATCAGGACGAAGGTGAAGTTCCCGCTGGACATGCTGCCCGTCGGATGCCCGTCAAACCGGTCGTATTCGACAAGCCAACCAATTTCGTATGGGGCATCTCCGCCTCCCTGGGCAGGTAAATGAATATTCCACAATCCATCAGTGGATGTGTATGTCCTTCAATAGAGCCAACTGACAATAGAATCATGAATCAGCCAGGACGAAGGGGAAGGGGAATCTGCTGCTTCAACTACCGCTCCCACTGGTCCGGAAAAGCAGCAAGTATGTTGAGTCGTACGCAAAAGCGCAAGGCTGATCGCTGATGAAAATTCATCCTACTCATCAGCCGAAGATCAATGTGTACGAGGAGGATATTGACATGATGGATTTGGAATATTCATCGCCAGCACTGAGTTCATCAGCGCTGGTTCGCGATGATACCGGACTAGGCGGCGAAGTGGCTGATGAAGCTGCGTGTGCAACACGTTTTATCCGGACATCCCCTACGGCTGTCCCCGGAAGAACACTCCCGTGGAATGCGGGACTAGACGCTAGTCCTCGGCAATGTGCGAATGAGTATCCGATGACACAAAGTGCCAAGGGTGATAATGAGGCTGTTAAGGACGTTGTGCAGGTTTTCACATCACCAGAAACCGGTGACAGAATGTGGACAGACCAACCAGGAGACGCGACCACAAAGGGCGCAATAGAGACTGTTAACACACATTCTGGAATGACTGACGGCTATGGGAGTTCCGTAAGGAGTCCTGTGAAGCTGGAGTCAGATGGGATAAGCGATACTGGCAAACCGTCAGACAACGAGGAACATGAGGAGGAGAAGCCAAATACAGAGACCCCTACCCCGTAAGAATGCCTTGATGATTAGATGTCCTACATGTGGGGATTGACAATTCGTTGGGTAAAGCTCTGGTCATGGGCTGTATCCATCTCATCTAGCAGTCGACGCGGGATCCCGCTTTTATGTAAAACGGCAAGTAGTTCTCGGCAATGTATCCCGATTTATTCCTACAGGTGAGAGGTTACTCTTTCGGCTAATACGTCCCAGTAATGACTCCTTGAAATTCACCAGAAAAACGGGAGCCTGGGATGGAGAAATACGAATTCAAATGGATGGTGTATTTGCACGGTCCAACCACTGTATATATCAAGCGGCTGCTTGTATTACCGCTCAAGGCTGACATTTGTGCTGTCTTAGAACGAGGACATTACTCCATTTGTACGGAAAGTGCGTTTCTATCTTCACCCGGACTATCGACCATACGATGTCGTTGAGATTTCTGAGCCGCCTTTTCGATTGACGCGGTATGGATGGGGTGAATTTCCTGTCCGATTACAGGTCTACTTTGTCGACGAGCGCAATAAGCCAGTGGACTTTATACATATTTTGAAGGTATTTGTCCGTATCACTGATTGACTCCAGCACACTACTCTAAATGCTGCTTGTGCCGGTATCCATTTCTTTCGGTATTTAGTTGGATACATCAAAAAGTGGGCGCCAGGTCCTTGGAACAGAACGGATCATCGATCTTGAGCTAGATCGTAACACTGAATTTGCAGAGTCCCGTCAAAACATGGTCGCTGACAACGCGATGGACACTGGGACGTCGGATGTCACACAGCCGGAAAAGTCCCCAAAGAGTGCTTCACCTTCGGCCCCTGCCACCGGTCACAGTGAATCACTGGCCATAACTGCCAAAGCTATGAATGATTTGTTAGAGAGTGCTGTTGGTCAGTTTCCGATCATTAGACCTGGTGAGCTTCTGAAGGATTGTAACTGCCTATTATGTGGCTGGACTAATCCACAATATCAACATGGCAGTTGCATCGGGCACCCGGCCAAAATTGTCCTTGCCATATTCCACTGCACCGTCAATATCGGTATACATGTCTTGGCCCCTTGGAAAGAGGAAGGCGAGCGAGGTAGGCCCAGTGCGTAGGGAAATCGTATTTTATGCGATGATCCTGACACCATGCGATTAAAGTGGCAACGTGCACGACTGCTTTTGCGACATGTGCAATCACAATGTGATACATATCAGGGCCAAAAGCTGACCGTTAGAGACGTTATGCATTGGTGCCGTGACAACGGACACAATCCCACTCCCCAAGTTCGGCGAAAAGCGAGGAGCGGATCTCCTCCAGGACCGAGTCATCTTCGTGATGTAGTGACGGCTATTCAGTACTGTCGATATTGTGGCGTCGCCGGAGCCCACGATGGGGCGTTCGATGACTGTAAATGGCGACCCCGGATGTGGAGGAGTCGCGTGTGGAGCCTGTCAAGGGCAGATGATTTGCTGCGGGGTCTAGATGCGAGCGGCGAGCGACCAGTTGAAGGTCGGCTGCTGACTAGGCGACAATATACATACATAATTTTAACGGCATTTCTCTGCATTCTAGAAGCCGATATGGATATCGTAATTGACAGCATGCGCGATCCTTCCGATGCCATGGCTCATAATGGTGCTAATACTTCAATGACAAGGCGGTGGTATTCGAATCACCATCCCACTGCGAGCCAACAAGAAATAGATTGGATTAGTCGGACGGTCGAGCAGTTGAGGTTACCTGCAACGTTTGGGCAAACAGAAACTGAGAAGCGCATAGCGTATGGTCTAATCTTTCAGGTACCGCTTTCGTGTTGTAGAGAAGTATTGTTCTGTTCTCATCATTGTCCTCGTGTAGGTCGCAAAATCCTTTTTGCGTCGTTTACTGGAAAATGCCATTGACGTCTACCGGAATGAAGCTGTCACGAGCGTATCTTCAGAGGGTGACCAAGAGAAGACCGATACCCGTGAGCATCGATCTGCGCCATTCACAAAAATCCTTGTTCCTCTTCATCTGTACAGAGCATTGGTTGACACAGAGGAATTTGATTTTCTTACTGGCGCAGGGCTGGCTCGTTAAAAAATATTTATTTTGCTTTTACTGTACTAAACAGACAAGGGTATATAGCAAAGGATTTTCAAGTAAATAGAACTAATGCATATTTGGTCGGATGCCACACATAATAGTATCAAGCGTCGTCGCCTGCTGCCAATTGAGGATGAGCGGCAATTGGCTTCATTTCTTGCCAATATCCATCGCAGGGCATCCCCCAAAAGCCACCACATTTTTGCTGATACTTTTCTGCCCCCTCGAATGCAGGAGGCAGGGCAAACTTATTGCCATAAGTATGGCCAACTGATCCATCAAGAAATCTGAGGGAGATGCAAACCGTGAGCAAGGTAAGACAGGGAACCAAGTAAAGCATGTTCTTTACCTTTTCATCATGAACACGGCAATTATCAATAACACCGCAAACATGATTAACGGAAGCAGTTTAAACCCAGTTCGCGATTGGGAAGAAGATTTTTCAGAGGGGGCGACATCCCCTTGATCATCAGTGCCATCATCTAACATGTCCCCCTGACAGTTGTCTTCCTCCATCGAGAGTGGTGCCTGCCCAGATTCCATTAAATAGGTGTGAGCCAGCGCAATGAGCGCTGGATCAAACTCTAGCTCCTCCAGATTCTGTTCATTAGTATTGGGTTCTCCAGTAATATGATGAACCGAGATGAGGGTGGGGTCCATCAACAGCTTCTCAAATGCCACACGATCTGCGTCGCCGATAACAATACCATCCACCGGAGCATTTGCTGTGTATTCAACATACAGCGGTTCTTGAGGCTCAACATTTCCACTATGATCATGACCCGAGATGAGGGTGGGGTCCATCAAAAGTTTCCCAATTGAAACACCATCTGCGTCAATACCATCCACCGGAGCAGTTGTCGGCTGTTCAACAGACAGCGGTTCCACATCTGCAGTATAATGAATGGAAACCTGCGCAAGATCCCATAAGAGATCTTCGAACGCGACACGATCTGCGTCCTCGATAACAATATCATTCAGAGGAGCATAAGTGTCGTTGATTGGCTGTTCAACACACAGCGGTTCTTGCGTTACGGTGGAGTCGTTTGGATTTGCAAGTTCAGCTACATCACAAACGAAATTCTCCACAAAAATTGCATCATCCAAAACGACTTGATTACTATCATCCTTCAGCGGAGTAACCTCATCCACAAGAACTTTGTTACAATCGTCCTTCAGCGGAGCAACGTCATTCATGGGGGCATCACAGACGACTGAGGGGCGGTCTTGCTTGTATTTCATTGCGATAGAGGTTACGGTAGAGTCTTTTGGATTTGCAAGTTCAGCTACATCACAAACGAAATTCTCCACAAAAATTGCATCATCCAAAACGACTTGATTATTATCATCCTTCAGCGGAGTAACCTCATCCACAAGAACTTTGTTACGATCGTCCTTCAGCGGAGCAACGTCATTCACGGGAGCATCAGACACCGAGAGGCGGCCTTGCTTGTATTTCATTGCGATAGAGGTCACGGAAGAGATGATAACAAAAGAGAAAGAAGCGTAAAAGAGGAATGAGAGAAGAGAGAAGAATTGGATTGAGAACATGATAAAAGTGGGCGAAATGCTGAAGAAAAAGGAGGAGGGGAACGCGAGATGGTCGCCTTTAAATAACTTTCGCGTTTTCGGACTTTCGGACTCATTTACTCCCGTGTGGCTTATCACCTCCTCAATAAAGCCACAATATATAGTGGCTGACCGTCACATGACGGACCGCTGTCTGACTGGCTCCAAAGCACGTCCAGTACGTGGAAGACGACTTCCTCTGCTTTTTGCACCGCACAAGGGCTTACTGTATGAGGACGGTGATCCTCCTCTTGACTGTGTTTGGTTTCAGGACGACTCGATTTTGCAAGATTCCCCGATAGAATTACCCCTGCCACGCGTATCTGTCACCTGTATACCGTTTCCTTCCAAAATCCTCCTACTATTATGTCTACCACAGGTGGTCTAACACAACGTCGGCGAAACGTCCTTTCAGATGGCGTGGAAGATTACACGAATGATGAACGTCCGCAGAACGAGTCAAAACCAGAGCGGTCCAAAAACGAACGCGCAGATAGCGACAGAGACGAGGAAGACGACGATTCGAAAGGCGGAAAGGGACCAAAGCTGACATTGTTGGAAGAGGTGTTGCTGTTGGGATTGAAGGACGCTCAAGGATACCTCTCTTTTTGGAACGATAACATATCATATGTGAGTGTATTAGGTTGCTGCACCTGCTTGACTATGAACTCACGCGCAGAATAGGTCTTACGCGGATGCATCCTCATTGAACTGTCTCTTCGCAATCGAATAAAAACTGTAATGGAAATTAGAAAGCGACCCTACGCCGAACGGCTGCTGGAAGTGATTGACGAGCGGCCAACGGGCGAGGTGTTGTTGGATGAGGCCCTGAAGCTGATAAAGCTGGATCAACAAAGCATATCAAGTTGGATTGACCTTTTGAGTGGTATGCGTAGTGCTAAATCGCAGTTTCCTGACCTCCTTTCTCAATTCTCGACCTTCGACAGGTGAAACGTGGAACATCATGAAGATCGGTTATCAGCTGAAGCAAGTACGGGAGCGGATTGCGAAGGGACTGGTGGACAAGGGTGTACTTCGAACCGAGAAGAGAAACTTTGTGCTATTTGATATGGCTACACATCCAGTGGCGGATCACAGCGTGAAAGAGGAGTTGATTCGGAGGGCAGTGGATTGTCTGCTTGGTCGAGGGCCACCTGCAGATCGGCGAACGATTGCAATGGTCTGCGCGGCTTACGCTGCCAATGTGCTAGAGAATGCTTTGGTAAATCTCGGTCACGCTCAGCGCGAAGCGTGTTTCCAGAAGGTGGACGAGATGTTGCAGGAGCACGCCGGACTAACCCAGAAAGCGTTGTCGGCTGGGACGACCGAGGTGATAGCTGGGTGTGTAAATGGTGATTTGAGATCGTCATCCTGCGTAATCATGACTTATTTTGCTTCTTCCCACTTGGCAGGGTATTGAGCGTGTACACGAAGATGGATAGTATTTTGTGACCAGAGGTTTAACCTTCGAATACCAATGGGCATACCAGAGGTCCGTTTACCTAGGGGACATACCCGCTGAAGGTCTGGTAGCTACGCAGCTTTTATTTTAGACAAGTTATTGCCGTAAGAGGAGGCCAGCAAAACCCAGGTCACCAATACGGTGCCAAATAATGTGACTGTATATGTCAGGATACCAATAACCCCTTGGTCACTTATCTGTCCCACCGGTATCTCCACTGTATAAGGACGGGTAGACATTTCCATCCGATTCCATCCTGAACGGATTAGGACATTGTCAGTATGCCCCTGGACAAGTTGGAAGAATTCGTGTTCGGTGATCGATGGTAGTGAAACGTCTGTACATACGTCCCAACCAAGAATGTAAGTCGGACATCAGTGCCAAGACGCCCACCCGATCACTCTCACCAGTTTCACGCGTCAGATATGCTGCAGTCTGCACGGTGTCTACAGCCACTCGCAAGCTCTGCGCTTGCGGCGCTTGATACCGCATATGATATGGTAAAGAAATGATTAAAGTGGTATCACTAGGAAGGACATTTAATGTGGGTGACGGTCCACAATCCCAGGTAATCCAGATTGGTACCTCTGCTGGGCAAATTGCACTCGTAGAAGGACTCCATTCCTCGTTGCAGTACTTGCATAAGCTGGAGCCTCCAAATCAGCATCTCCAACGCATGCGACGGTTACTCCCACAGGCCAGGAAATGCGTCCGATTTCATAGCGATCAGCAAAGGCTGCTGAGCCAAACCCAAGCAACAGAACCAGCTGTCCCTCTTTAAGCTGTTCCCTCCGGTGTATCGTAATCTGAAATTTTTGATGATAGCCATATCCAGGTAGGAGTTCAGTCTGCAATACGATATTGTCCTCACTAGAGCTATTGGGAGAGGAATGAGGAACAAGATCTTGTTTCATCGCAATGGACGCTGAATCCTGACCTTGAGTCTATCCTGCTTTGATCTTTCAACGAACTTGCATGACTCTGAATAATAAAACCGCACAATAACACGGCGAAGAGCAAACCAGAGATCAATGTGTGTTTCCCGTACATTTGGAAAAACGGGTAGCGGATCGATCTTCGTGCATCACGTCATATTCGCACAGTCATCGAACGAACACGTAAGCAGGTCATCGCCTTGGCAGCCTTCCTCATACAAGTGGACGCTGTACCCCAACCCATGTAGAAGGACAGAGTGGCCTGCTTCAACACCTGAAGCTCCGCATGGCGGCCTTGCAGCTTGGCTCTAATGCAGGAAATGGACAATATAGAGAACCTCAAGTGGAGTCTCGTCATAATGAAGACTCTGATGACCCTAGAACGCCATTGCTTCCCCAATATCGAGATCACAGCGGCCGGTTTAAAGAAGGGTAGGCAAACGGGTGACTGTCGATGTCTACAAAGCTCCTTACCAGTTTTTCTGAAACTCGACTCCTTCACAAAGGTTAAGCAATCTTGCACGATCTTATGGACTTGTCGGGAGCGCCGTGCGTGCCGGGAGTCAACTCTTTACAAAGTCAACCATCAAGGCGAGTATCACCTATAGTGTGGCCACGTTAGCCACATTTTCTCAATATTCGAATGAGCACCTCCAAGGAGCGAGCTACCTGTTCGCCACGGCTGTGTTATACTTCCATCCGTGAGTGTCTAGCACATGCCTTGGCTGGTCTTTCATCATGTTCTCACTCGGCTTCTTGACAGGGCTCGATCGGTTGGAGCAATGGTTGAGGCCCTGCTATGTTGCATTGTCGGTCTCACTGCTGGGTTTCTGATTGCATGGGGTTGTTTACATCTCGCCTTATATTATGAAGAGGAGGAAAAGAATGCCATGGAAGCTCACATATTTGCGTTAACAACCTTATCATTGGTAACCTTTATCCTCGCATTCATACGCGCCAAATTCGGAGTCAGCCGACCTGCCATAGGAACAGGTAAGAAAGAATAGACTATGATTCTTTTGGGTCGAACTAATCCGCGCACCCTCTAGGTTGCACTATAACGCACTTGCTCACGTTTATTGTGATCACCCAAATGGCTTCAGAGAAGTCGCTGCTTCTTCTATCGGAAAAGATTATGCGAGTTTCATTTGCGTTGTTGGCTGGGACATGTGTTAGCTTTCTTGGATGCTGTCTGCTGTGGCCAAAAACAGCGGCTTCCGTCCTGCGGCGCGACATTTCCAGCAGCCTGAGCAATTTAAGTTGTTTCTTCGACGTTTTGTCAAACACCTTTTCTTTAACATCGCCCCAAATGACGGCACTGCAATTCCCATCTGATTTGTCAAAGCAAGCATCCAGTGTAGACTTGGAGACTATCGAATCCCAACATGAGAGATTGGAAATGCTCGTGGAAGAGCATCAGGCAATGCTCCTTCGGATGGACACACTCCGATATGAGGTCTCATTTGAACCAACGACCAGCATGTATCTCCATCGGGCCAAGTACCAGGCCATTTTTGAGTCTGCTGAGAGACTCAGTCAGCACCTGGGCGGTCTGCAGTCCAGCATTGTACGGGTTGACACGATCATCACCCAAGATGCTGACAATATGGCCCTTCTGGAGTTCATGGAAACGATGGGTGATTCCTTACGCCAGGTTATTGTCGTGTGTAAGCAGAGCCTGTCCTTGATTGGCACACTGTTTGCGGCGCCAGCACAGAATGGCCAAGACGCTGACATCATCCTGCCGGCTTTACGGGACCTTGCTGCTAGATTGGCATCCGCATTGGACACTTTTGATGCGACGCAACGTCGAGTTCTCCTTGAAATCTATAAACATGTCCATGAGGACGTTTTCCTGGTGTTCTTTTTTGTGTTTGAGCTACTGGAGATAGGGAAGGAACTAATCCGATTGGTAAATGCGGTGGGCGAACTCAAACGGGAGGTTCTGGAACGACGACGATTAGGAAAAGTTGCGTGGTTCTGGCGAGCCATTCATCGCTCGGACGCTCATGATCATGTCCCGGTTTCACAGCATGCAAGGTGAGACTCGTTCAGGCTTATTTAGGGATTGAAATAGTGTTGCTTATTTGGCATCTCGACAGGGCACGTTTCGGCCGCACAATGACCGGTTTGCAGTCAGCCCCGCAACCGCGTGATCATGGACTTCCACGATCCGTATCTTTACCCGCGACAGCCAGACTTCAACTTGACAGCCCTCGTACAGTTAACTGCTCTGTGCGTATATGGACGTTTTTCTCCTCGCTCAAAAAGTTTGAAGTCCGGTTTGCGATCAAAACGGCCGTTACGGTGGCGTTGTTAGCATTACCCGCTTTTCTGGATTCCACTCAAGAGCTTTTTTATGAGTACGTCTCATTGTGTTCGGATATGTTCATTCAGGTCAACTTATTGCGACTTAGGTACCGCATGCATTGGGCGTTGAGTACGTTTGTTGTTGTGATGACTCCATCAGTGGGAGGCACTAATGCAGCGGGCTTATGGCGGATTTTGGGGACAATTGGAGGAGCCCTAACAGCTTTGGTAGCGGGTATCCTTTGTGCTGATAATCGCGTCGCGCTCTTCTTTGTATGTGCCGTGGTTGCCTTGCCTTGCATGTTTGTCTTCTTGCACACAAAGTATCCCAAAATTGGTCAGGTACTGGAAGCAGAAGGGTCGCTAGAAACCCGTATTAAAGATCTCACTTTTTTCTACCGTCAGATCTACCTTCTTACCTTCTCCATCATTATTCTCAACGACTATGCGGGAAAAGTGGATCCGGTTACTGGAAAGGATTACTCTATCTACGAGATTGCATTTCGCCGCGGATTCGCTGTTGTCGTTGGCTGTGTCGTCGGGTTATTTGTCTCTTGGTATATCTGGCCATTTACGTAAGTTATGCTAGAGTTTGGGATCTACCCCAGGACTCTTTGCTGACCTCTACTTATTGCACTGTAGTGCTCGAAAAGCGCTACGAGTTGGTCTCTCGAATGTACTACATGTTATACTCTTTGTTCCGCGTCCACATTGATGTACTCATGATATTTGTTTAGACACTATTTGATATGGGCCTCCTATACAGCAAGCTTGTCGGCTTCTTCGATACAGTAGATGAACCAACATCTCACGATCTACTCGAGTTTCTTGAAGATGAACTTGCGCTGCGGATGTCGTTGGCAGAGTTGCGGGTTCTTCTCGGCCAAACGGTACACGAACCGAGACTAAGAGGCCAGTTCCCAAGAAGCGTTTATGCGAAAATGATCGACGCCAGCGCGCAGATCTTGGATAAGTTTGTCTCCATGCGAATCGGAGTGTAAGGAAATGCCGAATTGGACTGCACGACAAACACGCTTTGCTAAATCATTGATGGCCTTAGGACCAAGCGGAGATTTGCCCACATTCGGTCCGATTTTATTGCGCCCGTAGAGCCCAAACGACGCAAAATGATTGGAAGTATGTTGCTGTACTTTTATATTCTTTCAGGGGCCTTGATTCTGCGGTACCCGCTACCTCCGCAACTTCCGAACGCACGAGACTCACGCGATCGCCTAATCGAAGCCATTCGCGCCCTGCCCGTGATTCAGCCCAGGCATGTGGGTAGCCAGGAAGACCCCATTTACATTTATTACTATATGTATGTTTTGGGAATGGATGATGTGATTGCAGAACTCGAAGTACTGGGACAGTGTTGTACAGAGTTGTTTGGTGTCATGGCGTTAGGTGATATGGGCGACGAATGGAGAAATAAGTGGGGTGACAGAGATTAGGTATACATATGGTTGAACTTTCTTCAGCGACGGCCATGTATGTAGCTGAAAGTGTAGATACTTTACAAGTTAATAAGAAACACAAGTTAGAGGACACACTGGCTCAAGCCCATACCGTAGTTAATATGGGATTGTTAAATGATAGGTCCCTCGGTGACCAACTTTCGAGATGGAAGTTCCATGAGAATGCCGGACGGTCACAGAACGTGAAAGAAAGTCAATTTGCTATTAATGCTTCCTTCTCGTTTGAACACGGGCTCTAGATGTTACAGTCTAACCTTCTTCCACTTGAGCTAAGGGCGCTACATGCCATTGTTTGGCGAATAATATTCAGCAAGGAAGCTTTCTGTACGCACAAGTACGAAGTGAAAGCACCAAAAACCGATGCAATGCTTTCTGCATCTCTGATTTGAACACGGAGCCTTTAGATGTTACGATCTAGTACTAGAGCTAAGCTCTACTGTTTTACAATAGATGTCGTCCTCCAGATTGGGCAGGAGCGCAAGGTAGGCCGAGTGAAAGAACAAAAAGAAAGCAGGTCACGACTCACGGGAATGCTCCTTCCTTTGAGCTAAGGGAGTTTACATCTTTCATCTTCCTGTCCTTCAATAAGTGATCATCAAGAGAGAAACATGCGCTCGTCCCGTTGACATCAAACTAACTAGGGAGACGGCAATTACTGTCCGATGGTACTGCGCTACATGCATTCAGATTGGGCAAATACGCACATGTAGGCACCAGGAAAGGATGAATGGTCCGAACACAACGGAAAAAAGTAACGGTTCTCCAGTATGAAAATGCTCCCTTCCGTTGAACACGGAACCTTTAGATCTTAACGGTCTAACGCTCTACCAATTGAGCTAAGGGAGTGCACAGTTTAACTCTTTTTTTTAACTATATCATATCGCTAAGCATGCCGATTGGACTACCGCATTTCCTTTCGGACCACATGCTTGTAGACAGACAGTGCCGGACATCCGCTACGGATGCGCCCTGCCTCTAACGCTGAAGGGAAGATTTGGTCTTTCGTTCTGGATGGTGCTATTCAAGCGGCCCTAGCTGCCTAGATTGTTACAGTCTTCCCAATGGATTACATCTAAAGTGCAGTACATTTGCCTCTTTTGTTCTTTTGCACTTCCTCAGATGAGGTACGAAAAGAGTTCCCTCCAAGAGTATGGCAAAGCAATGGAATGTACGTAGCGTCTCAAGCAACAAACTCGATCAAAATTTTATAAAATAGTCAGTAGTTGTGATTGAATAAGGCTAGCTTTAAAGGCCAGGAGTACATGCCTACCTCCATCTTTTCCAAGATGTCACCTAAGCATATATACTAGTAGTAGTAACTTGCTAGTCTTCCACACCGCCAGGGAGCATCATAATGCTCTCGTAACGCAGAGATCAACCAAGCGGTATGATCTATCAGACATGAACTGAATTGGGTACTGATAGAGTAGGAAATTCTACTTGGATAATGACGTTTTTCTTTTGCAAGACCAACTGCGACATCAACTCACCCCTGACTTGCAAATAGCTTTTATCACCGCAACTAACTGATGAGTGTAGAAATTCAAACGGTTTATAAGAGAAGATGTTAACGTTTACAGCCCTCCAAAAGTCGCTGCAGTTGCATTGTCCTTGTCAGTTAGCGGGTACTCATCTAGCAAAAGATTATAAACGCATATTAAGGCGAGTGGGCATAAAGCAATGACACCATCCGAACTCTTGGCGCAAATGTCTAGCAATCAAACCAAATCCCCCTCCAGAGCGCGACCAAGGCCTGGAAAACGTGCTGCAACACAGCCCACAAAGGGCGAATACCTGGCATAGGCTTAAAACCCTCTCAGTCCTTCCTTCTGCTGCTCATCATCGATTGCTCATAAAAAGCAAACTCCAAAAGGTATCTTCAAAGTAAGTTCAATTCATCTGACGTCACAGTTTGTTGGCATGACGCGCAGCACTCAAGAAGTTGCTCTGGCTGCAGAGAGTTTCCTTTGAGTTTTTCCATTTTCCTACTTGTGCCTTTTGTTCTATTTTTGCCATAACAGCCATTTTCCAGCAGCCGTTCTCCCCATTTGTATCATACACAACTTCTCCAACTTGGATTATTGTTTACTCTGATATTTCCTTTTTCTTGTCGAATACATACATTATACTCAGTCCTCTTTGTTCAACATGCCGCCTGTAGCAACTCAACCCGAGAAGCTAGACTCGAAACAGAAAATCGGAAAGGAGCAGCTTGACCCTGACCATCCTGGTCCACTTCCACCGGGATGCTATATCAAACCATCGCCTCCATTAAATACCAAAGATTTGCTGATCACACAGAATTTGGACGACTTTACGGCAAAGTATCAGGAAGCCGAAGCGTTCAAAGCAATGGAGAAAGCCCGCCGAGCTGCAAACTATCTCGCAGCTGCAATGATCTTTTTGAAGGATAATGTTGATTTGTCGCAGCCTTTGAAGAGGGAGCACATCAAACCCAGATTGCTGGGGCACTGGGGTGTGTAGGTCCATTGCCATCCTATTGATCTGCTTCAATACTCAATACCAGTTGTATGCAGGAACATGCCCGGCAATCACGTTCATATACTCTCACTGTGATAACATCATCAAAAAGCATGATCTAGACATGTTTCTCGTCGTAGGTAAGTTGCTGGCAGCATTGGTCCATCAGCTCCAGATTTGGCCACGTCTGAACCGTACTCCTTTAAGGTCCTGGTCACGGTGCTCCAGGAGTGCTGGCAAACTTGTATTTGGAGGGTACCCTTGCCAAGTTTGATAGCCGCTACAGCTGGAGCGAAGAAGGATTTCGCAACCTTGTGCGTGGATTTTCTTGGCCAGGAGGTTTTCCAAGGTAAATTTCGAATCCAGTACACTATCTTTGATATGGAAGCTGAATAAGGTCACTCTAGCCATGTTAATGCGGAGGTGCCTGGCTCTATTCACGAAGGGGGCGAATTGGGATATGCTTTAAGCGTCAGTTTCGGTGCAGTGATGGATAATCCTGACGTAATTGTAACTTGCATTGTTGGAGGTAATGCGAGCGGCTAATTCAGAACCATGGCGAATACTGAATCATAATGTTTATAATGAAGATGGAGAAGCCGAAACTGGACCTACCGCGACAGGTTGGCACTCGTACAAGTATATCGACCCCAAAGAAAGCGGTGCAGTCCTCCCGATTTTGAACGCCAATGGTTATAAAATTTCAGAGCCAACCATCTTTGGATCCATGGCGTAAGTGTACTGTGTGCAACGTTTTGTCGACATTTTCATTCATCCTCGTTGCATATACAGCGATGAAGAGCTTGCAGCACTCTTCAGTGGATATGGCTATCAGGTGCGCATTGTGGAAAACATGGAGAAAATTGATGTCGATATGTCCGCTGCAATGGAATGGTAGAGATACATCGTTCTCCGTGCAGTTGTTTCTGAAGGAGATGCATTACTGACACTGGGCACCCTAGGGCGTATGGCGAGATTCGCCGCATTCAGCAAGCAGCTCGCAGCGGAAATCCGATCGCCAAGCCTCGTTGGCCCATGTTGATTCTACGAACACCAAAAGGATGGACCGGGCCACAGGAGGTTCACGGGAAGCAAATAGTGGGCACTTGGAGGGCGCATCAAGTGCCCCTTCCTCATGTACATACCGACGACGAAGAGTTTGCGGCACTCGAGAAGTGGCTGCGGTCATACAAACCTGAAGAACTCTTCAATAAAGGTGTCCCCAATGAAGACCTGCTGAAAGCGTTCCCTAAACCAGAGCGCATGATGGGGTTTGTTGAAAAGTCTATTCAACATATACGGGGTTTGAGATCTGACTTTGTCGGTTCTACAGTCGCAACCCAAAAACATATGCAGCCTATAAGCCTCTTGACCTTCCTGACTTTAAGAACCTTGGGTGCAAGCAAACTCTCAAGAGAGATGAATGGCAAAGCTGCATGGTTGTGGGTGGCAAATATCTGGCGGGCGTGATTGAAAAGTAAGCCCAACTCATTGGATGTATGAACAAAGTTCTGATCCACATGCATTGTCAAGAAACCCGGCGAGCTTCCGCATCTTTTCCCCGGATGGTGAGTGCACCCTACAGCTGTCCCTGACGCTGAATGCCAGCTCAATCCTGATTAATCGCTCCTCGATGTACAGAACTTGAGAGCAACAAGCTTTCGGCTGTTTTGGAAAAGACTCACCGCAATTTCCAATGGGACCCCTTCAGTGACAAAGACGGGCGAGTCATTGAAGTCTTGTCCGAACATCAGGTATCTTTCTCAAAGCCATATTCTGCAAAGCAATATGAAGCTAACGTTTGAGCATTTAGTGTCAGGGTTGGATGCAAGGCTACACTCTCACGGGAAGAGTGGCACTATTTCCAAGTTACGAGAGCTTCCTGCCCATCATTAGTAAGTGATTTGGACGTTCCATCTGCTAGCAGAACGCATTGGTTGACATGAACTTCACTGCAAGCCACAATGGTCATTCAATATGCAAAGGTAAACCCCGGGCGTTGTGTATCTGAGAGTGACATCCTATAACGGCTTGTTTACCCTCCTGTCAGTTTCAAAAAGTTGCCCGCGAAACCAAATGGCGTAAAGACATTGCTTCAATAACTTATATTGAATCGTCCACATTGTGGAGGCAAGAACACAATGGTGAGGCTAGCCATGGTCGCAATGCATGTCTTGTATCTATCATTGACAAACCAAACTTTCGCTACATTCAGGTTACTCTCATCAAAATCCAAGGTACAAATGAGTATTACTCTGTTGTGTAATTGCCCTATCCACTGACGCCATCCAAACCACAGCTTCATCGATGCCTTGATCAATCTCAAGACAAACATGATCCGCATTTACTTTCCCCCGGACGCCAATACATTGCTGTCCACGATCGACCATTGCCTAGCTTCCAAGAACTATGTGAATCTCATTGTTAGCTCCAAACAACCCATGCCTCTCTGGCTTTCAATGGAGGTATGCCAAGATCCATAATGAGCTGCACCTACGTATAGGCTACAGCAATCTCTTTTCCGCAGGAAGCAATCAAGCATTGCAGGGCTGGAGCGTCTATCTGGCGTAAATTTAGTACTTACGAAGGGAAAGATCCTGATGTTGTGCTGGTGGGCTGTGGTAACGAAACTATGTTCGAAGTTGTTGCCGCGGCTGCCATGTTGAAGATTGATGCTCCTGATTTGCGCATCAGAGTCATCAACGTCACAGGTTTGCCCACAATCCCCATCATGCTACTGTTCTGGCATTTTTTCTAACCCTACTTTATGCGAAAGATCTGATGGTGCTGAGTGCTAAGGGTGGTCATCCGCATGCCCTGTCGCAGGAAGCGTTTGATGCACTCTTCACAAAGACACGCCCCATCGTTTTCAACTTCCACGGTTATCCGGCTGTGGTGCGCGGATTAATATTTGATCGAGAAAGTCTTGCTGGGAGACTCTCTGTGGTAAGCAGACCGATGCAAGTCACGCATTTCCAAAAATATCGCTAAGTTTTCCGACCTAATTTGTTAGCATGGATATAATGAGGAAGGCACGACCACGACACCCTTCAAAATGCTCACAGCCAATGGAGTTTCACGGTTCCACATTGCCATTGATGCTTTGCTGTCTGCGTCCCGCTCTGGCCATCGAGAACTGGACTTGGATGTACATGTGCTGGTCAGTGAGTATCAGAGCCGTTTGAGAGCTCATGACCACTACATCTTGAAGTATGGCGATGACCCGGAGGACCTGAAGGACCTTCCTCAAGTGTAAGACTCGTAGGAGGTTAGGGATAGCGATGATTATAGGGGATCCTAACATATAACTGGAGGATGGATTGCACACATATCGCCTGTCGTCTTTGGGATGTGATGAACGATACATTTGTTGTACCCAAAATTTCATTACCTTCACATTTGCCACAAAGCCAGGATGCACATTTTCATCATGTACAGACGGACGCAACGGGATGTATTTACCTCCGCAATAAAAATGACACATAAACCAAATGGACCTCAGCCGCACCCCACCTCAACAGCGTGGCAGTAATTTCAATTGGTTTTTCTTATTGAAACACTACCCCCACAGCCCCATAAAAGCATTCTATTTGTTGAGGACAATACCATCGAACTAGAATGAAAAAACAATCAATTAGTTGGACAGATGTGATGCTACCAACACAGCGCTGACGTACCCGGCGCTTGAACCAGTTGATAGTCTCCTCCTTGTTGACACGGTGGGGCGCGCCAACACGTCCAGCCTTGTGCTTCTTCCGGGCGATACGGTGACCGGGGCGACCCATGACAACGTAAAAGTCCATACCGTAAATACCAATCGAGGGGTCGTATTTGATACCCAAGTCAATGTGTTCCTGGATACCGAAACCGAAGTTTCCGGTTGCCGAGAAGTTGCGAGCCTTGAGCTCGTACTCGAGCACCTTCAACCCACGCTCCAAGATCTCCTCTGCCTTAGGACCACGGACAGTGCAGTGCACAGCAATCTTTTCGTTACGACGGATACCGAAGGTACGAACTGTGTAACGGGCCTTCGAGTAGACGGGCTGCTGACCGGTAAGCTGCTCCAGCACCTTAGCGGCACGGGTCAATCTGTCACCAGACTCGCCGACACAGATGTTGAGGCAAAGCTTCTCGAGACGAAGCTCGCGCATGGGGTTTTGCTTGCCGGCTTCTTCGGTCTGACGAAAAGAAGCAAGTTAGCAAATGGACCAAATGCACATCGATCCAAGTTTCGAATTTGCTCAATCCCTTCGCTCTACATCGCCTTTATTCCCAACAGAACTCTTCATCTCAGCGTTCACCCCAGCCTCCCGCGAGCAGACTTTGGAAATGGGCCTGAACATGGTTGGCAGGTCGACCAATGCAGCTTCATTCCTCCGTCAACAATCCATCCATCCATCCATCCATCGAGCACGCTCCTTCCGCTATCATCGGTCCATCCATTTGCATTCAAACTGTCTCTCCAAGCGAACGTTCACCATTCTACAACTCACCATGGCGGATGTTCGCTGATGATCGAGGCCAATTGGCAGTTGTTGTCAGTCCACTAGTTCTGCGTATGCGGGCGTCTGCTGGAAGGTCGATTTTGCACAGATGGTCACGTGGTCTAACGCAATCACGTGATAGCATTCAATGGGTCAACTTCCTCGGCCAGCGATTTTGGAAAGACGACGACGGGAGTGTCGAAGAGCAAGCAGTAAAGATCCCCGCTCTAAATCACATTAAACAAGTAACAAAGATCTGTCATGGTTTGAGCGTATTTGACCATGATCGGATTACCATGTCATAGGTAGTGGCGATAAATTAGCACGCTATTACTCCCTTCCATGCAAGATGTTTTTCTTCCTTTCCCACATTCTGTACTGGACCTTCCGGCAGTGATTACAAGATGTTGCAAGCAAAGACGAAGAAAGATAATTGTGATATCGCCTTTGAATCCACCAAGAGCTTTCATCGTAAGCAGCTAAGCCACCCAGCCACACGGGACAAGAGGTGTGTCCGCGAACGATAACTTCCCTAGATCGCTCCCATGCAACCAACGTTCTAGCGCCCTCCTTGCAGAAAAAGGGATCATGAGTAGTTTCCTTCGTCAAAGGTCCATTTATGCCACAGAAGATCGAATTGTTTTCGACATTGGTTCCATCTACATAAAGTGCGGGTTCTCAAATGAGCCACAACCACGTCATATCCTGCCAACCTGCACACCGATAGCGTACGCAGACTCAACAGAAGGATGTCGTATCGGTGGCAAGGTAATTGGGTACTGCTTATCTGCGAGGGGAACTTTTTTGGGTGTTGCTGGAATTTGAAAAGCTTACCAGCTGACCGTGGCGGAATGCTGCTTTAGCTGGAACCACTGTGGGATCTCAACATCACGCCAACTGAACTGGGATATATGCGACGAAGATTATCACAAGTGCTTCGAGATGCATATTACAAGTAAGCACTGCCAGAGCAACGTGGATTGTTGCTATCTAGCTGTAACACAACATCTGTAGGTACCTGTTGATAGATCCCAAGACGCGCAAAGTGATACTTTGTGAGAGTCCGCTGTTGCCATTACCGATCAAGCAGACAATTGCCGATATTCTCTTTACTGAGCTAGAGGTTTGTATTCCTTGCAGGAGGTTTATATAATACTATTTCTACTCACAAAGTCCAGCAACATTCAAGATCCCGTCCTTAACCTTTGTCCCCTCTCCATTGGCTGCCCTTTTAACCGTCGGTAAATTGACAGGTCTAGTTATAGACTGTGGTAACCTTGAAACGAGCATTGTACCTGTGAGTTCTTATTACTAACGTGTACATCTCGATCACCCCGCCATGGGCTAATTGCACGTCATAGATCTATGAAGGGAGACCCCTGATCTATTACATTGAGTCCCTGCCTTTAGCAGGTCGATCAATAACAGAGCGTCTCAAATTGCTGGTTAAGCATCATGGCCGCCTGCTACAACATGAGGATGAAGAATCTGACGTGCTATTACCAGAAGATTTACTCGACTCCCTTCCGCTGGACTTTTGGGAGGAAATCAAGGCTCAAATGTGCCTTGTGGGCGATCGACCGTCAGCAACCGATATCGTCGACGGCACAACAAGTCGAACCACTGCGGGAGAGTACACACATATGCAATATCATAGCTCTGCTACTTCAATGGTGCATCGCATCAATGTTACCGATAGGATGTGGGTCCCTGGCTGGGTCCGGGAGCGAGCGACTGAAGTCCTTTTCGAAGGAGATGATGATGCGAGATCCATAGCCACCATTGTGGCTGATGTTATGCTTAAAGTACGTGACGGCAATGTGCATATCGCCGTGTTTCAAGGGCAACATGTTGAAACTTTTAATGTAGTGCCCCGCAGACATTCGGACCGAGCTAGCACAGACGATTCTGCTCATAGGAGGCACTAGTATGCTGCCCGGGTTCCAGCGAAGGCTGCAAGAAGAAATCATGCACGCATTGGAAGACCTAAAGCAGTATCAGAAGCTGAGGAGACTTGCTATTAAAGTCAAAATTGTACAATCGGTCTTCGCGCCGAATAGTATGGCATGGGTTGGTGGTTAGTAGTGTGGATGTGTGCTTGGGACTTCTCCTCTCTTGGACTCAACGCACTTCCCTGCAGGATCCCTGGCAGGTGCTCTGAAGGTCGGTGGGAAGGAAATACTTAGGACGGCCCCATCAATACCGGATTGGACACACTTACCTAATGGAGCAGAAGCTGAACGCTGACCTACATATTATGTTACATCAGGGTTCCACATGCTTCGATTACAACGGCATATAGATACAGAAACCTTTATTTCTATTTATGACCCGCAAAAACATTTACAAAATACAATATTTTCTTTGACCTTCCTCGGCTTCTTCGCGAAGTAGTGCGACGGATTGCCGACACAAAACCGACACCATGACTTCATAAATAATAAAGTTTAACGACGGTATGGCTGGTACCTGTTACCACCGCCGCTACCTCCGAAGCCTCGACCTCCGCCGCGACCACCACCGCCCCAACGATTGAAACCGCCACCTCCACTGGTCTGAGCAAGCTCACGCAACTTCGGATCAATGTCTTGCTTTGCTTCGTCCAAAATCTTCACAAGATCCCTAGCGTGCTTGAAATTCTCGGCCGTAAAGAAAGTGTAGGCAGTACCAGTAGTCCTAAACAAAAAAGTTAGAAGGCATAATACTTCAAGTTGTCGAGACATCAAGCGAGCTCTACATACTTGGCACGACCGGTACGGCCAATCCGATGGATGTAATCTTCGATATTGTTAGGGAAGTCAAAGTTAATCACAAACTGTAAAGTGAAAAGTGAAAAGAATGATCAATGACAATGTCCAACAATTGACCGGGTAGAATGATTCAGTGCAAATAGTGGATCGCATGCACACCTTGATGTCCTTGACATCTAAAAGCAGAAAGAAAAACGAAGACCGAAGGTAAATTTGCTCAGTACTCGCAAAGGTGGCGGTTCAAGTGGGTGCGGTAAACATGGTCGGCCTAGAAGTAGCAAGAGGTACACTCCGGAGGTGCTGGCACACCGCTCTTTGGAGCGGTGAAAGCACCCCAACTGTTTCAGGTCTCCATGACGCGGACCAGCAAACCCGAGAGATCAAAAACGAGGCGCAATCAGAGCCACTATGCTCATCCTGTCCGAATAATGCGCAATAGCCATACACGCATAGAGCAGCTCTGACACACCACAGAGTATGGGGACATACAGCTGCTCCAAACATTACCCCAGCGCACAGGACTGACCAAGGTAAAACCTTTGCACTCGCCCTCGTCAGCATGCCTTTGTTGATCTCCATACATGGTTGCGAAACAGCGGAAGCAGGAATGCACTCAAGCGAAAACTAGAGACCTTACCGTAACAATCTTACCTAGACCACGGGCAGCCACATCGGTGGCAATGAGAATCGGCGCCTTTCCAGATTTGAATTCTTGCATCACCCAGTCACGCTCTTGCTGCTTCTTGTCGCCGTGAATAGCCAAAGCAGCGAAGCCATCTTGACGCAAATAACGAGTAATTTCATCGGCGGCACGCTTTGTGCCAGTGAAGATGATTGTCTTTGAATTCCGCTCCTCCGATATCTTCTCCAAGAGCCGAACAAGCCTGCAAGAATCGGAATTAGTGTAATCTGATGCGAGGTCCGACAAATGCTGCATTTTGGATACATACTTTCCACGTTTGTCGTATTCGCTGCACATCTCCACTATCTGAGTAATATTGTGACTGGCCGAAAGCTCCAAGGATCCAACATTCACTTGAATATAGTCCTTCAAATAGTCCCGTGCCAAAGCTTGCACCTCTTTCGGCCATGTAGCGGACCACATGAGGGTTTGACGGTCCGGTCGAATCTGTACTCAGGGTTATCACGGGAAGGCACAATTGCAATGTTGCAATACAACTGAAGAAGTACCTGGTCAACAATTTTACGGATTTGAGGTTCGAAACCCATATCCAACATCCTGTCTGCCTCATCCATTACCAGGTACGTTACGCGACGAAGGTTCGTCTTTTTTGTCTCAAGCATATCAATCAATCGACCAGGTGTAGCTATGCAAATCTCTACGCCCCTTGTCAATTCTCTGATCTGCGGGCCACGAGGAACTCCTCCGTAAAGGCAAGTATTCTTGATCTTAGAGGAGGCTCCAAACTTTGAGCATTCCTGTTGAATCTGCAATGCCAATTCACGAGTGGGAGCTAAGATAAGGACAATAGGGCCGTCTCCGGGTTGCAAAAGGGGTTGTGCGTTAATGTGTACGATAGCTGGCAGAACATAGGCTAGCGTTTTTCCAGATCCAGTTTCGGCAACACCGACCTATTCAACATGTGATGAGCAATTACACGAAACTAATATTCCAAAAGAAATACATACCACATCGCGTCCGCTGAGTGCCATGGGCCATCCCTGAGCCTGAATTGGCGTAGGGCTTTTGAATCCAACTGCTTGAACCTCCTTCAATACATAAGAAGGGAACGATGCTTCTTCAAAAGCTTCAATAGGTTTAGGTACGCCACTTCCCACCACCTTGATCTCATGTTTTCTCCTGAAGGCCTCAACATCGGCGTCGGATAGAGCGGATACAGAGGGATGTTCTATGTAGAAGTTCTTTGCGAACTTCGGTAGGGAAGCAAACTCTCGCTCCCAATCCGGACGTCGAAGGGAGGCACCAAGACCAGACATTTTGTCACCTCCTCCGTAACCGCCGCCGTAGCCGCCTCCCCCATATCCTCCACTGCCACCAAATGAAGAGTTGCCGTAACTTCCTCCACCATAGGAGTTTCCTCCGTAGCCACCACTACCAGACCCTCCGTAAGAGCTGCTGTAGTTGGACACCATAATAAGGTAAGACATCCCACTTGACGAACGTACAAGCACCTGAACCTGCGATGTCGCTGCATACCTGCTTTTGTATCCATCGGAAGAGCCATTTCCGTAGCCTGAATAGTAGTTGGACATGTTGTCGTTCTGGTTAGACGAAGGGATGCAAGAACTGATGGCAAAAGGATGGGAAGAGGATGGGAAGAATAGCTTTTCGTTTGTTCCGCAGTTTGGCGATTCAACGCGCCTCCTTTTTTTTTCTTTGTAGTCGATTATGTAAAGTCATGTGACTTGCATATGTAAGCCAAATTCCGATCATGTTTGGGATGGGCGGGAAACGTATTTTGCAAGACGGCCGTTGAATAGAAATGGACAAACGGGAGGTTTCCGGTGCTGCTATTGATTCCAGACTGCAAGCAGCGGACATACCCGCTCGTCCTGGACGGCTTATAAAAAAATGGAGTTTGATTGACACGGCTGAAGCTGGGGACGTCTCTCAAGTTCCTTCAGGTCCATCGTCAGTGCACAAATCGAAAGACAAGGGCAGTGATTTGGAGGATAGTGGAAGGCAAGATTCTGACAGCGATCCAGACGAGTGGCGAGACACTATCCGGAGAGATGCTGCTCACAGCAAAGGTCTCGTTCACCACAAGGATGACATTGAGGCATCTATTGACTCTCCCAGGAGTAGCAGCAGCAGCGCTTCTAACGTTACAGTAAAACCAAAAATACCTGGCGGGGCCTTTTTTGATCGATTACCCCCACTCCGAGAACTTTCGGCTTTGTTGTTTCCTGATACTGATCTGCCATCCTTGCCGAAGCCATTGGCACCAAAACCTCAAGAGCACCGAAGAACCCACAGACGAAGAACGTCAAATCAAACAGATTACTGGTCAGAGTTTCAATTGAGTAAATCTCAATATCTTCCAGGAACGTTGGAGTCAGTCATTCCAGACGTCCATTTACCACGCGTCGTCTATTTGATACGTGCAATGTGTATGCTGTGCATCATGCTCTTGGTAAGTCAGGATACACATAGGAAAAACAGCAGCGTCAAATTGCCATGCAAATAAATCTCTATTTAGATATCCGGATACTACGCAGCGGTGTCCACGATCCCCATAAAGCAAGTTTATGATGGGCAAGGGTCTGCAGCTGGAGAATTGCGAGCTTTAGTCCATGTATTCTTGATGACGACTGGGATGGGCTACTATGGATCATTGTCGCTCAGTACCGGGACGGGCTTGCGGGCAACATTCACGCACTTTTGGCGGGTACATGTCCCCCCATTACTCTTTGGGGCGATATGCAGCGGAGTGTGCTGGGTGACAATGGTGACCGGAAACTGGCCTTTACCGCTTCAGTCATTCATCTATATGCTCCTGTAAGTATGGAAGATAGCACCAGGGGTGATAATCCATCTCTTTGTGCCTCATGTATTCCCGCACTAGTTTCCCGCCCACAATTGCCGTCTTTGTTTACTGGAGCATTCCGGCAAGAGATCGAGACGTATCAGGTGTAATCAAATTATTTATTAAGCGAGCAATGGTATTTTGGTAGGTGTCGATAATTTTGTATTCATTGGCTCTCGCGTTATCCATCGACACTATCATTCTCTTTTGGCTTCCAATAGTCTCTTACCGACTTTGTTCTACCTGTGTTCCGCCCTGTTCATGTGGGCGATGACAGTTAATCTGCATCATCCCGTACGACAAATAGTCTCGTTGACTGCGTACAGGGCTGTCACCATCCTTTTCTCCGCACTATGTCAGTTCCTGGGCAATGCTGTGACGAAAAGAAGAAACCCAGAAAGTATGGCAGCTGCAATTGCTCGATAAAGCACATCGATTGATCTTATTGACACGGTCTTCATGTAGTCGGATCTCTGATGAAATTGTAAGTGGCTTCTCTGCTGTGCTCCCTGTTCGAAAACAGTCGTCTGATAGCGATTCTCCGGACCATAACCATCAAGTATCATCATGTAAGTACAAATTCTTGGAATAACTTCTTGATAATGAGAACTAAGTTGAACCGATGCATGCAAAGGTATGTTCAGGAAGTCTTTGTTCGTCTCGCTACACCATCACTGGGAACAATTTGGGTGTTTGCCGGAAGGTACGGGACTTTTGACGTTGTGAGCTAGCCACTGCACAGGTGCTGAAATACACTGGGTCCTTGAAGTTTGGTACTTGAAGCAGTGAACATGTCGCTCCCCTTGTTCGCAACCCATACTTTTGCAAATAAACGGATTCAGGTGAGCTTATCATATGAAACCATTACCCATCGTATTACATGCTGATGCAATGTCTTCGGCCGCGAAGAGCCTAAATGACCTCTGCACTCGCATTGTCTCAACAGGATCTAGAGACGTTCGCCGTCTTTATGCAAGAAAGACACGCTCTCGGTTTCGGAGCATGGGGCGCCTGTCCAGGCGAAAAGTAGACCCAGCTGCCGACTCGAATACATCTTGCGCCGAAGGTAAAGGCTCCAGCGGGACAGTCGCTCCGGAGAAACGGTTAACTGTGGACAGTATGAGTGAGGCCGCATTGGTGCTGGATGTAGTAGTACCAATGGACCTAAGCTCGACGTTGACGAGCAACCCCGTGGTTTGCGAAGCTGTGAAAGTAAGATTTAGACCCCTAGTTTGAGACCACTCAGGTCGGCTTATGTCGCAACCTCTTTCAGACCTACTTCTTTTGCTTCGTGGCGAAGATAGCAAGTTTCATTACCTTCGGCACTGCGTATCCCGCATTTGTTTGGGGTCCGAATTTTGAATGGTATCAGGTGTGTGGATTGGCCCACCAATCTTCGTTCCACATTTGCAGCCCCTTCATGTCAGATTATGCAGGTTCCAGGGGAGATTGCAAACTCACCGACCAAAACTCTCATCTATCTCGGCATACATACGTTGCCCGTCATACTACACTGTATTTTATCAACTGTGTATCTTCGCCGGTCGTGTGGATTGGATATGTTTGAGTACGGACTTGGACTCCTCCATTACTACATTGAGTTTTTCACAGGCGTTGCGTTTGCTGGACCGGCGTTTCCACATACCAGTGAGTATCGTGGGTTAGAAGAAGATTTGGAGACTTTTATTAACTACTCTGTTGTGCATTTGCAGTGCTTGGATGGCATTGGAATGTCCTGTCGTTCTTCCAGCAAACTGTGGCATAGAATGCAGGGGGATCAATATTCTAGGCTAGTTGAATGTATCTAACCAATATGGGTATCAGAGCTGCGGCTTTCCACCATTAGAGTCTTTTCGCGGTCATTATCTGCTTCCCAAAGTTCTTCGAGCCGCAAGCGTATCTCTGTAAAAATGAAGACGTGTGACCCACCACGAAACACCCATCAGCCCGAATCCCAGCAGAATTATCGACACCCCAGTTTTAATAGGATGGACGATGGGATCCACATATTCTGGAAAGAAATCATATGGCCAGTCCCATTTCAAAAGAACCCGGTAGGTCCATACCCAGAGTATGAACCCTAGGGTGAAAACTATAGAAAATGACACATTGCGAGGGGTGTGCACGTATTTCGATCTTGAGAGAAAAAGATCGCATAACACGAGTACCATGTTGAGAGCATGGGAGCAAAACAGGGAGAATGACTCGAAACTTGACCGAGTTGCCGGGGATGCCAGTACGAGCCAATATGTAAGAGATACTGGCCAATGAATTGTTTGCGTAATGGCATACGTCAATTGATGGAGGGATGTTATGCGTAAAACATGGTCGTCCGCTGAGTGGTCGAGTGTTGTCAAGGACTTTGTGATATATAGCTCAAGCTTTGGCACAAAGTTGACGCACGGAGATCATAACACGTCAGGGTCCAGTCTCGCACCCTGCGAGATCGGTACTGCAATACAAAACTTACCGCTAAATGAATGCAAAGCATGAGCCATGCGAGGTTTGTGTAGAATTGCACAAAGTCTACGGGGTCGACAATGACCCTCACCAGTGCAAAACCCCATGCAAAACTGGCTTGGACAATACGCAAGCGAAAAAGCAATTGAGCGTCAATAAAATGTGACGAACATGCAAGGCGTAGAGGCGTCGTGATAGGCTCATGAAGCAAGAATGGATGCAAGGGCGATGTTGCTGTCGTCGTCGTTGCATCGTCCATGTTGGCAACTTGTGCGTTTTAAGGTTGAAAGACGATTAGAGGCTTTTTGTGTCCCCGCCGCTTACATGAGCGCGGTGGTACCAGCAACCCGAAACGACCCAGCGGGAGGTGTATCGGATAATACATTCCCACTGGAAAATCTTGCCTTTTTCACCCGCTACTTGGCAATCCTTTGGACTGACCGTTCCTGCTTTTAGCAGCCGACTAGCGGCGAACAGCGAGCATGTCGGGTCCGAGTAGAGACGTTTTGGGGCATGGACGACCTTCGGGTTCGTTTTCTTCAAGTCGGTTAGGGTCAAGCCACGGTTCTTCCCCTACACCGTCCTCTCCTCTATCGTCTTCGCCTTCCCGTCAGCTTCCTGTCGCTGCTAGAGTTTCCGACGCCATATCTTTTGACAGTACTCTAGACTCGGAGCACGAGGCTTCAAAGACACGGCAAGGATCTCAGTCTTCTGGGTCCTCTTCAGCCTTGGGTACTCCGCCTGTCCTTCCCAACCGAACCGTCTCCTTACAAATGCATCCCAACGGAGTCCCTCCAAGCGTACCACCAAAAACTAAGCATCCACATGCACAGCCAGGGAGTCCTCAGAAGCTGGGAGTGTCGATAGGCTCTCCTTTTAATTTTGAGAAAAAGCTCCATGTTGACGGTGACTTTAACTGGTTCGGAGAAGGGGTACGAAAGGCGCTTTTATGTTTGGGCCCGTTTCTTGATTTATCAGTAGTGGGAGTAACAGCATCTTTTGCCTTGGTAGAATCCACGAGAAATGTTTGATATCCAGGAAAAACTTGGAGAAGGGTAAGCCCGGGATTGCACTCTATGGTGGGAATATTGGTCGCAAATAATAACACTTCTGCAGTGCATTTGGTGCCGTCTTCAAAGCTGTTCTGAAGCAGACAGGATTCGTGATGGCGATCAAAGAAGTTCTGGTGGGGAAATTGAATGACCGCGAGAGCATTCAAAAAGAGATCAACATGTTGCGCCAATGTCGACACCGTAATACCGTGCAGTACTATGGTATGTAATCGCCTTCTACGAATATTTCTCAAGACATCGAACGCTGAATAGTACCGTTGTCACCTACAGGGTGTTGTAGCGTTGATGATGACTCTATCTGGGTGAGTGATCGAGGAACCTGTGCCTAACAGACTCCGTGCGATTTTATTTTCTGCTAACGCGGATGGTGTAGATTCTGAATGATTACTGCGGAGCTGGTTCAATATCTGATTGTATTGAACTAACTGAATCGACATTTACCGAAGCACAAATCGCTATTGTGTTGACTGCCGCCTTGGAAGGGCTAGCCTTCCTGCATAGCCGGAATATTGTGCACAGGTAAGCTGGTTTCCAGAAACACGTTTGGAATAGCCTTGTTCATTGCTTTTGTACAGAGATGTAAAGTGCGCAAATATCTTGCTGACGGAAGATGCAACAGTTAAGATTGGTGGGTAGTATACTAAATGGACACGGCGCGAATAATTGTGGTGACTAAGTTCATCACCCTGTTCAGGCGACTTTGGTGTGTCGGAAAAGTTGACTCAAACGGTCTGCGTCCGGAACTCCATAGTCGGCACTCCATATTGGATGAGGTGCGTTTCGGCTTCGTGTAACTAGGCATCTCGAATCTAATGATGATGTCTTCGCAGTCCGGAAGTCATTACAGGATCGGATTATGGAACTGAGGTATGTGTGCGCATCTCCTGAATAGTACAGATGACATTTTCCCTTCTCACGAGAGTGTTAGGCCGACATATGGAGTCTTGGCATTACTGCGATTGAAATGACGGACGGTGTCCCACCCCACTCGGATGTTCATCCAATGAGGGTATGTAGCGACCCAATCCGCTTGTGATCAGAATACAAAACTTAGGGTATCGGTTTTTCAACAGGCCATGTTCAAAATCCCATTCCTACCACCACCCACATTACTTCAACCAAACGCCTACTCCAAAACATTCAACAATTTCATTGCACAGTGCCTCATCAAGGATCCCAAGAAGAGACCATCTGCGCTAGAGCTTTTGAAGCATCCTTTTATTGAGCGCTACGTCGGGCAACAGCAAAACGTCGAGCTTCGCAAGCCGCTGATAGAGAAAGTTCGCGAAGTGATTGCTAAGAGAGCATTCATCAAGAAGCGTGGTAGACCAAAAGCAGGAAGAACATTGATGACGGTAACTGCCCAAGTGCAGGTGGATAAGACCTTACAAGATGACATCAGAAGGGTTACGGGCACCCCTGATCGTCACGATTCTGGGGATCGCCTCGTTCCTGTTGATGCTCCAGGAAAGCCACGCGGGATGTCTGACTCTTCTGTCACAAGTCATGGAACCGTTGTCATTCATTCTGAAGAGGAGTTTGATCAGTCATACACAGATGAGGCAAGTGGGACAATGGTGATACATCGGGAGCAGGAACACGTGGATATTCGTCTGGATACGGCCAATGTGAAGGACATGGACAGTGCTGGAACTTTTGTAATTCGCTCTGAAGAGGCAGAAGTGGATATCCGCTTGCGAGGTGCTTTGATGGACACCATGGTGATTCATCAGGATCACTCTCACGTCGATGTAAAGTTGAAGGAGCACGAAGCGGATGCGGATGTAGAGAGTGATGAAGAGGCCCATGACGATGATAATCCGGACGAGCCCCTGGATGCAGAGTACCTGATCACCGGCGGTGACCGCGCCGGCAGGAAAGGCTCTGGTCTTGAGGAATCTGGCGGTGTCCGGTACGCGCGCAGATTATCAGATGCTACCGACGATGAACACATTCTGTTTGCAACCCGAAAACCGAAATCGAATGTTGCAACTAAACTACGTAAGCGCCTTGAAAAGTTTAGGAAGACGCTGAAAGGCAATGTAGCTGGAGTAGAGGAATCCGGTGATGAAAGAGAATATCTCGAAATGTCTCAAAATGGCCGCTCCGAGGATCGTGGGAAGAGCCGGAGTTTGGGAGAAAAAGAGTCTCCCATTATGGCGGAGCGCACCACACGACCCCTCACGTATTATAAAGATCGACCGTCTAGACCTAATCTCGGTGGATCCATCCCGTTTGGGGCAGATGAGCTATTGACTGGCAAAAAGCGAGCTAATAGTGCAGGAAGCGATGAACAACCCATAACTCGTCTGTCTCGGGGTACACGATCAGAGAGCGTCTCTTCCGCTGAAGACCCGCGAAGTTCAACCGATACTGCCACCACTGCTTTCTCCGTTTCTTCTTCGTCGGGTGCGGAAGATGGCGTGGCCTTGCAAAAGCGTGCCTTGTCCAAGTTTTATGAGGTTGTATTTGGTATGCGAGCTGCTTCCGAAGATCCATCCGAAATGAGCTTAAAAGCGAACGGAAAGCAAAGCGTGGGGGAACGAAGCGGGAGTGTGGGAACTAGTTTCAGCGACGCCAAAGGGCCAACTCGGCCACGATCCATCTCTTCCGTGAGTCTGGGGCGGGTGGATGGAGAAATCGACGTGAACAAGCTGGTTCGTATCCATGACGAGCTGATAAAAGAGATTGAGCAAGCGAAACGCGGCGGTGGACGATGGTGGAAGGCCGCCAATCGGGACATTCCAGAGAGGTCGATTCAGGCAATGCAGGGTGCTGCCAATGGGTCAGCTGTCATTGATGAGGACGATAAATATCTGGAAGGGAAGGAAGAGTTGGTGACGGGTTGGGCGACACGTATCCCATGGGTCGGCTACACGACGGCAGTGGTGATCGGACAAACGATCGTGCTAGGGTGGAAAATCGGAAGAGTCTTGTGGAAAGAGGTAAGGTGAACTTTTGTCATTTCTTGCAAGAGCCGAATTAACATGACGTTGTTCCTCTAGTTTCGTATGAACATTTGGGTGTAAGTTGACGCGTGGCGCATAGAATCTCCTGGATTCGCTAGTTTCCAGAGCAAGCAAATGCGTGGAGGTCTCTTGGGACAATACCAATTAACGTATCATTTTCTCTTCTCTTCTTCCGCTTTTTTCTTTTCTTTTTCCTTCTCTTCCCTTTTTTTTTATATACATGTTACGATATCGGCGGGGTCGGTTTTCCTTCGGATTTCTCATTGTTTCATTTCCCTTTTTCTTTCGGCGAAATATACCATTCGGTGTCACGGCGATCTATAGTCACAGTTTCTACCTCATTCTTTTGGTCAGTTTGATCTGGGCAAAACCATTTTCATTACAATAGACGGATTGGGTCATCACGACCATAGGACGATTTCGAGAAGTAGATGGGGGAGGTACCTATTATTGTACGAGTGTTTATATCCTGTATATTTTAGCAGCTACTTTTATTTTTTTTTTGCATCAAGGATGGGCGAAGATGGGTCAGCTCTGGAGCTGTGTATAGATTGTCACTGGCGCACTGTTTCATTTTATCATAATACAATCACCTCATAGTGGAAAGGGAGATCTGGGGAAATGGCGTAAGCATTTTGCGGAAATGCATTGCACGAGATGTTTAGTGACAGTCTTTATTATCTAATAGCTAATTGCACAATAACCATATGGCATTTAAGACTAGGTTTCTAATAGTCGGGACCAGCCCATATCAACATCATAGAAAGGGTGACATTGTCAGCGCGCAACGCTCAGTAATCGGACGGGCTGTTCCTTGTGTAGTGTGGCTTTGGTGGAGCATTGTAGTATTCCGACGGCTGTCTGGTAGGCGTGGGTTGCCTAGGCACCTGAGAAGAATATGCCGATTGCCTAGAAGGGCTCAATCGAGAAGGGCTTCCTCGAAATTCTGATCCGCCAGTCGCATAAACAGGGGTGGTGGACTTGCTTTGTTGTACCAAGTTGGTGTGGGCGTTCCAAAGATCCCGTTGAGCTCTGCGTCGACGAGTGATGACGACTCCACCGACGATCGCAACGGCCAATACCACCGCCCCGCCCACTGCAATGCCCGCGATCACTGCTGTTGAAGGAGCACTGCTTGAAGACGAAGAAGCAGATGTGTTTGCACTGCCAGCGGCGGTTGGTGAGGGAGAGGCAGATGGCTGAGATTTAGGAGCGGTCACCGTTGGATTGCTCAGATCCAGAACGTTCATGTTTAGCATTGAACAGCAAGGGTCGGTTCGGTTGTTTGTCGCGCAATAGGAGGTTGCAAGATTAAGATCTCTCTGAGTCGTTCCGAATCCTTTAATAAGCGAGTCAGCATTGATTCATCACAAAAGTTTCGCATTCTGGATATTTTGAAAACTTACCACAATTGTTCAACTCAAATGTGGCGGTGACGCACTTTTTAATGTTCTCGTCAGTGGTTGCAGGAAGAGCTTTGTCGACGATAGCAAAGAGAGATCTGATTTGAGTCAGTTTGGCGTCGGGACATTTGGTTGTGTTTGTAAATGCTTGCATGCCAGAGTCCTGGAACCTAATCCAGCATGTTAGTAAAGCGGTTCAGCACGTCCGATGGCTTCGTACTAACAATTTCCATGCATCTGGGCATACGAGTCCCGTGGGAGAATTTCCGGAACACTTGTTTGATTGTTGCGTCAAGTAGCCGCATAAAGCCGTCAACCGATACCGCCAGCCACTTCCATCCCAAGCTGGGCAACCAAAGTACTGATACATGCCGTTATCTTGTTGGGCACCCGGAATCATCATCCTAACTAATGCGGCATCCAATTTGCCAATACTGTCGACGCCCGTCAAGTTCCACTGACATCCAAGGTATTCAGGATGAGTAAGGTTTGTCGAGAAAGCCAATTCAAACTGCTCTATATCCAACTTACGTTCCAGAACGGTCCGGCTACGTCTCTAGCCATGCGCAAATCGATCATTTGACCCGCAAAGTCTCCACAGAGACGAGAGTCCGCGGCGGCAACGCATTCTGGCGGGGCACCAGTTGTGTTTGTTGGAGTTTGAGCGACTGCATATGGCGAGAAGGCAGCCAAGGCAGCCAGCGAGAGGATTATGGGAGATGAGATCATTGTGAGCAATGCCGTATTAGGTTCCGTATGTGCGTTTGGCGAGCAACGACAAAAAACAGAGGCCAACCGAGAAAGGCTGACACCTCAAAAGCGCCTTGTTGTCGTGTCCGTTCATAACCTGCGTTTGGTGCGGAGCGCAGCCGACTTTCAAACCCCGTGAGTTGTCCAACTAAAAACGGTCCAATTGTCGTGTAAAAACAGAAGGAAAAATAAAATAATTTCCTTCTTGAAGAAGCAATTTAAGTTTCTGATCGGACCTTCACGTAATCATATTGCTATGGAGATGGAATTCAGGTACAGTGACTAGAGATCTTGTAGTGGCACAGTGATGATGATGATGGAATTGGAGCTGCTCAACGGGGGTTGTTGACCATCCACTCATCCAGACTACGAAGCAGTTCTTTTGCCAAAAAGGCGACGAGCAGTCGGGCAGTACATTTCCAGAAAACGAATCTCTAGATAGCTTCTCTATTTTATACAGTACCCGCTTGCAACATGTCTGCTCAACAACCCATAACATCTCGTATCGCGTCCTATGTCGGGAGCAAAGAGTTTAGAAGCTATTTGATGAGGTAGGCGAGCGGTGATAGCCCCGTTTGTGGGTAGGGGATCCAACCACTTTGGTTCATTACCTGTGTGCGTACCATTTCTAACTGATTCTGTGTGCTCTCCTCAATCATTCTTCAGCACGGTAAGTTTGAGAGTGAACGCGAGTTTAACGAAGCTGTTTGCCAATTGTCCTCGTATGTAGCATTTTTGGGGTCCCGTTGCAAACTGGGGTCTACCGCTAGCTGCTATTGCCGACACAAAGAAATCACCAGAGTATATTAGTGGAAAGATGACAACCGGTACGGCTTTTAACGTTCGCCTTGCAAAAACTGAAGTGCACCCGCTCATCTTGAACATCTTCCTGTCCACTAGCGCTGACACTGTATTCCCTTCTGTTCATGCGATTTGCTTGGATGGTGCAACCACGAAATTACCTCTTGCTTGCTTGCCACGCCACAAACGAGGCATGTCAGCTGGTACAGGGATACAGGTTCATCAATTGGCATCAGTAAGTAATACCATTAGAAACCGGCCAAACCCATGCGAAGCTAAGATTGAGCCGTTCAATATTTTAGCATGGGAGGTAAAGAGGCAGCGATGGCCACGGAACAGAAGCCGCCTTTGCACTCTTTGTAGATATACAATTGGCTTATAGACTAAGCTACATACCATTACAATCTATATTGTGACGTTGCGCTTCACTGTATTAGATTTGTAAGTGCACATGGCCGGAAACCGGTGCGTTTCCTTGTATTTCACCTACTGTACGATGATTATGCCGTATTCCAGAAGCAAGGGCATTACAATTGAAAATTGCTTTCTATTCACTGGTTTTCTCCAACCGCCGTAAAAATATTTGTACAGGATGCATCTCCAATCCAAAAGATAATACATCTCACGAAAATCACTGGACCAGGAGCGACCAATGTCCAATTTATGTACTCTTAGGAAACAGCCAACCAAAGAGACCTTTTTTCTTCCCATCGACAGATTTCGATCTTCTTGTTCTCCTCCGCCCTTTGCCGTCACTGTTTTGAACGTCCTCATTTTGGCCTGATCCCTCCATCTCGTTGGCTCTATTTTTCAACGGACTTGCCGCTTCTTTGTGATCATCTACCTCAGCATCATCGACGTCAGTAAAGTTCTCACTTGGATCGTCCGTGTGTTTCTCACTGCGTCTTCCCCGGGTATTGTCTAATTTCCCATCTTTACCATCCCCACCCGCCTCGTGGGCATCATCCGCCTCTTCTTGTTTCCTCTCTTCAGGATCATCCGGATTTGAGTCGTCTTTTGGTTTTTGCTTGCGTTGCCAACGATTAGGGCTTTTGCTCTTGTTCATCGCAAGAAACTGGACCATAGCAGGATTGTCATCCAAATCCACCTCTTCGATCTTTGGCAATGGATGGCCAAATGCTTTGGCATGTCGAATGCTGTGTCGACGTTCGTCGGCACCTTCCCCTGACAGTCCTATTGACGACCGACGCGCGCTGGACGCGATCGATGATTTTCGGCGCACCATACTCGGTGTAGGAGTGCTCGGAATGTCAGAGCTGGATGCGGCATCCTCTGGCGCTGATGAAACCTCCGATTTAGCTACATCGCGCCGGGTGGGAGGGCGGCCACGTCTTCGTGGAGTTTCATCCTTTGGCTTTGGAGTTTCCGCTTCCTTGCTTTCAGAGGCTTGAACCTTCTTGCTGCGCTTAGAGGCCCGCTCTGCAGGACTTGCCTGGCCTGCGGGTTCTGCAGCAGCAGTCTCCAGCACCTCCGACTCACGTCGACGCTTTCTCCCCCGACTCTCGCGGAGATTGACAGCCGGTTCCGGTGCGGTAATGTCCTCCTTTTCCTTCTTTGGCACGGCGCCTTTTGAATTAGCAGCGGCCGTTGCTGATTGGTATCATTAGAAGTTCAGGAAATACTGTGATGAGTATCAGATGACTGTCAACTCACCAGCAACCGTTGCCGTTTTCCTTACAGCGGGGGTTGCTATCGCGGCCACTGCTTCGGAGGCGACTTGCGCTGCCTTTCGTGTTGACCGCATGCGTAACGGTGTGTCTGATATTTCAGCAACTGGTTCATTCTGCGCAAGTATCTGGTTTCTTCTGCTCTTAGTAGTGGCTTTCGGGGTTTCCACCTTCGATTGCGGCGCTGACGTTAAAGAATGAGCACATTAATTCATCCTCCGACTTCAGAAAAATTAGACTTACTCGGGATCGCTTCTGATGTTGGTTTGTTGGCCTTTTTCGGAGGACGCCCTCGCCTCGGACTAAAAGGTGTTTCTGTCCCCTGCTTGACTTTCCCTTTGCGAGTAGGCTTCTGCACAGTCTCTTGCTCTAATGCTGCCAGTCTGGACCGTGTCATGCGTTTGGGCTGATCATCATCTACATGAACGGCATCTCCGGCATCGCCAGCTGCTGACTCTTGAACTTCCTCTACGCTCGACACCTCCTCCACTGTCTTCACAGTTGGAAGAGGCTCTTCTTCTTTTGGAAAAAGCTCTCTCACCTTCCCTTCAGGCCACCAGTAGGCCCAGAGGATGTGGAAGAACTCCGCAGGTGCAATACTCAGAATACCACTGTCCGGATCAATCGGGAAACCAGTAATCTTCTGTTTCAGCTCCTCCAGAAGCGGCCTTCCACGTTTCTGGAACCGCTGCGCCGTCTTCCAGTAAGGGGTCTCCGGCTTGTTGTATGTCATACAATTTTGCCAGATGAGCTCAACGTCGGTCTTCGATATCGGCAAAGTTAGTACAAAGGTTGAGCAGACGCTTACAACAATAGAGTACCTCAAATGACCCGACGTCCTTGTATTCGTGGTTCTCCAGTTTCTGCATCATCGTGGAGAAATCCATGGGATTGGTGATGAAAAGGTGATAATCTGGGGCGAGTTCGGGTGTAACTGGTTCTGCAAAAATTCCGTCCTTGTCCCACCTACCAATATGATCGGTGTTATTATCAACACACATTCACAACGCGAATGCAATAATGGTGCTTACGATCGAATGGTTTCAAAGAATGGTCGAATGAACCGTGTTATAGGGAAGAGGACAAACTCTGCGTAGCTGATCCCAGCTTGGTACTGTTTCAATTTTTCCTTCTCTCTTTTCCGGACGAGTTCCGTCAATAGTCGTACGCGCTCCAAATCCTTGCGAATGATGATGGCCGTTTGATTTCTCTTGGCTCGAGCCTCTTCATCCTCTTTCAGAGCAGACGCAGACGCTGTCCATGGCTGAATAACAGTTAGCACAGTCAATATGCATTGAGCAGCAGAAGCGACCACATACCTCTAGATGCAATCGTTTCAGTAGTGGTGCCCCTCGTCGTGACTCGCGCTTCAGCGACCAGTATTTACAAAGGCGTATGATAAAGTCTTTATTCTTCTTATCAAAGTCGCCCTTCTTCTTTTTCTCCTTGAATTCAGTTCGCAACGTATCTAGTACTCGATTGAGTATATACTCTGGAATTACAGGGACTGGCGCAGAGAACTGATGAGAACGAGAGGATCCAACCGTCTCATCGTCGTCGCTCCAACCTCCCACGCCAAAGTCTGCCGATGTCGATGATTCCAGTCTTCGCTGTTTTTTCTTTCTTTTCGATGACGATAAGTCGTCGGAGCCATGGTCCAATCTTGCGTCACTTTCTTCGTCATCGGTGATTCGCATCAAGTTTTTTCGTTTTCGCTTTCTGCTGGAGCTCTCTGTATCGGTACCGACGGGTGGGTATTCGTCTTCGGAGTCTTCAATAGCGGCGGATCGTCGGGAATTCACGAGGGACAGCTTTTGCTCCAACATTTCACGCTGGAAAGCTGCCACAGCGGCTTCGACATCAACTTGCTCTCTGTACTCGGGCTATTTGAGGCGAGGATATACGTTAATTTTCACGAAATTGACGCCCAGAGATGATATTGGCATTACCGGTGTATGTCTGTCGCAGAACGCCCTCAAGGCATTCTGGTCGGAACCATACTGGGCTCGCATCTTCATGTAGAGCTTCGCTTTGCGCGCACATGTTGGATGGAATGGCAAATAACAATTTTTGTTACTGCATTGGATGGGAGCGCCGCCTCTGGTATGACAGAGGTAACATTGCTAAAAGGCACCTTGGTTAAACATGGCACGCATCGGCCGACAGAACGACGACCTACCAACTTCCATCGGCTCCGAGGTATCTTTTCGATATCCACGACCGGTTCCATCAGAGTGTAATTGCCGACACTACATTCAGGCACCCACATGGCGCAGAGAAGATGCGCCCAGCCTTGTCTGCTGGTTTGTTTGAACGCACCGTCTTTGTGTGGGCAGAGGACGCAATCCTGGCACCAGCAGTCAGCATGTTTACTGCGGGAAGATGCACGGCTGTGGATGCCTCACCACTGGTTTGTGCGGGCTAAGCATGCACTTTCGGCAAAGCCATTGACCTTCAGGGATGAAGGGGATCCCGTAACAATCTGAGAACCGCCATTTATTACAGACATTAGCAACTTTGTTTAATAAAACTATACCGTTACCATCGTCCCATATATTATACCTTGATGGACAGCAATGTTGCAACCGTCGCAGAAAACTATCGCATTAGCATTTTCACATTCGCCGTCGTCGCATACGGCGCACACGGGATCCTCCTCATCTTCTCGGGCAGATGGAATATCTTTCGTCTGAACACCGGAAGTTAGCGGTGGTTGAAGCTGCATGACAAGAAATCACATACGGACCAGATCAAACCATTCCTTTTCCAGGATATCCATCACTCGTTCAAAGTAATCCTCGTCTATTTGGACCAAATTTTCCTTCTTCCGCTCATCGTTGATCATATTCAACCAACAGAGATCTGAACCGTTGAGAGTTACCGTGTTAATCTTCTTGCGTTCATGTGCATCTAGACGCACAGCGTTGATTACCTTGCTCGTCCATATCGTATTCTATGCGCTGAGCCAGCTCATCCTCGGAAGGTTCTAAAATGACGCCGCCACATAAGAAAAACTTCGCCGAGAGTAAAGATGCAAGTGTGGCACACCTGTGTGCCGGATGTAGGCAGCTCCCAACCGAAACTTTTTTGCGGGTATAGGGCTCTCTGCCAGTTCAGAGAGACGTCGGAATGAAGGCTTTGGCAAGTTCTGTGGGGCATTCGGCAATGGAGGTAGCGATAACAAATCTGATACGCCTGCATATGGATCGTCATCCAATACTTGCAGCGCGCCTTCTTCTGTCGGTAAATCTTCAGTAATGTCCTTATTTTTCGCCACCTCCTCAATTGGTTCAGAAGATGCAGCAGGGAGATCGTCAGCGCCTTTATCCAGCACGCTCTCGTGCGAGGCTCGATCATATGGTGGTTTTGAAGATGGAATCTCTACGAGCTCTCGGGAAATTAGTTCTTCAAATGTTTCGACATCTGCAACCATTGGGGGCACTGGGTTTGCCATAGAGATTGACTTCGCCGCTTCATCCTGTGAGTTCAGCTGTCGTTCTGCGGGTGGTGGAGTTACACAGCTTTCATCATGACCGGTAGAAGACTCGTTGTGAGCGGGGTCATGGGGAACTAGTGTCTCGCTAGATATCGTTGGCTTTGTTGCGGATGGAGAGGATGGGGACGTGGTAAGGTGGGGAGGGTGTGATGGGAGGGGTCGCGGCACCGGTAATCGTAAGAAGTCCAGATGTCGGCTAATATCCAAATCTGGAAAAAAGTCACTATATGGCTTCTCTTCGGCTGGGGGTTCGATGGTGGGAGGTGTTGGCTCCAATGCAGGAGACCGCGATCGCATGCGTGACCGGGTTAGAAAATCCAGAGATTTGCGCGAGCGACTTCGACGCCCGCTACCCTTTGCACGATGGCCGCCCCGGTATCCGCTCCTTTCCGGTGAATTCCCTCGGTCCTCTTTCGAGTGTGCATCCGCGGAGGTACTATCGGAATCAACCTCGTCAGCTCTGAAGGGCGTGCTCGGCAGACCCGTATACACTGAACGTCGGGTTATCCGTCCTTGTAGCATGACGCTGTCTACGGGAGACTGCACTTGCACCTCGCTCATCTCGTCGAGGCGCAAACCCGCCTTGTGGCTCCGCTGATCTCGACACCGTGAGACTTCTGCAGGAGGTTTGGTGACCAATGTGGATTGCCGTCTGCCAAAGTACGGTACTTTACAAAGTGGGGATACCCGTTTGTAGTTTCAAAACTCGCTAATCCGCAGGTGCTGAGCGCGGAGATTTTGTTACGCTGGTTTGAGATGAGTTGAATGTAGCGACGTGCCTAAATGGGCAGCTCGTCGTAGTCGAAGCCTCAGTAAGCATTTCGTCCGGAAACGGGGGTCAATCACGTGGAGTTAGGATGGGTTCTTTCCATGGTTACGAGTGGCACAGCCCTCTGGACAAGAATTCAGCACGACTTTCGTTTTTGTTCAAGACTTTTTGGCAACATTCTTCCTGAGGATTGGTCGGATGCCACGTCCACTGCATACGCTTTCGGGTGGGAAGGGCACCAATTCATGCTTGGACGGGGCTGCACGATTGGTAGAAAGACGCTTTCTATAGTATCCCGTCGAGTCAACAGACCATGTGTGTTTGTGAAATCTGCCGACTATAGATGGTTCAGCCATACCCCACCTGCTCCGGTAAAGCCACTGCAAGCCAAACAAAAGGTTCTGGCAGTCGGTTTCAAGAATTTTAATGATTTGCTGAGAGACTTTCGCTGGGCTCTGAATTTCTACAACCACGATAGAACAACTCCTGCATATCAAGACGCATGGAACAGGTTCGGAGCGGTATGGAATTATGCAAAACGTGCATCCTGCGGTGCCATACTACGAAATGAGATTGAACGAAAAGATTTTGGAAAGTTACTTATTGCCATCAATCGCGATGAATCATTGTCACTTCGAGACCGTTTAGACCGAGTTCACAATGTCCTCCGACGAATGCGGGAATGTGGCCTTCAAATGGATGAATTCAGTTACAATCAGCTTGCAATTGCTTCCGGATATAGGATGACATATACCCAGGCTGTGGAGTTTCAGGATAGGATGCGAAAGGACGGAATCCAACTTACGGTGCTCACGTACTCTGCCCTCTTCACGGGACTACTACGAGTTCCGCAGTCAGGATCAATTGTTATGCGTCTTCTCTCTGACATGAAGGATGCAAAACTTCCACCTGACATACCCTTGTATACCATGCTTATTGATCACTTTGCCGGCAAAGGCGATTTTGGGAGGGCCAATCATATCATTGAATTGATGAGAATGCAGAAGTTAAAGCTAAATGAGGTTACCTACACGACGCTCATCAACGCCTATATCGAAGCCGGAGATTTTGACCAAGTAGAGCAATACTTTAAGATGATGCAGGCTGACGGGTTGGATGCAGATGCTCATGTACTAAGTACTCTCATGAACTTTTGCCTCAAGTCTGGCAACCTGGAAAAAGCGGAAGAAATGCTGGAAGACCTGCGGAAGAAGAAGCATCGCAAGGAGCAACCATCGAAGCATATGTACACTCTCGTAATCGGCGGATATGGAGCTCGAGAAGACATGGTGAATGCAGATCGATGGTTTCAACAAATGATAGCCGATGGAGTGCATCCCGACCAAGTGGCATGTACCAGCCTGATTGGGGGGTATGTGCGTATCGGCGATAGCACCAAAGCCGACGAGGTATTCCATAATATGACCCGGTACGGGCTACAGCCAGACGCGTACGCATATGCTGTGATGATCAATGGATATGTCAAAAGGAAAGACTTGCGATCTACAGCCAAGATGCTCAGGGAAATGCATCATTGCGGCGTCTCGATGGAAACAGTTCCATTTAGCAGAATCATAAAGCTGTATCTACTACGGGGTGACGACGACGCCGCTTTGGACACCTTTTCCGCGCTGATCTCTGCTGTCAGTGAAAAAAAGGCTCGAATGGAGTGGACGCACATAATCCAATTTCTGGTGAGACTAGGTCGATTAACAGCTGTGCGAGCGTGGTACGATGCGCTACGAACCGCTGGTATGGAAGTTGGGAAGCGTACAGCTGGATTTGTATGGTCACCTGGGTCGTCTTGGAAAGCCGAGATCTTGCGCGAATTTGGAAACCAAGGAAGATTTAAGGCAGGCTTGGCTGTCTGGCGATACTTACGGCGAATCGAAAAGGTCATAGATGAAAGCACAATCTGTGCCTATGTTGATTTGTGCCGTATGGATGGTGCTGTTGACAACCTCCGTTTGGATCTCGAAAGTATGGTGGAAGAAGGATATGCACTCACTGCGCCAATATACGCGTCCTGGATGGTGACGCTGATATCTCGAGGGCATGCAAGGAAAGCAACTCGATTGCTGATGGAAGACATGCCGGACAATGGGATACATCCCACCGTAGACACCTTTGTGAGGGTTGTGACAGAATTGAGAAGGCAAGCACAATGGGCAGAGGCCAGGCACGTTTTAGATTATCTCGCATCTGAGGAGCCGGAACTGGAACCAGAAGTAAATCGCACACTTGTAGAAGGGTTACATGATATAACGAATCAGTAGCACCGGGTGTAAATCGCATAGAGCTGTACATAATGATGGCAAACGAGTTCAGCAGGCTCAATCTCAACCGGGCTTCTTTCGCTTCTTGCTTTTCTCTTCCTTCATCTGCTCACTCATGCCAGATAGTATTTGGTGCTACAAGGGAAAAACACAAAAAGCACCCTTCCCGCTTAGACCCAGATAATGCCGGATGATTTGTATCAGATATCATACCACACTATCGTTTCGCCGTGCGCATAACTTGACATCTTCAGTGGAAATCACTGTGCGTCTTCCGTGTCTGTCACATTGCAAACAGATCAGCGTCAGAGAACCAAGACTGCGCTCAAACCAGTACCGCACCTTGAAAAGCACTCCAAGTCCAACGCCATAATTTCTGATGGCATATCGTCAGTATATCTATATGGCCACTACTGCTGTCCGAATTGGTGTGAAGACTCACCAGCTTGCTGATAGACCAGTTCAGAAAGGGCATGTATAAAGTGTGGAGATGGCATCATATTCGAAGAAGCTGCTACTCTTGTAGTATATTAGTGGCCATCAATGAATTAAAGTATGTCCTTTTGCGTTTGTTACGATGCAGTACCTTCTTCGTCACATATTTTTCCAACTGTATAGTGGACGGCAGCTCGTAACCGCTAAAGATTTAAAGATGCACATGCATATTAGGCTTTCCATAGCTCGCCAGAACCGACTCTGTTGCAAGCCTGTTTCTCACCTGCTTAAGCGCACTATCTTCGCCTTCCGTCATGATAGTGAATGTCGCCAACCATATGCTGCTTCGACACAGCGATGGGCTGTTGCAAATACCAGTAAGCAAGGTCCGATCGCGTCAGACGCGTCAAGATGCACGCCACGAGCACGAGCCATGAGGAGATACAGCATTTGCAACTAGCGGGGACCTTGCATGCGTACTAGTAGAAGACTAGGGAAATGGACCCCGCTGACGACGCTGGAACCGACTCCTCTACGGGAGGCAAAGCACCCCAAAGAGACCTAATAACATGGCACATCTTTGTGAACCCCGCTTCCGGAAGCCGGTCAGGGACACATATCTGGGACACCATTGTGCGTCCCGCATTGGAAGGAGCTGGATGGCGAAAGAGTTGCTATGGAGAAGAGACGACCTTTGAAGAAACTTGCTTTCAAGTAACTTTTACTAAGCGGTGAGGCCGGGGTTCGTCAAATGGTGTACACAGGGAAACATTCCAACACCGTAATTGAATAGTGGTAACCATGCCGCCGATACTGTGCGTGAATTGGTTACGAAACGTCAAACCTTGGAGGGATTAGGATTTGTTTGTATTGGTGGTAGGTACAGCTGCCTTTATTCTGCGTAAGGAGGTGCTCATGCGCTGGTATCAGGGGACGGAGTGGTGCACGAAGTCATTAAGGGCGTCATGTCGAGTATTTCCACATCGAACCCTCCATCTTTGAAGGTTCCGATCGCCGTCATCCCCGCTGGCACAGGAAACGCTCTAGCAACATCTTTAAAATTGTCATCACCCGAGGAGGCAACGGAGCGCTTGATCAATTATAAACAAACGGTTCCTCTCAAAATCAGCAGCGTTCATATCGGCCCGTCGACTTTGGACGAGTGTCCCGACGAGGTGCTGATGTACAGCTTTTGTGTCGTGAGTTGGGGTTTACATGCGCAGATTGTCAGACAATCCGAAACGTTACGGATGCTAGGAAGAAAGAGATTTCAGGTAGGAGACTCTTATTTTCGTAGATTATTGCATCCTGCTGATGGGTATTTTTCCTTAGGTGGCTGCCATGATGAACATTGCCCTGATGCACCAATACCGAGGACAACTTTACCTTCTTGATCCAACAGAGCTCTCACAGACGGATCCAGACCCTGTAACATTCGCAAAGCCTGACTGGGCCGTGGATGAAAAATGGGTACCCGTTAACGGCAAGGACGATGCAACATCCTTTTCATACTTTCTTAGTACAAAGGTATGTGCAATAGGGTTACCAAAGATCAAAGGTACGTCGACCTAACGTTAGCACATTTTGTTTATATTGTAGATGTCATCCCTTGAACCAGGCTTTCAAATCGCACCACATGCTCATCCTTCCACTTCTAATATCGACCTCGTCCTCGCGCCATCCTTGAACCGCTCCCAATTGTTACACTTTCTCCAATCAACTCCCGCTATTCCAGAGTACATCCGCTACATCAAGACACGAGGGTTTAAACTTGCTCCGTCTCAGTCCAGTGGCCGAAGAACATCATGGGTGCCAAAAGCTGGGAAGCTAGTACATGACATCTGTATAGACGGAGAGATGGTAGAACTAGAAAATGGACAGGCAGTATGGGTTAAAATCCTAGATGAAAGAGCGCAACTTTTCAATGTAGTATGCTGAAACTTTAGGAGGCTTTTTCTGGACTCTGAAGATAATCAAATTACTCGTCATGATGATTATTCGTAAATGGACAAACTTGGCAAAAACACATAAACAGATCAATACCTATATATGAACAACACCTAATCTACAGTCTCAACCCATTATAAATCGTACGGGTAAAAGACCCAACTACATCCTACATTCACAGCCCATCTCTATGTTCGACAATTGTCCCTACGATGTGAAACTAAGTGATCGACTATTCCTCAGTCCGCTTCTCCTTAGCAATGCCGACTTCAATCCCCTGGACTCCACCACGGTTGGAAGCGACGGAAGGCTAGGGTTTTTGGTGAGGGAACTCAAAGGTAGTGTACAGGATCCTGATCGCGTCATTGTTGGTTTTCGTCGCCGGACGGAAGCTGGAGAGCCGGGAGGGGAAGGAAGAGGAGATCCGGGCGCAGAGGGGATGGGGCTTGGCGCAGTCTCTGGGAGGGGACAGAATAGGAGAGATAGCCGTTCTTCATCAGAATTCCAATGCGGGCAACAGAGCCTGTATTCCAAGGGCACTTTAACGTCATTCCGCTCCACGATTCTGCCACGTAAACAGACACTTTCAAAGTAAGGTCCACCGCAGAAAGTACATTTATGCGCCGATGCTAGGTACGCTTTCAATTCGTCGTGTGTCACCTCAAGGATTGGTAGCTGCTGGCGTACGATAACGCGGGCGGCCAATTCCTTGAGAGTTGGGGGAGAGTTCACTTTCTCCACTTCAAACTTTGTCCGCAAGGGACACTCTTTCAATGCAAGCGTGCGGAGGAACTTTAGGCGGTTAAGCTCAGCGGGAATTACCGTGAGTGGATTCTTTGACAACTCCAAGGTTGTGAGAGTTTTGACTTGCCCTAACTCCGGGGGCAGTGATGTGATACAATTGTTTTCGAGATGGAGGGACGCAAGCTTCTTTAAACTGCCTATTGACGAGGGGATGGTTTCAAGTAAATTGTCAGACGCCTTGAGTTCTATCAGCTTTGTGAGAAAGCCAATAGTGTCTGGTAGCGATGTGAGGCGATTTGATGCGACGGATAGATGCACAAGATTCTTCATGTGACCAATTTCGGGGGGTATTTCGGTTAGATCATTACAGCACCTACGACCAGGCGACAAGAAAGGTTAGTGGGACAGTTTTAACTACGCGAAGCATAGTAGAAATAAGCTGCTTGCAGCTAATGTTGCCCGTTGACTTACAGGTGGAGTGTAGTTGTTGTTGAGAGAAGACCAATATTGGGGGACAGCCGGACCAAGGCTTGGGAGCACAACCCGATTGTGCTGACGGACGTTAATTGACCAAATTTGATGGCTTTCATATTATTTCGCCTGAGGCTCTCTTCTGCAGCTCTGTCGAGGCGATAGACATCGGTCAAGCCATCGGTGACCTCGTCGGAGGATTCATTCAATAGTATATCAAGGTCATTCAGGGAAAATGAGGATGGCAAACGTCCGTCCTTTGCTCTTGCAAAAAGTCCTCCCAGTCCCTGTCGCTCACCACGCTCTGATCGATTGCCCCAAGGTCTTCGTCGCTCATCCTCTCTATCTATAACTGCCAGTGATGGCGCTATTTCTTGGCCACGGTGTGGCCGGGATTCTCGGTTCGAAGCCGATGATTCTCCAGAATCAATCAGAGCATACGCCACCGGAAGGCCGGCATGCTCTTTACTGATGCCTGCTCCCATGTTCAGTTCTGGTCCCGAAAGGAGCCGTCACTGAGATGAAGACAGTAAGAGTGTAATGGTTGTCTGTGTAGGTTTTAGCGATCTAACGCCACAGGACAAGGAGTGGCACTGCCGCCCGCTAAAGGGAAATGAAGGGAAAGCGGATGGCTGGTCAATGAGATGAAAAAAAGAAAGAGGACACAGCCCGTCTCTCATGCAGCCGTCGTCGGGCTGTCAGACATGCAGGAAGGGGAGAAAAGAAGGAGGAGATACACACCTGGCCGGCACGTCTCTCGCGGATAAAACTTCACACGCGGCTTAGCCCCGGGAAAAGGGAATTGATAACGAAAAAAGCAACTTTCACGACGACGACGAACGAACAAATGTGGAAATGGCCAATGCAACAAAAGGAAATGGGAGATTCCCACAAGAACAAAAAGCGCCCTTTTGTTTAGGGTTTGGAGGTGAAACCTGAACGGAGAGAACGTTTTGAATAATTACTATTTATAGTCTCTCTCGCTTTAAAACCCTCAGACTTTCAAGGGGATATCCTTTTGGTATCCTAGCGGTCATCGGAAAGTTTATTTTTGTTTTAGCATTTTGGGGCTTCATCAATATCAGGATATGCATGTTGCATTCCTGCTCTTATTCAGTCGCATGTTGGTTCCACCTCTTTTGGCAGATGAAAATCATAAGATAGATTCGTTTACCTTGTGTAGAAGACTTGTCATCTCAAGGACCTCAAAACGTTAAACTTGTTTAAGCGCAGAATTCACTAGCCCACTAATGATCAAGTACCTGAAGGGAACGCGAAATTACCTGCGGCCGTTGATGGGATACCTTTGATAATAAAAATAATATAGATTGTACATACACCACATATACACATATACACCGCTCGGCAACTGATATTCATACGCTAACGACCATCGGAACGACAATGTCGCCAACTTGCTGGACGCGCATCTCGTGCACTGCAGTCTTCACTTGCTCCATAATATCCGATATTTGATCAATGTCCTCTCTTTTGATGGTCCCTGTTGCCAGCAACCGGGGAATCTTGTCCTTTGCTTCCTCAACAGATGGAATGCGGGCAGTATTTTTCTGCGTAAACTTGGCCAACTGTGGCTGGCATTCCTTTACAAGTGCGCTACGATCACCGCTTTAAAAAGAATGTCACCAACCAGAAACCCAGCGCAAAGAGTTTTACCTATATTCGTGCGCTCTCTGAGCTGCATGCTCATCTTGAATACGGTCCAGCATGCGAGTCGAGGAAATGTCAATCAAATTGCTGATAAAATAAAAGATTTTCAGCACACCGGGGATTTCAAAGAAAAGCCACCTATGCTTGTAACTTACTCGGCGGTACGCTGAACAATTCGCTTCAATGTCTCCTGCTCACGCAGTTGGCTCAAGGCGTGATAATTGTGTGGTGTTCTGAATGAAACAAATCCACGTCGTAGTTGGCACGCAGAACGCAAGGCAGCAGAAAAGTTGCATTAACAATACATACGGCTCTTCATTTTGAGAGACAATGTCTGCTCCTAGCAATCGAGATCGCTCGGTAGGATGCTGGGAAGAGTACAATTGTTCGGATAAGCACGTATGCGTATCCACACGACCTGAATCGTCGCCTACGCACCTGGTCAAAGTTGTCACTGCTTTCTGACCGGCTATCGCCAAAGCAGGCAGAGCACCAATTGCCCATCAGGCACTGTTTTACCAAAGGTACGGAAAACTTGTTTTACTGGCGTTTTTCTCAATGTACGATACGAGATCAATGCAGCTTCAGGGTGAGAGAAATAAGCTCGACGCTCAAAGTAGCCAGAGACGGCTAAGCCTCCTCGGTGGTAAATTTATAACAAGATATAATCGAGAGATCTTCTGATAGATTTTGGGTTTTTGTTCCGCTCTTCTCGTTTTACATATTGCCCTTGTCTCTAGATCACGGAGAACATGAGCTCTCACGACCGGTATCAATCGCCACTTACGTCGCGCTATGCGTCGCCGGAGATGGCATACAACTTCTCTGACGATAAAAAGTTTGGCACATGGCGTAGGCTTTGGTTGACCCTCGCCAATGCCGAGAAGCAGCTTGGTCTGAAGGATATCACCGACGAAGCTTTGAAAGAGATGGAAGAAAACTTGACCAATATCGACTATACGATGGCTGCAGCGGAGGAGAAGCGAAGGCGCCACGATGTCATGGCTCACGTTCACACTTTTGGTGTGGCCGCCCCAAAGGCCGCAGGTATCATTCACTTGGGTGCAACTTCTTGCTATGTCACCGACAACTCGGAGCTCATTATGATGCGGGATGGACTCGATATTCTTCTTCCGAAATTGGCGAGCGCCATTGACAAGCTGGCCAGCTTTGCCCGGCAGTACAAGGACTTGCCCACGCTTGGCTTCACCCATTTCCAGCCGGCTCAGTTGACGACAGTCGGCAAACGTGCTTCATTGTGGTTGCAGGATCTCTTGATGGATCTACGCAACATTTCGCGTGCTCGCTTGGATATGAGGTTCCGTGGAGTTAAGGGCACCACCGGAACACAGGCGTCGTTCCTCACGTTGTTCGATGGAGACCATGACAAGGTGGAAGAGCTCGATCGCTTGGTTACCGAAATGTCTGGATTTCCCTCCGCATATGCTGTAACGGGACAAACTTACAGTCGTAAGGTTGATCTCGATGTATTGAATTCCTTATCATCGTTTGGTGCAACAGCGCATAAAATCGCCACCGATATTCGTCTCTTGGCTCATTTGAAGGAACTTGAAGAGCCATTCGAGAAGGACCAGATCGGATCTTCTGCCATGGCATACAAGCGGAATCCCATGCGCTCAGAACGTGTGTGTTCCTTGGCGCGCCACCTGATGACCCTTGTTGGGAACACGCACAATACCGCCGCCGTACAGTGGCTCGAACGAACACTCGATGACTCAGCCAATCGTCGTGTGAGCATTCCGGAGGCATTCCTCACAGCTGATATTCTTCTCTCTCTGCTGCAAAACATTTTCTCGGGGATGGTCGTATATCCCAAGGTCATTGGTCGGCGCATTGCCCAGGAGCTTCCCTTCATGGCAACGGAGAATGTGATTATGGCTATGGTGAAGGCCGGAGGAGACAGGCAGGTCTGTCACGAAGAGATCCGAGTTCTCAGTCACCAGGCGGCCAGAAAGGTCAAAGAAGAGGGCGGCGAGAACGACCTCATTGAGAGGATTCGCGCCGCTCCTTACTTCCAGCCTATCGTCGGCCAATTGGACTCGCTTCTGGATCCCAAGACCTTCATCGGACGTGCACCGCAGCAGGTTGAGCGGTTCTTGACCTTGGAGGTGGAGCCCGCTTTGAAACCTTTTGCGGATGTGTTGGCCAAGGGCGTTAAGGAAGTTGAACTGTCTGTCTAAGACTAGCGAACATTCATATTTTCATTGTTTATAGAAGTACAACTGGTTTTTCATCTCATAACTTGGATGATCCATTGTCTGCTGTCTCTATTTAAACATCACAGCTCTCCAGCGTGACGGGGTGGAGGACCTTGCCGCTCTCTCCCTGGCGGCTCGTCTCCTGGCCTCTGTCCACCTTCAGCCTCATTTATTCGTATTATTTCAAGTCTCTCTCCTCGCTCTTCTCCTGCTTCTGCTACTGCTCCAGCACGGGCTCGTCTAACATTTTGTTCCGACTTTCCCCGATGCGCTTGCTCTTCATCATCCCCTATAGCTCCCCAAAGGTGGTACAACTCCTCGCGCATGTTCTCAAGTTCCTCCTCTAGTAGCCCTAGAACAGCGTCTCTCTTACGCAATCGCTCGGCTTCGTCACCCTCCTCGCCATCAAAGTCCAGGTCTCTCAAAAGATCATCATATTTATGAAGAAGATCCTCCTCGTCTGTGAGTGCGTCGCCTTCTGCATTAAACATAACCGTGTCTAGTAGTTCTTGCAAAGGATCGGTTTCTTCATAGGTATCTGCCAGTTCTAAAGGTGCAGTTTTAGGCGCTGTGACCGAGGACGATCGATCAGAGTCCTCCAGTGGTTCTTGCAGAGGGTCCTTTGAAGTGGGCGCTGCGTCACGCGACGGGAACTGAACAATCGGCATCTCAGTTGTTTCAAGAAGCCGGGCATTTTTTTCCTCGTCTGTCAAAACCGGTTGACATTTTATTACCCCCAATTTCACATTCCGTTCTACCACTTGCGGGCCAGGTTGAAACCATGATAACTTGCATACTCTATGCGTGTGTATGATCATGACGTAGTTACAAACAGCCATTTCCCGAACAGAGGAGATATGCTCGTCTGGGCAGCAATGAAATTGTACTTCAATATGTCGCGGTTTGCCTGTCACTTCACAAAGAGTGCCTCCGCCCCAGCGCATTCGGAGGTAATGTCGTCCCTCATCGTCAAATTCGACGAGGGATACGGAAGCAAATGGTGAAGGGTCGTAACGCAGCATAGATTTGGGTGGCGTACCGAGTACGTAGTCAAGAAGAGGGTGCCGTGCCAATTTCCCAGTGAATGAATGATATTGTCGTATTTTTTGAAGATGACAGTATTCGTAGGACCACCATCCTTGGGTCTGTCCAATATCAATGAGAATAATTGCAGATAAATGATATGAAAACATTCAATGACAAACGGGTTGATTCACGTACATAAGACAAACACTCATTCGCCAAACTGCTCAGAGCCACCAACGTCTTTTCTACTTTTGAGCGGTATAGTTGAGGATTCAAGGTTTCGAGAGGTTGTCGTACCAGCGAAGAAGTGGAAGAGGTCGGTGATGGAAGTTTACATAGGAAGTACTTTGGAATTGTAGCAGAAGGTACGGGGAGGTGCGGTCCTCGACGAAACGGAAACAAAAGAACTTGCGGATTTGTCTATGCGCAAAACGAGGTAAATGGCTGTGAAGACGTTTTCGAAGAAAATTGCTTGGACTATCCATTAACCTTTTCCAACTCTAATGCCTCACTCTCTGATAAAAAATGGGTCCCGTCGCCCTCGTCAACAGTGATTCGGTACCCTCCGAGCGATAGTACATTGTCCGAATACACAAATGCATGACTAACTCGCTCGGAAGGTGATACAACGCTGGGGGAAGCATGGGCTGCTCCGAGGAACAGAGCGAGAGCAAAGCAAGTGGAAGCTCGCATGGCAAAAGCCTTGCTATAAATTGAAAGGCGAAAGCAGGCCTGCAAAGGTGCTGTCTTCGAAAACCACCGCGTTGGACGTGGTGTTGCCTGCAGTTTGCTAAGCCGCTATAATTTCATTTTCACCAGAAACTGTCTCGAACTGATCGCTGGAATGTCAAACGCATCAGACGATTGTCATGTTTCTAGAAAAGCAGATTCTCGACCATCTCGGTCACTTTATCCGCTCTCAGGGATATACACCAAACGAACAGGAGGCAACCTGTATCAAGGTCTACGATAATTCACCCATATTCTACACCTTTGCAAACTTTGTCGTATGGGGAAGCATGGCTTACTATACCCTTGATATGCGCTCCCTCTTTCCAAAGTCAACACCAACACCGCCAAAGACCGTTCCAGCAGCACTATCCCACCCGTCACGTACGCCAGTGCCACGGTGGATAACGCTATGGGGTATTGCTGCAATCACCGCTGGGGCCTTCGCCACTACGTATTATACCAGCAAAGTGGCGGCGAGAAGCTGTTTGCAATGTTTCTTGGATGTGGATAACAAAAAGTCAGAACTATATCTCGCGACCCGTAAGCTATTAGCGGATCACCATCCTGATGCTAAGAAGTTTTTTATGCAAGAGAAGCGAAAAGAGAGCCTGTAGATACCTTTTAAATTAGATTATAGCCTAGAGCTTCCGCATTTCGTCAATAATATTTTAAGGGAGGAATGATTCGACGATTATGTCTTTTGTTTCCATTTCGAATGGAAGCTACTTATTTCCTGTTTCAGTGGAAATCATCCCCCATTCGTATATTGGAGTAGCATATTCCAATTCTGGCCACCTGTACAGCAATTGCACCTTTCCCCACAGTCTACGGTATGAGGTTAGCTATCAAAGGATTCATGGGCTTCATAAGAGGATCTCAAGTCTGAATGTATTGCAAAGTCCATTTGCAATAAGGATCACATGTTCCCGAAGCTCCCTCGGGCCATCCCAACACCCACCAGACTCTAACTACATAACCTCTTAGAAAAGCTCCATGCCTTGCTCATGTTGCTCCTTAACAAAGATCTCGAAATACTGGATTCGGAAAGGAAGCATCAATAACAAGTCACAACTCCTATAACAATGGCAGACGTACCTGGTAAATGATCGTCACAGCCAGCAGAATACCTGTACCTGAACCGATCGCTCCCAAAAGGTCTGCCGATACAGACAGCGCGCCAATACAAAGACCACCGAAAGCAGCAGCAGTTGGAATGATACGCTTCAGCTCCTTGTACATGGATTGGTCACGGTGACCGCGCATTACTAGCTGCTGCTCCTTCAACTGTCTTGCAACATCTCTAGGGGAGGAACCGGAAACCTCAATCCATGTTTTCGAGAACAGGGCGCATGCGGAGAGCATAAAGGTCACATAGATCACAAAGTGCACCGGATCACTCAAGGCCTTTCCAAGATTCTGCGGCGGAGAGATGTAGTAGGCAAAACCACTGGCAGCGTATTCTTGAGGGACGCCCTCAGGACTCTTCCAAACGCCGAGAAGGCGGACAAGGAGGTTTTCCGGCCAGCGTTTGTACAATAATTGAGAGATAAAGTAGATGTTCGAAACCAGAGCGGACTGCAACATGATGGGCATGTTGGACGTGTAGAAGAGCTTGATGGGGTAGTTACCCTGTTGACCACGGAATCGGTTTGACTTCACCGGGATCTCAACACGGAATCCTTGCAAGTAAATGACTACTGCAAAGACCAAGAGAGTCGCAGCCAGATTCATCAAGTTGGGGAGATTCTGCCTGTACATGGCCTCTTTCAACGCGCGGAACTTGTCGTGGCGTGTGAACAAGAGATGAAAAAGCGCAACCACAGCGCCCTCGAACTCAGTTCCTGTGAGACACAAAATGTCAGCGACTTCCTTAATGCAAGAAAATTGAGATCTTCAGTCACCTCGTCCAGTGTTGTAAGTAGTTGGGCTGAAAGCCTTCCAGACAATGGTCTCGCAGATGTTGGTGGCGATGAAGAGAGAGATACCAGATCCAAGCCCGTAGCCTTTCTGCAGCAATTCGTCCAACAACATAGTGATCAAGGCCGCGATGCAAAGTTGGAGGATCAACAAAATGGAGATGCCTGCTCCGATGTCCTTAGGGTCGCCGTAAACGCCTGACCAGACAGACACGGTAGCCTGTCCAACGGCGATCACCATGGCAAACACTACAGCGTATCAGTTAGAAGGTCTCTGAGCAAGAAATATTTATAGATCGAGGCACTTACGTTTCTGCGCTCCGGAGAAAAGGGCCCGATCTTCTTTCAATGAGTAATCGACCTCAATGATGTTCGCACCAGCCAACAACTGCATTATCATGCCGGAAGTCACAATCGGTGTGATACCCATCTCCATAAGCGTTCCTCGGTTCGAAGCCATAATCACACGGAGCCAGTACATTGGGTCGGACGTGTCAGAGGACATGATCCCGAAAAGAGGAATTTGGGAGCACACCAGGAAGATGAAAAGCGTGATAGCGGTCCACATGACCTTTTCCCGGAACTGCACCTAGAAAGGACAAGAAGAAGACCGCGAATGTTGGTACATATTAACCTCATCCACATTCTTAGAGCGAGCCGTACCTTGCGGTCTGGTGCAGCGACCTCGGGCATCAGTGAGATGAACGGCCTCAACGCGTGGAGCAAGCGAACTACAAAAAATCGCTACAGTTAATCTACTGGCTTCTAGCTTGATATATCCCGCCATAACAATTCCTTACACGACATGATTCCCAGTATACGAGGATTTCAACAAGGGTATGCTGCAAGATGTTCAGCCTGTTTCGCGCGGCGACAAGCTGATATCTCCGTCACGTAGTCCAACTAAAATTGGACCCAACCAAATCGTCCACGCAAAAACGTCCGCACTACGCACTTCGTTGGAAATGGCAGATCGCAGGGATGCACAATTTTGAGACGACTGTGCGGCGTGCAAAGCTGCGGGTTGCTGGTCTGCAGTTGTGGCCCAAAGGAAGGATGTGGAGACGATTCATTGGCTGAAATGAGTCACGTGAAGAAATGCACGTGAAATTGTTGCTATAGCAATTCCACACGCTATGCGCGTATAAAAGGGGGCAGCAGCATTATGTTTTCCCTTCATCGCGTTATTGTCCAATAAACTGCCTTATCTTCTTCATCTGTCGTACTTATCGACGTGTTCTTTCGTTTGAATCGAACGTATCTTCTTACTCACACTTGCAATGGCTGGTTCGTATCGTTGTTCTTTTCATTTTTTTCAGGTGGTGTGTGGTGGACACTCATTACCAGGACACTTTCATCTTTCTTAGGAGGCAAAGGAAAGGCTGGTGCTGAAAAGGCTCCCAAAGGTGGCAAGTCGCGCTCTTCTCGTGCTGGTCTTCAGTTCCCTGTTGGCCGTATCCACCGTCTTCTCCGCAAGGGCAACTACGCTCAGCGTGTCGGTGCCGGTAAGACGTTGTTTTGTTCTTGCTCTTATTTCGCAGATTTTTAAGGTCAATGGTATTGTAGGTGCACCTGTCTACTTGGCTGCGGTGTTGGAATACCTGGCTGCTGAAATTCTAGAGTTGGCAGGCAATGCCGCTCGCGACAACAAGAAGACGCGTATCATTCCTCGTCATTTGCAATTGGCCATCCGGAACGATGAGGAGCTTAACCGACTTCTCGGCAATGTGACCATTGCTCAAGGTGGTGTCCTCCCCAACATCCACTCTGTCCTCTTGCCCAAGAAAACCAAGACTGGAAAGGGCGAAAAGGGAGGCTCTCAGAGCCAGGAATACTAGGCTGTCGGAAAGCCAAGGTGTTTTTGAACACCCGAGTTTTGTATATATGTAGTATGGGTGCCGCCCAAATATGTCTATAAGGAGCTACGCTATCAGCCATTTGCTTGACCCTCTTTCGGCGTGACGATTTGAATGTGTTATGATACTTTTGATGATGCTCTTGAGTATCCTTCTTTCTGCCATCTCAGTCCAGTCCTAATAATCATGACAATCTGCATAAAAGGCCGTATGCTGGAGCAGTTAAAACAGTTTGAGCAGCCAGATTATGCTGGAATGCATTCACGTGAGCACGGATGTTGCCATGGAAGATACAACTGTGTTCAACTGCCCTCTCTACCAAATGTCCATCGTATGCGACTGATTCCGCGCAAACATGGCAGAGACATTACCTCCGCCAAGCGCGGCAGAGCGGAAGAAGGCGCAAGACGAGGCATTTCGGTTAACGGAACTGGTTGGTGAAATGTCTAATAGTATGCAACTTTTCGGTTTGAACTAACGCATGCGCTATCTGCAAGGTGGTGAACTCTCAGGAACGCGAGCTGCGAGTGAATTCTATTCGTATTGAAGGAGTGGACTACACACGTCGGACTATTGTGGAAGATCTTGTCAAGCCAATCTTGGAGTCTCAGAACCTTGGTGACATTATAGCGGAATCGCGGGAAGCATGCCACCGTCTATCGCGCTTGGGGGTGTTCAAGGACGTGGGAGTCACTCTTGATACACCGACAGATCCCTATGGTGCAGCAGGAGAGCTTGTGGATGTCGTGCTGACAGTAAAGGAGGGTCCCAGATTGTACGCGCGGACTGGGGCGGACTTTTCCAATTATGATACCACAACTGTACGTCGAACTCTCGTGAGATCTGCTATTCTTGTTATTGAGCATCGATATCGTCACTGTAGAATATTACCGCGCGGATATCAAATGCATTTGGTGCAGGGGAAACTATCGAGGGACATGCCTCTTATGCTGTGCAACCAAACGTCGCGTTGAATGAATCTGCCGCGTCTTTTGCTAGCGAGAGCGGTAGCTATTTCCAAGTATGGATGCGACATGTACTTTGAGACGGATGCATGGCGCATAGAGCTGACTGATATGCATGTCCAATAGCTGCTTTTCAGTAAGCCCTTGGTTCCCAAACCAGTGTTCCAGCGCCCGAATCGCGCCGATCCGGACGCCCGGGTGGAGCTCGCAGCTTACAGTACCAATCGCAACATGTCTCTGTACATGTCACATGAGGAGGAAGCGAAAGGCGGTATTGCCCGCTACAAGGTAAGGGTTTTACGCATCCAACACCTGCTTGGTAGGGCAAGTTCTGAACATATGTGCTTGCAGACGATAGATCCTTTGAAAGGAACTCATGAATTCAGCTATGACGTGGCATGGAGGCATGTACATAAGGTCACTCAAGACGCATCCTGGAGGTTGGACAGTTGTTGTTTGTGGGTGTCATGCGTGCGTCCCGCTAATCCACGCAATTTGCAGCATCCGACAAGATGCCGGACATTCCCTCAAGTCGGCTGTTGGCCACACATACACCAGGGATCATCGAGACGATTCTATGCTTCCGACGGAAGGATCCTTCATAAAAACGCGTGAGGAATTAGCGGGTCTTGGGGGCGATGTACGATTTGTGAAGGGGGAGGCAGAGGGACAATGGGCTCATCCACTTGGGGGCGGATTTGTAAGTGAAATGGCACCTTTTTGCTAATATCTGGTATTGAGCTCTTCCTAACATCTTTGTCTCTTGATAGAGTTTGACGGCGTCTTTACGTGGTGGACTTTTGCTGCCATTGTTTGGGCAGCGCCCACGGATTAATGACAGGTTCACCTTGGGAGGTCCAAATACAATACGGGGATTCCGGCAAAGTGGAGTAGGGCCAATGGATAAACGTATGTGAAATCTCGACAATACGCCGTTCTTTTTTCTTACAATTCTCTGCAGAGGACGCAGTCGGGGGTGATGCATACTGGGCTGGCGGTTTAAGCTTGTTCACACCCTTGCCGTATCTGATAAATAAGCCGCTGAAGGGACACGTATTCGTCAATGGGGGTAGTTTAGCTCCCGTTAACACACGTATGTTGCGCGCACTTGGGGGCTTCCGTCTAAAAACTGAAATTGACACATTTGTTGACTGTAGGTGACACACTCGAAAACAATGCCAGAAATTTAATTCGTTCCCCGAGCGTTTCAGCAGGATTAGGACTCGCAGTGCGGTTTAGTATACTGCGGCTAGAACTCAACTACTGTCTTCCTCTTACAGCAACCACCACTGATGTAGCAAAGCCTGGCTTTCAATTTGGCATAGGCATTACATATATGTAACATTGAAATAGATTTGCAACTCTGTCGAGTCATCTGATTATGGGAACATGTGCTTATGATTGCATCGATAGTGCAGGCTCGGTAGTCGTATTGTGCAATCGACTAGGGGTACCATAGCCAAGTGCTGACAATCCACTGGTTTCATTCACCATTCAAGGTCTTCTGGACGGACGGGGTGTGGTAAGGGAACGATACTCTCTTTATTGACATCTCGTGGTAGCGCTTTCCGCATATCTAGGGATCGTCGAAATGAAGTCAGTCGTATCATTTAGACGTACAGACAGGGCAACCATCTACTCACCAAATGCATCTTCCGAGTTGGCACCAGAATAGTACTGTAGAACCCGCCGGTAGACACTATACCCGAACTTCTCGTACATGCCTATCGCAACGCTATTTGACACTCGAACGAACAAATCGACAAAATACGCATTATATCTGTGAAAAGGGATTAGAATGGTGCATAAGTTCATAGACGTTGCATCATACGTACATCTTCTCGGATACTGTCTCTAATATGCCCATGAGCTTGTCGGCTAGCCCAAGTCTTCGAAATTCTGGTGCAACAGTCACCGCCGTAACGTGTCCATGCCAAAGCTTCCCAGTACCTTCAGCCTTTCCCATAACTACAATAAAGTTAGTAAGCGTGGTGCTATCGGCGTCCCCAAAAAAAACGTACTATATCCCATGCAGGCATTGTTTGGCGCTTCTGCAGCGACAAAGTAGTCTGGCCATTGTGCCAGATATTGTAGATAGAAGGAAATATTATACTAGAGTAAGCCGGTTAGGTTTCTCTTATAGCCGTATGAAATGAGACGGGAAGACGACATTATACCGTTTCAGTCAGCGGGTCTAAGTTGCTATGACGCAAATATCGTTCAGCACGGAGGCGATTCCAGGTATGACATTGAGGGCCAATCTCTTACACATTGTTAAACCGAAAAAGATCGTCAGCAACAAATCGCCGTAGCGTGGTCATTGTTTGAAATGTTGCGAGTTCAAAATCGCGATCTCCGGTGCTTGAAGGTCTTGTTGCTATAGCACGTGCCATGCTTACGGGATGTCGATCTGAAGGGTTTGCTCACCTACTTTGGTTTTCCGACACCAACGAGAACCGTAATGTCCCAAGTTGCCCGCATCCTCCTTGTATCGGATGTACACTCAAAGGTCGATAATGTTCATCGCCTGGCAATGTGCCTGCAGCGACGGAATGTGAAGTAAGTAGGTTTTGGCTAGCCGTCCCAGCTGCAAGAGTTCGCCCTGTTTTACGAGGTTAGCGAAAGCCTTTCTTTTGGCCACTGTTTTTGACATTATTGGTACTCTTTCCAGGCCAGATTTGATTGTACTCTGTGGAGATTTGGTAAACAGCAATCATGACTACGATTCTTTCTCATTATCGTCGGGGATCTCTACGAGTCGAAAGGATGCCAGCTCGAACCCGACTATTAGTAGCCCGTTCCAGGAGGCCGCCGATACCTTGGCACGAATGCGCCGACAGCAAGAAGAAACAGAGTTCCGAGCTATACTTCACGGCTTGGGAGGAGTATCCAAGAATATCTTTTACATACCTGGTTAGTATGGCCACATGGTGTGTTAGGCCACTTTGTTACCATCAACCTATAACTCACGGATTAGCTGAACAGGCAATCACGATCCATCCGAAGCGTTCCCCGACATGCACCCCACCACTTCGGTTACAGCAGACGAAACCGAGACTTCAGCTGCAGCCCGTCCGTTGTGGTATCGCATGCAAGTGGCCACGGGTGCTATCAATTTCCATCAGCGCCTAGTACGCTTGGGTGAGTAACATGCCACAATTTGGCAACAGGAGTGCATCTACTTATCAATGAACGGCATATTAGCACCAAATCTAATACTGGCTGGCTTTGGTGGATCGGTTCCCCAAACATTACGAGGACACCAAAAGATTGTCCACGCTGGTAAGCCAAAATAATATAGACATTGTCTCATAAGATGACTAATACGTGGGTTACCATAAATTGTGGCGATTGTGTAGGATATCCATACACTGAAAAACAGATGAGACAAGGGGTGCATGCTTTGCTAAAACAAAAGCGACCCATGCTGCCAAATGTTCAAGATGTCATCAAAAGTGGCTATGATAGATCAAAAGCGATTCCACCCAATAATGATCCTGATGTTCACATTTTGGTGACACACTGTGGGCCAGCCAGCACTGGTAAGTCCGATGTTAGCTTTGGCGTGAACGCACAGAATAGTGGTGGCTTAAGGCAGGCACAGGGACCACCGATATAAACAAAACTCCGTTTGATGAGAAAACAACTCGATTGGAGTCCGGTAGTCGTGAACTGCAAGAGCTGCTGTCATCTCGATTCTATCAGGGTGTCGAAGAAGTTCCTGTTATACCTAAATCCCCATCTCTGGCTGCCCGTCCAGCTCCTCCCAGTACGCCTTCAAAAGTGTCGCCAAATCTACTTTTCCACGTACATGGGCATTCGCACTCTGCGTGGGGCGTCTCGCACCTCGGAAAAATACCAGTCATAAATCCTGGTCCGCTTCGGGACGGAAGATTTGCAATCGCCACTATTGAGCATGGTCTAGGATTAGGGTTGGTAAGGCGGTGGATATTATCTTCACTAGAGTTCGCTACTGTATAGATAGTAGACATTACAATTTGCTGTTACGTAGATCGGTACAGATGCGCATCAACCCATGTTAATACTGTATATAAATTCTCATGCCACTCTAACCACAAGTCGATATGAAGAATCTAAACTAATTTGGCTGTTTGGTTCATTTCACTGACATCCGAGCCTTTGTTTGGAGTTGAGATGGAACATAATTTACAAGGTGCAAGTGCGAGCCTCGTCCTGCGGGATGTGCCGAGCGCGTTACTCGACGTGCCTGATGTGGAATGACAGGCTTTGAGGTTCGAGGAAGGTTTTCAGCGGGTGTGTGGCGGTGATGTCGAGCAGATTGCTCAGGACGTAGTTGTTTCTTGTCTCTGTTATACTGCGGTGAATGACAGCGCGGTAGTTTCTCATCAGTGTCCTGCCAATGAACCTTTCCTAAGAAGCTATATGTTTGATGACTAGGATGCATTACATTGAAAGTTGGTGTCAAGGGTTGAGAATCGGGTGCTTCTAGCTGGGTCTCATACTGTACAGCCGCAATATGACGAAGAAACACTTTTGCATTCACTGCCGTGGGTCCGAGATACGCTTCCTGAAGACACATCTCCCGCTGTGTCCTAAGCTCCCGGAGCAAGCGATGTCGGCGACTTGGTGCCAGTGGAGGTGCTGAGCAGGCTCGGGTTATAGGTAACGGCTGACTGTACGAGGAGAAGATATCATCGGGGGAACGTAATGCCAAAGGTTCAGCGGGGAAGCGTGTGCGGAACCAAGATGGGATCGGTCTGCGGTCGAGAGCAGGTAAGGCGGGAACAGGGTCGCAATACTGTTCTTGACGCCATGGATTAGTTTTGGATGCCAGGACAGCTTCTAGGTCGTTTCCGGGAAGTGGATCTTGATCTTCCCGCACTAATACAATCAGTGTTCGTACAGAGTTAGCTACCTAGAACTTGATCACAGCGACGCTCTCTTCATACCTTCGAAGCTTAATCCTTTTTTCGTCAAAACAGTCATCGCCCGACCTTTCTTTACTTTTGCTTTTGCTCGTGCAAAAGATCCTCGTTTACCAGTCGTCGTAACCTCCTTCTTGTCAGTCGCAGATGAATCAAATATGTCTGCCATCTGGGGTGCCTTAGGCTGTCCCTCAGCCTTGAAACCCGTCATCAATCGACTAGGTATGTTGGAAGAGTCCGTTATCGCAGTGCCCTGTCTACGGGAAATTGGGACAGGCAGGAAACTTTGGTGCGGAGTGCGTCCCCGTGTTGATGGCGTTTGTGGAATGGAAGCAGTGTTCTCTAGGAATCCCAGATCAGTTGAAGTTGATGTAGTAAGGTCGTTTTCCGAAGCTGAGGGTTTTGCAAGACTCTCTGCATCTTGGGGTACCATCGAGATCCCACTCTCGGTTCGACGATCGGTCGGTAGAATTGTGATTGTTGCAGATTGACGGGATGGGGTAGGTATGTATATTGAACCTTCTTCCTGTGCTATCCTTCCTACCCTTGAAGAACGTTTGCTTGTCGGGGCACTTTCTCCGGCTTCCTCGTCTGACGACGACCGACGGACCGACGCCACGGAGATTGTTCCTGCGAACGACGTATCAACTTTCGTCTCAATCTGAGATGGAATGACTTTTGAATCATTCTCGACCATTGTGATATGCAAGCTTTCTGATACGCGCTCAGCCTGCAGTTGCTCGTTCACATTGTCAATGTATTGAGTTGAAGGGCTTTCACTGTCATCCAATCGGACAGAATTTGTCCCTTCGTTGTCTGATACGAATCGATCTCCCTCCATATTATACACACTTGGCCTGTTAGACCCCAGAAAGATATCTGAAATTGTCCGATAAATGTATGCCTAAGTTTATCCCGTGGGTTTCCACTGCGTTGATATTTGAATACATGGTCGGCCAACGCATCACGTAAGATATGGAGTAAGCATTTTATATCTGCATCGACATTCTGAATGAACTTGAACAACGCATTTGATGACCGATACAGCCACTGTTTTTCCCAATGGTCATGTCATTGCTATCACGAATTTATTAAGTCCACCGTGTGAGTTGCGTTCAGTTCGGGCCAGACAACAGATGCATCAAAAATCGTCTAATCGTCACTGCTTATTTCAAAGTTGATGCATCTACATTGTTCAAGTATGTTTTCTCCATGACTGAAGGACTCCAACCATCGTTACAAGAGGCCTGTGGAGAGATATTTGTTTGGAAGCCAGCGTGTGGATCGGCAATGTAGATCTTGTAGAGAACGATGGTTATCCGACTCATATTGGCATTCCGCAAAGGTCGACTTCTTACAAGTTCCATGTTGTAGTTACAGAAAAAATGAATTGGATAGAAAACCACTTGCTTAGTTTACAGACTACTACTACTAAATGATATGAATTACACAAAGGCGCAAGCCCCACCCAAATGTACATGCGCAATCCTAATTCCTCCCATCAACACCAAATGCAAACTCCACCACCTCCTCCAATCCGTCCTGCCCTACCGCATCCACAAATCCATCATGCAACGACCAAACACTCGTGCTCACCCTTGATGGTTTCTCCCTCCATCGCATAGGCGTCGGATTGGGTCGGTGGTGTCGTGCATTCGTTGTGGCTTCCAAAGCCTTTGCCACGTTCCAACGCCACTGATCAGCGGGTGTGACCGTAACTGGGGTCGGATCCACGGGAGGTGGAGCGCCTTGATATTTTCCTGCTAGCTCATCCAACCCTAATCCTCTGACACAGAGATCATGGTACAACCCGTCCAGCGACCCCTGCGAGAAAACGGACTCTGTTAGGGATGTGTGGGAGCGGGACAGTGTCGGAATACTTGCTAGGGACGGATTTGGGGAAGAAAAGGGTGAGGGTAGGATAAAAGGGTTCGACGGCACCGGTGTCGGTTCAGGGGTACTGACTACGCTGCGTATCGTCTCTGGCTTTACAAACTTGTTCTCGTTGGGAGTGCCACTCCAATTCTCATCATACAATTCGACACCAGATAACTCTGACCTCTCCAACCCCACATCTACTTTCTCAAATCCAGCCACTGGCACCTCAGTCCGCCCAGGAGGTGACGGAAGCTTTTCGTCCTCATTGTCAGATATTCCCGCCGAGGCGACGCTCTTCGAATAATCGCTCTCCATTTCGGAAGGTTGACCGACTTCATCATCCCGATCCTCATCAGACTCATCAGGATTGGTGACCCGCAGACTCCCCGTAGATGCCGGGCGGCGAAACAGGGATACCCTTTGCGGTCGTTCCAAGGTCCCCGAGTCCGTATCTTCAGCACGCAAGTCGGACAGATACACATCCGACTTTGACGCATATCTTGCCACATTTGACGTTCGTATAATGACGGGAGGTTTACCGGATGCAGCTTCAACCACCTTGACGTTCTCCACTCCAGATTCAACTGCCCGTCCTTTTCCCTTTTCCTTTTTTCCTCGTTTCTCACCGCCGACAAGTTTGCGCATCCATCGCATACATGCTTGCATTTTACTCTTCTTTGGCGGGTTAGGCTTCCGATCCGTGCGGTTCACTTGTAGATTGGTTTGAAGAGGTAAAGATGTGGACGAGTAGTTATGGAACCCAAGAGGGATCGTGTCAGAGTCGTCATCATCGTTGTAAGTTGGGCGTCCAAGGCTTCTGGGTCGCATATCGATGGATGGGCGGTCGGCGCGGTTAGACGTTGTGGATGGGGAGGTCTTGGAGTTATCCACCTCCTTCGTTTCGTTCGTCAATGCAGGGATATCGGAACGCCCAATCCCATCGTCTTGTATAACCTCACTAACCTCGACCGCCACGCCCTCCATTTCGCTCAGCTCATCCTCAGAAACTCCGAGAGAAGCACACAAAAACGCTTCTCGAACCGTAAGGTGCAACACGGTGTCCGTTGGAGGGTCAGGTACTGGATTGGAATGAATCGATGGAGAGTATGTTTCAAAATCGCCATCGAGAACGTCAGGCTCCTGCCAGCTTGTAGAATCTTCAGAGTACTTTGCATCGTACGGCACAGAGTGTGTATTGGGAGGGGTACGCACAGCCAGATTTGGTTCGGGGAGGGTCCCCTCCGTAGGGGTTTCAGTTGGATCGTGCTGATCCAGACAAGCTGGTGCGTCGTCCAATTCAAGCGCCTCTTGTGCGTCTGCACCTTTGTCTTGCGACAGCTCTTCTGACTTCATCAGGTCTTCCTCAGTCTCTATAACCACTTGCTCCTGAGCCCGATCATCAACCATTTCCTCGCTCTGATCCTCCATCCGCTCCGGTGTACCACCATCGCATAAGTCCGTTTTCTGTTCCCCACCATCATCGACCATTTGCTCGTTCTGATCCTCCATCCGCTCAGATGCAACCCTACCACATAAATCCGGTTTCTGTTCTCCACCATCATCAACAGTCGTATCGCCATTCATCACTTGCTCCCTCTCCAACGTACTTTGATCATACAAAGCCAGCACGTCCGCTCCAGCGTGTTCCTGACTCTGATCAATTGCCATCTTACTTGCTTGCTCCTTCTCCATCTGCGCCCGTTCCAATGTATCCCGATCATACAAATCCAATAAACTCTTTTCAGAGCGCGGAAGACTCGTCTGGTAGGGATTGCGGCTCAGGACCACCGACAAGGGAAGATTGTCGTCCGAGTCCGTCAGGTTGGGATCCTGTTCGGGTGGCGTGACGGTTGTGTCGCTGAGGAGGTCGTCGGTCACAAGATCAGAGAGGTCCTCCGTTGGTTCAAAGATGTTTAGGTTGGGGGAGTCGGGGATGTGAACGTCCGAGTCATCTTTTTCCGACAAAGGGGTCGTCGACTCGGGCTCGTCCGCCATTTCCATGGAGGCAACGTTCACTACCGTGATCCTGCTTGCAGTCTCTTGTTCCGCGAATTCTTCTGCAGATTCTACCACAATGACTGGTGTACGTTCCCTTTTTGCACTTTTGGACCGCGAAATGACCTGTACAGGCCGCTCTCCACCGTCCGGCTCACCGCCCTGCTTTCTCTTTATCCGAAAAGAACCTGTAGAGGCATTCCATTTTCTCCCATTCTTGTCCTTTTTGTCTCTAAGAACGGTCACACTCGACTCTGAGAATCGGGCCAAGAAGGATTTGAATTTGACCATGGGCGTCCTGGAGGTGATATCAGTACTCTCCGGTCATACTCGTACATACTCATTGCTACTCACTTTACAGAAGGCTCTTGGAAAACCCGAGAGGACGAGAGCACTGTCGGCATCTCCCTCCGCGTCAACAATTTCCCACACGACAAGTTTGTCAAAATTCAGCAACAAATCGTGCTGTGCGTACGTAATTGACATGCTTCCATGACTGTGCCAATCTCCGCCAGAATCAGCAGCCGTCATCCTCGGAGCCCTTTTCCCCCGAGAGCGGTTACCATGGACGGTCGTTATGAGAGTAAGTTAAGGTTGTGTGACGGAAGAATCATGTGATGCGCAGAGGGGAAGCCACTTACGTATCGATCTATGAAACAGACTGCAAGTAGAGCAAGCAAATACTGGCCAAAATGTTAAACTAGTGTGAACCCATGCATGCAACGCACTTACGATCTGAAAAATGCAAAAGATGCAGTCTATTAGAATCTGATCCTCTGAAAATATAGTTGAAATCAAAGCCAATTGCTCGCTTGTCTGGTGAATAGGTCGATAGGAGTTGTGAATGGAATTTAAATGCACCCAACATAACGAACAGATGTAGTCTTCACAATACAAGAGATATATTTATTCTTTACTGCATACAACATATTCTCTAACCTAACAATGTGCACTTCAACTCCACCGTCTTCTTCTTCCAGACTGCGACCGTCGTGGTCGAATCTATAAAGAAAACCTAAAAAACAGTGAGGGTATTTCAAACACGCAAACAATTGAAACACGAAAACGCATCCCAAATGGAACCGCCTGCGACCACTAAGTCGCCTCCCGTGCCACGCAAGTCCCAGCAAGTGTGTAATTGGGCCTAGTAATAGTTAGTTACTTGTAAGGAGATGAGCTTTTCCGGGCTGGTTGTCGCCAGTCCAGCCACATTGGTGTATTTGTTAGTTCTTGCCAATACACTAACGAGTACTGTATGAGCCCATGCAAGCAACTGCACTTAAGAACTTGAAGATAACAAAAGATGCAGTTGTTTATTATTTCTATTCTATGAATGTATATTATAGTTGAAACCACTGCGGTGTTTGAACGATGGATAGTTCGGGGCGAGTAATACTGGTATAGCGCATATATCCACGTCTTGTGGATTACACAACTTGTACGACACTCATTACGGTCACGTGCGGGTTATAATCATGCCGAGGTGTTCAAGATGATGTTGGGTCTGTTCGCGAGCTTGTCCCTTTTGTCCCATCAAACATCATGTCAACCGAACGAACATTTCGAACATCTTCCAACCTCACACTCACAGCCAAAGAGTGGGGCACACCCGGTGGGTTCCCTATCCTCGCCTTACACGGGGTAAGTCAAAACCAAAACTCTTATGGACCTAGTTTCCAAAAGCTCAACCCATTCTCAGTGGCTAGACAATGCAAACACCTGGGACGTTCTTATACCACATCTTCTCGCTACACATCCCCACCTCCATATCATTGCACTAGATCTAGCCGGACACGGACACTCCCAACACCGGCATGCGGAATGCGATTACTTGTTTTACAAGTACGTTGAGGAAGTTGTCAGTGTAGCGGACGCATTACGTATGTACCGAAGCCATCGCATGAGACATTATCGAGTATAAATTCATATCCAAAATCACAGAGTGGTCTCGATTTGCTCTCCTTGGTCACAGCATGGGGGGCGGCGTCGCAGTCCTCGTTGCCTCCCTCTATCCCAACCGTATTACCCACTTGATCTCCGTTGAAGCTCTAGGCCCTTTTACACGTCGCCCAGCAGAGCAAGCAGCAAATTTCAAGGCGTATTTACAGGCTAAACCTGCTGTAGAGTCATCTCGTAAACGCATTTACACTGATTTGAAGGAGGCGGCCCTGGCGCGGGCGACCGGGAACCCTACTATGCCTCTTTCTGTAGAAGCTGCGGGACGGTTAGTGGAGAGAGGGACAATATATGTGGAAGAGGGCGGGGAGAAAGGGTATTGTTGGAGTACCGATCAGAGGTTGAGGGTACCATGGCCCGTGCATTGGAGTGATGAAGTCATTGTGGAATTACTGAAAAACATTACATGTCCTGTCTTGGTGATTGTCGGGACAAAGGGTGTCAAAGGTATGAATTTGGAGGCAAGGAAAAGGGCGGTAAAGGATCTGGAAATTTTATCCATAGAAGGTGGGCACCATCTTCATTTGGATGATGCTGGGAAGGAATGTGCAGAGGCCGTTGGCACCTGGTTGTCCAAGACGCAAGGCGCGGCAAGGTCTGCAAGGAATGCACCGGTAAAAGCTCCTATTCGGCGGTACAAGTTATAGTGATAGGTAGACAAAATTAGACTAGACCTCTAACATATTTCATCCATTTCATAAAAAAATAACCGGACCGAGATGAAATAAATGAGATCGTTAAAAACACGACGAAGAGAAAGAAAAATATTGTATGGTATTTTTAGATAGCGCATCCCACCAAGTCAACACAGGACCTTCATGCAAAGCAAACCCCCTCTTGTTCACATGAGCGCACGGACCAACTCTGTGGTTGACATACATTATCATCCCCAAATGATACCGCAAATGTCCAGGATGACTTAGTGAGATTTTGCAACCTCCTTGCTGGGAGGAACAGTCATCTTTGGCACCTGTCATTTGCAATATCAATATTAATAACAACGTCCACTAACAAAGATCCAAGTAAAAGCTCACCTCGTTAAAGTGATGGTAGTCGGGAGGAGAGGGAATGGCCCATTCAAGGGACACGGTAGCTGGTGTCCGGATCTCCTTGTTGCTTCCGAATGTACGCTTCTCAAAGAAGGGAGGACTGAGGACTTCGGACCAGTAATCGGCGCTCAAACCGTGGCCGGCAGCGTCAACGGGGCGGAGAGGAGGGTCAAGGGCACGGAGCTTGTCGGGAACGTTGGCTTCCGTAGGGAAGGCGCCACCTAAACCGAACATTATGAGCCAGGCTCAAGAAAACGCGGTAGCACGATTTGGCACGTACGGATTTCAACATTTATGACCTCCAAACCAAACTCTGCCTCCTTGGCCTTCAAAGCAGCAGTGATCTTTTGGGCAAGGGCGGTTTTGTCGGCGCTCGAGATCTCGCCGTCCGCGGTAACACCAAAGTTGGCCACTTCGCGCTGCAAAATCTTACGCACGGTCTTGGCGGCTGCGCGCTCAGAGTCGGGATGGTTGGTCTCGGCGTCAACGTAGAAAGCAGACTGGTTGACAGATTTGTATATTAGATCAGCGGATATATAAGCAGGCGAGGAACACAGTACATACCGCTACTGGGTCAGTAACCTTGATGTACACAACAGCGTACGCGTCCACCTTCTTTCCATCTAAGGCATCATTGAGTTCAAGGGCATCAAATGTAAACATACCACATTTTCACATACCCTTGGTAACATTGCTGGGGCTAACAACACCCATAACGACAGGGTGCGCAGCCTTGACAGCCTTGATCTTGTCGATACCAGGGATCAAAAAGTGGGTACCAGCCTGAAGGACCTTGGAAGGCTGTCCACTTCGCTCCATAACCCAAATCTCGCCGTTAGGAACCCAGCTAACACCCTATTGTTCCCCCAGAAAATCAGTATCCACCGTTTCACCTGCCTTCATCCTCCAAAAAGGAACACTCACCCCAAACTTGGGCTTCACCTCCGAGAACGCATCGGAAGTAGTCCAGAAGTCCCAGCGCTTCTCACGGGGATCCAATTCACGGACCTGCTCAGCTGGCACACCGTTCTGGAAGTCGGTGATGGCGAGGTGCGCGTAGGGAACGACGAGAGAGTGGCCGTTGGCAATGGGGGTGACGGTGCGGGTGGGCTGTGATGTAGCGAGGGGGTATAAATTGTAAGAACAGAGTGTGGAATGGTTCGATGATGACGGTTCATGCTCGGTCTGTCACATCCGCTCCTCGCGTGTCGAAACTGTTTGTCAACAGAAACCTCCACGAACCCATTGTACACCCCATACTCTTGCCCACCAACATTCCAATACACTATCGGTCCCCCCATCACCCAAATCACTAAATTCCCATCCTCCCATCCAATCCACTTTCAAATCCACAGCGCCTCGCGCCCTAAAACGAGACACACTTGACACGTTCCCCAGGGGCTTACCTTGACAGCAACCACCGAGCGACGAGCACCAGCCCTCACCGAAAGCATAGCAAGCTTGGAAGCCATGTCTATAATGTACAAAAAACGGATTTCCAAATGTTGAAGCGTAAAGGGCGGGTGTACCGTTTCCAACCTCTTCTTCTTCTTTGCCCGATATTTCCCATTAATTCCTTTTTGAGTTTGCAGATTGGAACAAGCCACGCGCTGGCACAGTCATATTGATTATGGTAATCACTTGCTCAGTCATTCTGACGTTCAATCAGGTCGTTTGAGGAGATATCTGCCCTAGATGGAGTGAACTTACTTGCCTCTTCTTGGTCATGGCTCGCAGTGAAAATGCAGTTACGTGGGTGCATTACACCCCCGCATGTTGAAACGAAACTAATATGACAGGAATGCCCTGGCATTTGGCGTTTCGAGAGTTGCAGCAGCACAAATATCACTCCATAATTTGTTGAGGAAAAGTATTAAGAACCTCTGTTTACAATCTTTAATTCCTCTGCAGAATCGTTTGGCCTGCTTCTTCCTCAAACTTGGGTATCATCTCCTCCATGTCTACCAAACCGTGCTCGTGGGTAGGGCAAAGCACACATTACAAAATGGCTACCACTGGGGTATAAACTAAATGGCCAAGCCAGTAAAAAAACGCAACCCTTCAAACCAGAAATGTCCCGAAAAAACCATTCTATTACACAACCCCATTCAAACTCTCAATAACACTCTGCAATTCGTCATCCACTTGCGCACTAGACCAGGCACTCGTTTCTTCATTTAGCGATACAGCGTCCCACATGCCTCCGACCTCCTCAACAACCTCCAAAAACGGTCGTACCATGGACGTATCGTTACCGAATAACAGTGACGCGTCTCTTGTTGTCGATTTTGATATCGGTTCAGAGGAGGAGAGGGATGTGATGGCTGCCGTTGCGGCGGCGGTTTGGACGTGACAGAGCGGACAGGTTGGGTGGTTTAGCGTTAGGATGCAGTGTGGGCAGGTGGGAGTCGTTGCAGAGTCTTGTTGGGTCGAGGGGGCGGGAGGAGTGGGTTGGGGGTTGCAGGTTGGACAGTCATCTTGATAATGTACTCGACGGTCGGTCGCGCCGTTTCGGGAGGCTTCGAGGAGTCGCTGGACTTGGGTTTTGACATCTGGTGGGTGGTTTCGGCGGCGGTGCCTGCGACGGCGGGTTTGAAGGATGTTCTGGAGGAGCGCGCGGAGGTCAATGTTTGGGTTGGATGGTGGTGGTGGGTGTGGTATGGGAGGTGTCTCTTCCGCTTGCTGAGTAGGTGGAGGTGGTGGGCTTGAGGCCCGAGAGACTTTTTCTGGAGCTGTGGGTGCGGCGCTGGATTCCTTTTCCTCGCGATGCACATTTTTCGAAAGGAGGTTCGTAATCTTTGATACCTCCACCTACAATACCAACACATGAGCAAAAACACAACACACTACCCACGCAGAACGCCATAAACGAACCTGTAGTTGCATCAACGCTTTCATTTCCGTTGACGGTCCATCTCGTACAGGTTCATCCCGCACAATTCCCTCTTGAAGACGCACCATCTCTGCCCTCGTCTTATCAATCTCAGCCTCGTACTGTCGCAACAAATCTTGGGCCTTGTTCAACCGCTTGGTAATCACTTTGACAGGATTAGACCCGAATGATATAAAAAGGTTACTAGGCATACAGCATACCTGCATTTCGCTCAACAATCTCCCCTTTTTCCATTCGGATTTTCTTAACCTCTTCCTCCAATGCGTCACGCTGCGTTCGTGCATTCGTGGCCTCGTCCACAAGTTTTTGTCGTTGGGATTCCGCTATTGCTAATTGTCTTATGAGCGCAGCTAACCGATGTCGGTCTTGCAAGCGGAGGGATGTGAGTGTTGTGGCGGGTGTTGTAGTAGGAGGTTGTTTGGGTGGGTTCGTTTTGGTCGAATGTAGACGGTCATGAGGAGTGACTTTGGGAAGGGACTCCCAATGTGGAGCAGAGAGGACGGGGTCGCAGTCGCATTGGGGAGGTTTGGGATGAAAATGGGGAACGATTCTCCGTTGGCGGGTTCGGGCTGGAGTCATGTTCGGTGCTTGTCCGCCAATCCTCAATCCCAATGCTTGCTTTAGTTTGTTGCGCGTCGGCTGGCGCGTCCGTGGTGTGTCACATGAGAGGAACGTGACTTGTCGAAGTGTTCCAACTTTTGAAAAGTGTTCCATTTCGCGGTGCAGCACCACTGCCCAAACGAGACCGAACTAGGCAGCAAGACCGCAAAAAGGTCTTATGTCAAGGACCCCAGCTATCATATCTCTGTTGAGCGAATGACGCGATACTGGCCAAGGATAACGCGCATGTTGCCAGAAGAATTAGCGTCAAGTCCGACCCCCGTGAACAAGGGAAGGCGAAGGCGACCCCCTGCTGGAGCTTTCTTTGGCTCGTATCTGCTTGAGTGATATTTTTATAGGTGCTTGTTCTTTGTGATGTGCAATTTGGTAATGAATGCTTTTGGGACGGAACGGAATTATAAAACACGGCAAACGGACTTCCCTGTTCTCCCCAAATGAAAATTAGAGGTACAGAGCTGTGTATTTTGTTGCATGTGCAATGTTTTATAGAAAGTTCGATTGGACCAATGTTACGAATGTGAAGCGTGCAAATGTATTACAATACGAGAGAATAGGAGAGAAGATATTCGAAATTACAAGATATAATCTATTGGCGAGTAAGACTTCAAATGACTGCTAATAGGACCTCGACCAAAAACAAACCACCTGCACAAAGACGGGCCCCTCTGTGTTCCCTTCTTATATAAAAAGAAGAAGGGCTGTGGGCTTGGGACCACTATAGCCACATTAGCCCGGTGGTTGCTGTGCGCCGATGCGCTCGAGGGCTCCCTGCTCGATGCTGGCAGGGTCGAGTGTCGACGATGGTAGGATGCGCACCGCAGACGACGTTACTGGCGCCCTTCTTGCTGTCCCGCTGCAATGGATCCAGTCCCACTCGAGCGAATCGAGCTTGGCCTACCAACGCTCTTATGTGGCAATGAACCCGATGCCAGGGCAGAGCGCCTTCCCTGGTATCCAATGGATGGGGTTGCAGCAGCAAGAAAGGCGGTCGTGGGTGAAGGTGGGTGCTGAAGGACCGAGTCGTAGTCGTAGTCGAGTGCCGAATGTCGAATGTCGAAAACCGAAGGGCCCACCATGACCCGGTCGAAATCGAACCTCCTCGATGCTGTAGAAGGTTTGTTGGCCCCCCAATTTCCTGCCTCACCCCCGGAGCATGGTCCCACTCGAGCGAATCGAGCTTGGCCTACCAACAAGTGTGCCGACTACATCGGGACGCCGACAGACTTGCCTTCCCTCATGCTGGGTCCAAGGGCAAGGGAGAAAACTGAGGAGATTGACGCCGTCTGCGGGTATCTACAGAACAGACAAAGAGAAGAGTGACAGAATACCAGGCCGGGCAGTACCAGCCTGCCCGGTCTGAATAATAGATATCATGCACAGAGGTGAAGTCAGAGAATAGAGGAGTATCGAGATATGAGGCCAGAATAACTTGTGCGGAGAGACATAGAAGAGTATCGAGATAGGAGGTCAGTCAAAATAGCTTGTGCGGAGAGACATAGAGGAGGAGTCGAGATATATGAGGTCCTTAAGTAACTTGCATCGAGAGCCGAGGCCGCCGAGAGGTAACTTGAACCCTGAGGACAGGTTAGAAGAAAACGCGGGTGCCCAAAGGCTATGAGGTCCCCGTGAGGGAGATACTTATGAGGTCTGATGAATGGGGGGGAATGGGCGAGAGGGTCCCTTTTTATAGACCTGGGGATCGGGATGGGCCGGGTGAAAAAAAAAACTCCTCGGGATCCCGGGCCAGGTGGTTCATAAAAAAACAAGGGGGAGAATATTGAGGAAGGTGGTGACTCCGACAGGGCCACGAGAACGTGTCAAACGCGCGTGGAAAAGAAGGAACGCGAGAGTGTTCGCGTGGTTCGGACATGGCATTTGGAATTGGGGGGGAAGAGAAGGACGACGAGGAAGAGAATTGAGGGGAGGAAGAAGAATGCTGTTCACAGGCATCTGTTCATGAACGCTCATTGTAAAGATGGGAAAACAAAAGAACGACAATACGCAACGCATCTATCTGCCTCTGGCGTGAAAAAAAGTCCAGACAGGCAGAACAGCAAACACCTCAAAAGTGTTCACATACTGCAAAGTGCCTGACGGAAAACACGGCATATCTCTGCCTCAAAAGGAATGGCAGACTCTGCTGCTGTTCTGGGAAAAACACAGACGACACTTTTGGGTGGTAGCCAAACTCAACAGAGACGACCCCCCTCAAAAACAAGACAAAACGCTCATACAAGACAGCTATGCATTCCCCCTACGTATTTCCCTTGAAGCTGAAAACGACGGTCAAGGCACCTACGAACAAAAGCTTACGGCACTGCTACAAACCCCGTCGCCAAAACACTCAACTACAAGCTATTTTCCCACGCGATGGAGCGGACCAAAGCTTTACACGCACTCAAAGAGCAGCTCTATAAACCGTTTCTGTCAACCTCCTATTGCCACGTCCCTATTGTTTCCCACGCACTCAATACACACACCCAAAGAACAGTTCTTTGAACACTTTCCTTCAACCTCCTACTGCCAACCTTCACGACGGTGGACGTCAACCGTTTCCCTCGCGCACTGTCCACACACACCAAGGGGCAGGTCTATAAATCCTTTCCGTCAACCTACTATTGCCAAGCGTTCGCGACGGTGGACGTCCCCGGTTTCCCACGCGCACAATGTACGCACCTAAGGAACAGTTGTTTGAACCCTTTATTGCCAAGGGTTCACGACGGTGGACTTCCCCCGTTTCCCATGCGCACCCCAAAGAGCAGCTCTATGAATCCTTTCTGTCAACCCACTATTGCCAATCCTTCACGACGGACAAGACGGGGACACCCGTTTCCCACACAGACGGTCTACATCCACACATCACCGAAATCCAAAACCCACATTGTCAAGATTCAAAAATAGGCACGCTACGCATTCAAACGTCATGCGCAAACACAAACTCGTCAAGTGTCCTTTTACTAGCAGTTGAAAGCGTGCCCATCAAACAGATCCCATCATGCAGGGTTGCATACCCTTACAAGCACACACGTAATCCTATCAAGAAACTTGACACTCCTACATAAAACTACCTATCGTCCTCCATGTAAAATCCCATACCTAATAAATACCCAATACACAAACGTAATATAAAGCTCGTACGTAAATTAAATATCTGCAATACAGCAAGTCCTCTTGTGCATACGGGTCACGTGTGCTTAGCTTGGCGTTATTATGAGTCTGTTTGGTCTGTCCTCAGTGCCAACCATATTCATCTCATCACACACCGCTTCCTTGCATTATAACCACAAATGATCCTTTACAGCCTTGTTGCGGTCCATGAATAGGCAGATATCGATGCAAGGATGCACTGGCGGTGGGGAATGTATGTATGATATACGTCAACCATCAATCACGGACCAAAGCGTCGGGCGCATAGGCCTAGGGTGGGTGCACCATTCAACCATACCGTATATTACATACGACGAGGAAGTGGAGGTGGTTGTGCCGAAACGGGTCTAGAACAAATACATATATAAAAATCAATCCATAAACTGTCAACAGAGGCACAAATAAAACGTACTGTACAAAACTTTTTGGAAAGATGCCTTCCATGGCACGTAAGCGGCCCCTATACCAATTTTCATCCACTATCAAATAAATAATTAATGAGACGATGATGGTGGCGGGGTTGACCTTTTGCAAAATCGAAAAAGCATTACCATCACCAAGAACTTGAATCACATCACCAGATTTGAAAGGAAGGTCCCCTGGTTCCTCACTCTCGAAATCCGCAATGGCTAATACAGATACCAAAGGACTTCCAACAGGTACACTAGGTGCACTAGGTCCGCTCACCAAACTACTACTCGCGACTTTTTTCTGCTGGTAGGTCTTGACTCGAAATGCACCCACGGTTACATATGTTCCTTCCGAGACTGATTGCGAGAGGGGTACACCTGCACCAGCGCCAGAAGGAGCCGCCCCGTTCCGTGCGGCAGATGGATTCGTTTTTTCGAAATTGAGGTATTGGAGGACTTGATCTAACGCAATGCGGATTAATATGTTTGTTATACAGTAGGGTTTCAGATAGTCATTTTATTGTACCAAAGTGGGTATTGGGCAACCACCCGTGTTTTTGGAGGGTGGTGACGTCGGATATAAGGGAATCGAGGAGGTAGGCTCTGTGGAAGCTTTGCGCGGGTGTGAGGCCGAATGAGGCTGAGGCGAGGGTCATGTTGGGGATGAGAGGATGAAGGGAGAGGGAGGGAGATGCAATGCACAGAGTCGTTGCTGAATGTAAAAGTAAAAGGCAGAGCAATGGACGGAGCGATAGGATTTACATGCCGAGTTTGTGTCAAAGTGTCATCAAACCCATGTGGCTAAAAATGCATCCAATGCACATTCCATCCAACCGACCTTGCTGGTTGAACGACAGAGTACTGTAGATCTCGGTGGATCTCTTCCACATCAGTAGAAAACAAAAACATCACCATGCCAAGCGAGAACCCAATAGTATGTAAACATGCATTGCGAGGGTAAACACACTACTGACAAGTGTTTCTTTGTAGGTGTTTTTTGATGTCACGATGGGTTTGTATTGTTGCAAGGTGTACCTTGACATGTGTTTTTTCGCTGATTGTATTTCTGGTTTTGTATAGGTGGCCAACCAGGTGCGTTTATAAAAGAGTAACAGGATTAGTTGACAGAAAACCAATCACAGCATCCTACACAGTTGGACGGTTAAAGATGGAGCTCTTCAAAGACGTTGTCCCGCGTACTGCCGAAAACTTTCGACAGTTGTGTACAGGAGAATACAAGTACCGTAAACCTTTTTCCGAATGTTTATATGAAAGGCGAACAATGTTGAATGTTATTTTTTGGATTTAGGAGGAATGGTATACCGCAGGGGTACAAGGGATGTCATTTTCATCGGTAGGTTGACTGTAATAAGCGCATGTTTTCGATCCCGTCCTTACATTTCTTTTTCCTATCGGTAGGGTGATCAAAGGTTTGCTTGTTGTCATCATGCACCCACAAAGAAATAGCTCTTTAAAGCATCGTGTAGATTTCATGGTACAAGGCGGGGATTTCCTAAAGGTAAGGCATACTCAACCACACAAAAAAAAAGCTGTGACTCAAATGTTTTATTTTAGGGCGACGGAACGGGGTCACTGAGTATATACGGTGAACGATTCGAGGATGAAAACTTTGGGTTGAAGCACAGTGGACCTGGTTTACTTTCAATGGTATGGATACCCACAAGGAATCCACTCGTTTACAATGTACTTATGTGTATCTTAGGCGAATAGTGGACCCAATACGAATGGATCACAGGTAAGTATTGGAAAGAGAACATGTATTGGCATGGTAGCTAATCGTCTTTTCTTCTGGTGACGCCCAGTTTTTTATTACGTGCGCAAAATGTGATTTTTTGGATGGGAAGCATGTTGTATTTGGGAGACTTGTAGATGGGTTATTGACGTTACGAAAGATTGAAAATGTACCAACGGGGCCGAATAATCGACCAAAGGTGCGTTGTATGAACACTGCTGGAGGCTGCTTTTGTTGTTATTTTTGCAGTTGTGCTGATGGGTGTTTTTGTTTTTGTAGCTTCCGGTTATTATTTCAGAGTGTGGGGAAATGTAAAAATCTTGTGTGTGTTTGACTATGTTGAAGAGACAAGTGGTGTACCAAAATGCATACTCGATAAACGATGCCTATCTAGTACCCATTACAAGAGGCCCTTTAGAACAAAAGTCGACACCCATATGGCAATTTTAGCGACAAAAAAGGCTTCCACTGTCGTCCATACGAGTAGGTTTGTTAGTCGTTTTTGGCCTGATGGCGCTTTTAACTTTATGTCGCATGATCAGCTTTCCACAAATCATTGATTTTACGACAAAAAATGTCAACCTTGCAATGGTATTTCCCTCAAAAACTATTATGCACACACACACAATTTACAAAGGCACCTGCTGCAAAAACCCCTCCAAACTCCCAACAACAACATACCCCAAATCCTTTGGAAACCTCACACACAAGATTCCCAAATTAAGCACCCGAATCTGACGTACCCGGGTACACTCTGCAACTTTATAAATACTCACATTATTATCAAACGACCCCGTCGCCAAATACTCTCCATTCTCTGAAAAACAAACACTACAAGCCCAAGAAGGCGCCAAATCAAACACGGCAAGTTCCTGTCCAGACACAAAATCATTGATGCGAACCGTACAATCCCTAGAGGTGGACGCAACCAGGGAAGGCCGTGTGGTCGCCATATCCAATACATAATCCGTATGAACTTCGATACAACGTGTATGAGAAATCGCACGGGAGTGAATAAGGATTTTAACATCCCATACATAAATTCTTTTATCAAGGCCTGCTGTGAGGAGGTATCGCCCATCATGCGAGAACCGAACAACTTTAATCCATCTCGAGTGTTTACGAATCACAGTGAGGTTTTCGCCTGTATGAAAATCCCATAGACGGATGGTACAATCTGTTGAACCGGATGCAATGTATCGGCCGTCGGATGAGATATCGCAGGTTGTCACAGAGTCGGTGTGGCCGGTTAGTGTGCGTTCACAGGAAGCTGATTGGGCGTTCCAGATTTTAAGTGTACGATCAAAAGAGGATGAAATGATGTGTGTGTCATCGTGTGTGAAATGGACGTCGGTGATGATGGATTTGTGACCAACGTATTGGGATAGGCATGTATGGCCTGTTGTTCCGCCTGCTGGGCCAGGGATGGGGACGGGGGGTATGGATGTTGGTGTGGCAGGTGTGGTGGACGACAGTTGAGGTCGAATATCGTGAATCCGGATAACGCAGTCATACCCCCCCGTAAGCCAAAGACAACTATCAAATGATGAGAATTTGGCGGCTTTGACACCTTCACGATGGGCTACTAGGAAATTAGGAAAAAGATGAACGTCCACACTTGTAAAGAGTTCATGCAAGAGTGCGAATTTGCGGTATAGTTTTCGCCAGCGGTATTTGGGGGTTTTACCGTGTTGGGATGTACGTAGCGCTACCACTTTTTGGATTTTGAGTTTTAGTAAATCGGGGTTGCGGAGGTCTTGCAGAGAGAGATCCGTTGGAGGGAGTTCACGGTGTAAAAGGTCCCAGACCGTTTTCAGTGTATTCGACACGAAATCCATCGAGAGTTCTTGCGCAAACGATGCGTATTTGAGAAACGTGTCTTGGTGTCCGAGAACTTGGGAAAACGTTAGGACGCAAAAAGCGGTTGAGAGACAAACGAGGGTGTAGTCGGTTGCACGGTCGAGTTGGACGTAGATTTGATTAATGTCGCGTTGGAGGGAGCGGCGAATGTCGTCTTGGCCAGGGGCTTCGTGGAGGGTACCTTTGCGGATAGAGTTGGGAGAAGAGGGGGAAAAGGGTGCGTCCATGGGTTGGGAACCCTCCAAGGTACCAGATGATGCGCTGGATTGTTCTGTTGCTGGTGCCATTGTTGTAGAATTCGCGGTTGTGGCCGTTGCACTTGTCGAAGCCATGTCCTCTGTTTGTGACTTGTGTTCTCCTAGTTCCCCTTCTTCATCTTGCTCCAAAACACTACCTTCCACTCCCCGTCCAGCCCTCTCATGCACCGTCGTAGAATAAATCTGCGTCTTTCTCCGAACAACCATGCCCGCAGGCCGAGACATGCGCAACAACTCTTCCATTTCCTTATCCAACGAATCCGAACTCCCATTCTCACTCTTGTTTTCCTCGTCAAGTTCGTTTTCTCGTTTTCGTTGCTGAGCCCATACGCGTTCGACATTATCCATTCCATCGCCTTCATCATGTACACGATCATCACGAGCAGAGATATCCGAAGCGCCTAACCCGATTTTAGGCACAAGTTCCTCAATGTCGAGATAATACCGTTTAAGAACCCGTCGACTGAGTCCAAAGAGTGTTTCAAAGGTTTTACAAATCCGATCACATTCAACACGTTCACCTTCTTCTCGAACATCAATCTCGCGGGGAACACGCCGCATTCGAAAATGCTCTGTCCCAGTTTCGGCTGTAGCATCCGTTACATTCCATCCATAAAACCAGTCACAGAGCATATGATATGCGGAACGGTAGTCGGCGCTCTCGAGGTCTCGGAGATGAAAGTTTGCAATGGACGATGCGAGGGCTTTGGATTTTTGGGGATCGAAATGGGAAAAAAAGTGAGTGAGGAATGGGACTGGGATGCGGGTGGAAAAGAGGGAGAGGTCGTGATAGAGTTTTAGGCACTCCATTTATTTTCGTTGTTTTGGAACGCAATCTTTATAAATAAACTGAAATTCAAAAGCTTAATCCCATGTCAAAAAACAATTGAGGTGTTCCAACGACGCGAACCGTGTTCATGATTACATACGCAGCGTTTACAAAGTGGTAGGACGGACCTGGACCAACTGGCAAGCAAGGTTCAATCAACCACATGTACCAGGGAATACGGATGGGGATACTTTGGAGTCAAGCAATAAGGAAACATAAAAGGCGGTGTGCCCAACATCATCAAAGGAGGAATACTAACAATCCAAGTCCCCGTAGTCATCATGGAGGCTTTTCTCAAATTCATTGCTGTGGTCTTTGCGGCCTCTTCATGTACTTGATACAGTCAAACGAACACAAGGAAGTAAACGAACAAAAACCGACATGGCATGAACACAAACCTGTTTTTGCAAAGCTCTAAATGTACTAGCCCACTGTGTCACAATTCGGTCCCCAATACAAGAGTAATTGACATGATCTCCTAGGATTCCAGCAGACCCCCAAAATTACGACAACTGTATCTCCTGTTCCTGCTCACGCTCTTGCTCGTGGTTGCGTAGGCTCAGATTTCAAGTCACATCCGCTTGAAGTCATTAAAGAAAATCGTTTGCAACAAAGTGTTCATATATGCCATTTCGCAGATATGTGTTTAATAACATTCTGTAACTCTTTGTAATATACAAAAAAATATATGTAAAAAACAAATCTTACGGACTGGTAGGTGCATTGGACTTTTTGTGAGCAGGATTTTAATGTTCAACCAAAAAGTCAGTGTTTTAGCCAACCATGTCACTTGCCAGCTAGCATCTTTTTCTCTGTCAATGTCTTTTCATACATGATTTCTTTGCCATGCTATCTGTCCAGTCCTTTTGAGACGATTTTCCAATCCGATATTGCTTCCTGTAAGGTATCCGTTTTTCTTGGTTGTTGACTTGGGATGTCCATTTGCATTTTGCAATCCAAATGAAACGGGAAACATCGGGCGCGGCAGCTCCTTCTTACCGCAAAAGTCCGGTGCCTCGGAAGAGTCTTTTGTACACACCACGTTGTCGCTGCTACCAATTGAATGCAGCCGGGACTCAGGCGCATAAGGTTGGTTAATTTAGAGCAAAGGTCGACACATCAGTGTATGTCAAAGGTTGTTGACTTGGGGGTGTCCATTTTGCATTTGCAATCCAAATGAAACGGGAAACATCGGGCGCGGCAGCTCCTTCTTACCGCAAAAGTCCGGTGCCTCGGAAGAGTCTTTTGTACACTCCACGCTGTCGCTGCTACCAAATTGACTTACCCAGATTGAGAGCGTTGGTATCAGCAGCCGGGACTCAGGCTCATAGGGTTGGTTAGTTAGAGCAAAGGTCGACACATCAATGATGACAACGGATCGGCTCCGATATGGCTGTTGCTTTAGGTCGGCTCCAGAAGTCCGAGCCGGTAGTTAGGCCACTCATCCGTGGCCGAGGATTGGAATTCGCAAGTGTAACTAAAACAGTTGGGATACGTTACGGGAAAGCCAAAGATCGGCATTGGAAACCGGCCCAAAAGGAAACGTGTAAAACGAAACGGAAACAGTGTACAAAGGTATTCTAAAACACCCGTTTGGGTTAACAGGGAATCCATACATGTTTCTGGACCCGATCATGCCAAAGCAGCCCACCATCCTCCGCAATTGCGCAAACCTCCCTAGGATAAGGATAAACAAAACCCGTTAGAAAGCGTTCAATGCAACAGTACAATATGTGCACATTAACCACCGTCGCTTATGATTTACGTACATCCAACCGTGTGCACACTCCACCAACTATGCAGGAAAAAAAGAGTGGTACGACAGCCCTTGACCTAGTGTGCAAAGCAACGTTTTGAATCAATATGTTTACTAGGAATATGATGGAGTCAGTGCAATTGCGGAAACGTTAAAAGAAGGGAGGGGATACGATCTTTTCTTTCTTTCCTTTGCATATTACCCAACATTAGAGTACGATTTCGAGCATAAACTGTATCACTAAAAGCAACCGATAACGTCATGAACGCTTTTCTAAAGTTTATTGCGGTGATTCTTGCTGTCTTTTCAGGTACGTAAAAGTCAAACTGCACTACTCAAAAGCGTCCAAGGAAGACAAAAAAAAAATGGAAAAAGCTGTTTAACGGATATTTCTTTTGCATTAGTTGTGAACATGGTATTAGCCCGCCCCGTCCGCCAAAATGCGGTAGCTTTTGCTGCTGACGACGGGCCCGTACCCTCAAGTTCCCTAAAGGGCAACCGCGGTGCTACTGGAAAGTTGCGTCCTGACGACGGGACCGTGCCCTCAGATTCCCTAACTCGCAACCGCGGCAGTGGTGGAACGTTGCGTCCTGACGACGGGCTCGTACCCTCAAGTTCCTCAAAGGGCAACCGCCGCGGTTCTGGACCGTTGCGGCCCGACGACCCACCCTCAGATTCCGTATCGGACTTCCGCGGCCGTTTGCGTCCTGTCCCCGGACCCGCTTGAATAGCGCCTCCGGGATCTAGCAGAACCTGACGGTTACTCTTCCGCACTCTTGTTGGTCGGTGCGTTCAGAGGGACTGGTTGCAGGTCCTCCTTGGAATGAAGCCATTATAAGAAAAGTGAGGATGTTGTTACGTATGTATGTGTATAGGCATGATGGCATTTCTTTGTACATAAGTTTGTGATGTGTTTTTGTAAAAAGTTTTAAAAAAAAAGATGTGTTTAAAAACAACTCTTTACTTTTTCTCGCATTGGGAACCCACTACACACACATTTCTGGAGACGATCACGCCAAAGTCAAAACGCATCCTCCTCAATTGCAGCAAACGCCTTGACAAAAAAGATAAACAAAACCCGTCACAAAGCGTTCAATGCTACGTGCTTACGTACGCATCCAACGGTGTGCTCACTCTGCAACGAGTATCAAAGATTTGAATAGCAGCGGGTTTGAACTGGGTGTATTGTGGATGCCATCATTCAACTATTCAATTAGGCCATACATCAAACCTGGTTTAACGCACGCACTGCAATGTTTCTGCTATGCTTTGTCCGATCGAATATTCGATACTCGTTGTACAGGTGAATAAGAATCGTACGACGATAAACAAGAATGGTGCGACAGGCCTTGACCAAGTGGCAGGTAAGAGTTTCAATCAATATGTTTTACTAGGAATATGATGGAGAGTCAGTTGCAAACGCAGAAACGTGTAAAGGCGGACGATTGTCTTTATCTTTCTTTCTTTTGTGTTATCCTGCGAGATCATCAGAAGGACGACCTTGAACACAAGACCTGTTACAAGAAAGTAACCGATAGTTTCCGTCATGAAGGTTTATTTAAAGTTTATTGCGGTGATTCTTGTTGGCTTGTCATGTACGTTCAAAGTTCAAAACTTGCAACCCATTTCAAAAAAACGTCCAAGGAAAGGAAAAAAAAAAAAAAAACGGGCATTAACAAATCTTCCCTTTTTTTTTGACACAGCTCTGAATATGGTATTCGGCCAAAACCGCGGTGGTTCTGCACAGTTGCGTCCTGACGACGGGCTCATAGCCTTAGATTCCCTAACGCGCAACCGCGGCAGTGGTGGAACGTTGCGTCCTGACGACGGGCTCGTACCCTCAAGTTCCCCAAAGGGCAACCGCGGCGGTTCTGCACATTTGCGTCCTGTCGACGGACCCGCACCCTCAAACTCCGTATCGGACGACCGCAGCAGTGGGGTACATGAGCGTCGACACCGCGGCAGTGCTGGATGGTTGCGTCCTGACGACGGGCCCGTACCCTCAGATTCCGTATCGGACTACCGCGACAGTGCGGTACATTTGCGTCCTGACGACGAGCCCGTACACTCAGGTTCCGTATCGGCCTACCGCCGCGGTCTCAAGAGCGGGGGTCGTGGCGGTACTGCACAGTTCCGTCCTGTCGACGGGCCCGTACCCTCCAGTTCTGCATCGACCTACCGCAGCAGTGGGGTACATTTGCGTCCGGTCGACGGGCCCGAAAATGACTTGAATATCCCCCCTGCGAATCCAGCAGGCTTGACGGGTACCGTTCCCCGTCTTGTTCGTCGTTGCGTAGGCACTGGTTGCAGACGCTCCTTGGAATGAAGCCATAAGAACAATCAAGATGTTTGTACATGTGTGTGTATATAGGCAATTGGCATTCCTTTGTATATATGTTTGTGATGTGTTTTGTACATATTGAAAAAGTTTAAAAAAAAAAAGTGTTCAAAAACAACGCTTTACTTTTCTCGCATTGCATCTTGTCTTGTGGGTTTTTGTTCAATAATTGTCTGGCTTGCGAGGCCGTACACACTCCTACCATGGTGTGCAGATAAGCTTTTTCTGGGGTCCACAAGACCCGAAGACCAGCTTTTCGGTAATCCGCCACATAGTTCCGAAGACCGAGACGATGGATAATGGCCAGAAGAGTCTGGTAATGGAATATAATTCCATATTTGGACTCTAGCTCATGCTGGACCTCTCGGAAGGGGGCAGAATCGGAGTTCCAGTACCGTATTCTTGATCATGTTAATCTGTTCCGGTGTGGCGGTACGAAGGCGTTCCGGGGCGTTTGGTACTGGTAACAGTTTCAGTAATCCGGTATCGTGTAATGGTGGCTTGAACTGTGGCTTGTGGCACAGATTGCTCTCTGGTGCTGTAGCCCTGCTCGTATCCCCCAATGATCTTGCCCCGGATGAAATCTGAGAGTTCAGCGCGACGGTGCGGCAGATTTGAAATTTCTTCCATCGTTGCATTCATTGTGTGGTTGCATTCTTTTCAACGCGTTTTTAAAGCAATTGCTATGGCAGTACGCTATGCCATTTAACCTAGTCATGCGCTGCTGTGTTTTTTGCTCTAGATTCTGCGCTGTCTGAGTATTACCACTCCACCACCATTAACCACACATGTCACCCATTTATGGCACACTGCAACTGAGATGGAACCACGGGCTTAGCGTGACTGGAAAGACGTGTGCAGTGACTGTGCGCCCTGAATTGAGGTAATGCACTATAACCGACATACTAGGGTGACTATTGGTTAACGGTGTAGAAGTGGTAAGCACCTCGACTCGAATTGTATCAGTGTTTTTACATAGCAGTGGGTTGAATTTGATGTATTTACATAACGAATATATGTGTACAAGTATTCCACTCCATTTTGCTGCGTGCACCTCACAAAAACCCGAGTGTTCCATGCAGGTTCTTCCATTGCGGGTTGTTGCGGTTGCTCGCCATTTTATAGCTGTTGCTCTGGCGGGATTACACCTAGTTAACGCCAACGTTGGCTATGTTTACTGCTCTGTCTGACCTGTAAACACTTTGATACGAGTAAGTAGTGCGAGGGTTGGTCCATATTTCGCGTAATGTATTCTGCATGGTGGTGCCCATCCTTGTATCGGCCATCCAACTGAGAGAATGATAGGTTCCCATTGTAAGTCTTCAATAAAAAATAAACACATGTAGCCAAGATCAAACACCCAACAAAACCCCAAAAACCTCTAATCAAAAAAAAAAAAAAAAAAAAAAAAACTAGACGTATATCTAAAACGTAACTTTTTGTTTCGAAGTGTTCTTTAGAAACAATTTACGCATCCAACTTTCCATCCCTATTTTAGAGGGGTTTCTCTGATACCCGCACATAAATGGAGGGGTTGTTGTGAATAGGGACCCGACCTATTAGAGAACAACCGGTAGATAAACGGAGGGAGTTGTTAGGAATATGGGGACCTGACCTATGAGCAGCACCAGTTCCCAATGGCCCATGTTACTCGAGAACCAACCAATACGCGCATCAGCAGTATTGGTAATGCGGGAACAGAAATGGCCGTGGAAATATAAAAAGGTGGGCTTTGCTTTTGTTCTTTATTTTCGATATCCTCTAAATAGAGTTGCTCCTCTACGCCCCCATAGATTCACAACCTATTGGAAACGTAAACTGATAATTTACCATGAACGCTCTTGTTAAATTCATTGCTGTGCTCCTCGGTGCCTCTACATGTACGTAACAACCCAGGAAGGAAAAGAAAATAAAAAAGTGGGATATTTGACATTAACAAAACCTTCTCGTTACAGTTCTAACCATGGCATTGGCCGCTGTCATCCAGCCCGAAGCAAACCCACTGTCAGGTAAAGTCAATCATATATTCCCCTCTTTTTGTTAACGCTCCCATACTTAAGATTCTTGGATTTCCAGGAGTCAATGCAAAGGCCACGCCCTCAAGTCCAGGTAAAAAAAAAAAATCGTTATTTAGCTTTGTTTATACGTATCTAACTTACTTGGGAACCGCAACAGCCCCGAAATTCAAGACGCTGGTCATTGATGGAACGACACATGTATATGATATCTCAACATCCACTCTTGTCTTTGATGCGGTCGCTACGCCTACGGTTACTCCTGCTGCTGCTCTCCAGCCAAAGACGGCGGTGGCTCCTCCCAAGCCAAAGGCTCCTCCTGCCCCTGCCCCTGCTCCCAAGGCAAAGGCGGCGGTGTATCCTCCCAAGGCAAAGGCGGCGTTGGCTGCCCGCGATGATATCCCACAAATCCCTCCAAATCCAGCCCCGACATTCAAGACGGTGGTCGTTGATGGAAAGACATATATACGTCAAGTTTCAAAAACTCTTGCGCCGACGGTTTCTCCTACCCCTGCTCCCAAGGCAAAGGCAGGAGTGGCTCCCCGCGATGGTCTGCCACAAATCCCAGGTAAAAGTCCTTCCTAGTATCCCGGTTCATTACGCCATATCTAACCTACTTGGGAAACCCCAACAGTCCCGAAATTCACAACGTGGGTCTATGATGGAAAGACATATACCCGTCAAATTTCAACCACTCTTGCGCCTACGGTGTCTCTAGCTACGTCTACGGTTACTCCTGCTCCTACGGATCAGGTTACGCCGTTGGCTCCCCGCGATGGTCTGCCACAAGTCACTCCCAACCCAAAGGTCACCATACCCGTACGTCCAGGTAAGAGATCCTTTTTGTATCTCCCGCTTTGTTAATTATCCCGTATCTGAACTTTGATGGGAACCCAACAGCTTCTTCGACTGTGGTCGTTGATGGACAGACACGTGTAATTCTTATTACTCCTGCTCCTGCTCCTCCTCCTAAGGCAAAGGCTTCTCCTGCCCCTGCTCCCAAGGCAAAGGCGCCGGTGGCCCCCCGCGATGGTCTGCCACAATAAACCCTCCGAATGCATAGGCCAACCGCCATACCCGTACGTCCAGGTAAGAGATCCTTTCCCTTGTAATCTCCCGCTTGTTAATGCGTATCTGAACTTGATGGGAACCACAACAGCCTCTTCGACGGTGATCGTTGATGGATCGACACGTGTAGTTTTTATTGAAACTCCTGCTCCTGCTCCAAAGGCATAGGTTGTGGGGGCCCAAGTTGGCGGTGTTGCTCATCCGCAGTAAGTTATTGTAGAAAAAGATTATTTTGCAGGAAAAAGATTGCATATGTGTGTATAGGCATGATAATGTTTTTGTGATTTGTTTGTAAGTATATATGTGAAAATAAGATGTATGCACCTTTGACTTTTGTGCTGCGAAATGAGATATGCAAACAATGGCCATATGAAATTGTCTTCTTCCTTATATTTTCATGTTGCCAGATATTTGCTCCTCTTGTTCTAGCTCTTGGACCCGCTACTGTTTAGCTTTTACTGCACGGCACTCTGAAAGGAACGAGGATGCATTCTAAAACAGCATTTATTTCAGAAAATAGTAAAAACATGTACAAATCCACACCAAACCAAATACCCAAAACAACGCATCATTTCTCATCCCTCAATCCTTTTTTGCACACAAGAAAAAAAAATCACATATGTCTCTATATAATCGTATCCCCTATTTTTAAAACTTTTTTGGCTCATGCATTTGTTACGAATACACGATTTCTAATTAACCTTTGTCTGAGATTGAACATCTTGACCACTACCACCACGTTTACGCAACTGAGCTTCAGCAGCATACCGAATAGCCCACGTCAATTCATACGTCTTGGAAGCATCTTCCCAACTCGAGAGGATCCCGCCCGTCTTGCCCGTTCCTTCTCCAATATCCTGTTGCTTGCCCAATTTGACAGCATCGACCAGGACGGCCATTTGAGAGAGGTAGGGATCATCCTCGGGGAACGTGTACAATTGCTCAGCGTCGTCCAAGGGAGAGCGAACGTAGAGTTTGGGTTCATTGTAAGGATCAACCATGCGGAGGAACCAACCGTCGGCATGGACTTCGAGTTCGCAATTGTATTTGGTGCCTTGGAGGTTGATGCCGTGGACAATGGTTCCCACGGCGCCCGACGTGTATTTCCAAATGGCGGTGGTGATGCGAGGCACGCGATCCTGTGGTGGGATGGAGGATTCGTCAATGGGGATGACAGAGAGGTGGCCGGGGGGTTCGTCGTGTTCGACGGAATGGGCTTGGACCGAGGAAATCTCCACGTCGCCTCCAAAGTAGCGCGACAAGTCACAAAAGTGGGTGCCTTGTTCGACAATGGGAGAACACGAGATGGATTTCATCCACCAGTCCTTTTTGGCAATGTGGGCATAGGAACAAGTGTAGCGGGCCATGGTGGACATGACGGTCAGGTTGTTTTCGGCAATCAATTGCTTCATTTTTTGAACGACTTGGAGGTAGCGCATAAAGTAACCGACCGAGACGAGGTTGCGGGACGCTTCCAAGTGTTTTCCGACGAGCATGACGTCTTGAACGGATGAGCTTGACATTGGTTTTTCGACAAAGAGCGTCACGTTGGGGATGGCGTTGGCGAGGGCGAGTTCCATGTCCTTGCCGGGGAGCGTGCTCCCGTGAAATGCGGGAGGGACGCCAATGAGAATCATGTCTGGCTTGTCTGCGGTTCCAGCGGTCATGTCGTGGAGATAGGCGGGGAGCGAGTCGTACTCTTTGGTGTGCTCATAGGAGGGGCCTGCGGAAGAGAGGCGTTTGAATTCCAAGACTTGCTGACGGCGCGGAGGAGCCGGGTCAATGATTGCAGTGACGACAAGGTTGTTGCCAAGCGTTTGTTCCAAGCGTGTCGAGTGGTTCCAAGGCCCTTCGACTGTTCCAAAGTTGATTCCCCCTGCACCTACGAATGCCACCTTGAGGGTGCCCACAACCCCAGGCATGTCTATTGTCGCGAGCGTTGTGAGAATTGTGATTGTTGGGTGGGTGGCGAACAAGAGAGAGCGTGCAAGAGTCCCCGTGAGTCGTGCGTGAGTCGTGTGCGTGAGTTGTGTGAAATGTCCCAAACGATGAGCTGTTTAAAAGAAGAGTCTGATAATAAAAAAACAAGGAGAACAAGGGAGAATACTGCGCAATAAAAATAAAAAAAAGAAGCGTCTGTGTGTGGATAAAGACGAGAGAAATGCAACAAAATAAAAATTGTAGATATACTCAACACATGCATGAGATAAAAACTACAAATATAAGAGTGTTGAATATGAGTGAGATACAAGAGTGTGAGAGTGTGAACATGCGAGTATGAATAGATGTGTGATATGATAAAAGGAAAGAGATATTGTGACAATTCCCCCATATGTTGAGTGAATGAATGAGAGAGAGAGAATAAGCGTCTAGTTGGCAGAGAGAGTAAAGGGTAGAGAGAGAGAGATGAGACTCTTATCAATCAACAGCAAATGCACGAGAGAGAGAGAGAATTCCCAAGTGTGAAATAGAGAGAGAAAAGCAATTTCCCCAATAGCCATTTTGTTTTTCCATTTCTCATCCATTTGAACGACTTTCTCTCTCTCTCTCTCTCTCTCTCTCTCAATACACACACACACATTCATTATAATGACATGGAATCGATATTGCTATCGGTATCGCTCACACTCAAACTATTCATATCCATCGTCACTTGGACTATCTCATCAATCTCCATCGCCTCATTAGATTCTTCTTTTTCTTTTTGTTTCAATTCTTGCATGGGTTGGGTTGGAGATATCGTACTTGTCTTTTTACAGAGCGAGGATTTACAAAGAGAGAGAGAGAGAGAGAGCGGGTGGTCAGAAGCCGAACACCTTACAAGTAAACAAACAAAAAACGTACCGGACTCGGACATCCCCCATAACATCCATAATCGATCCAGTGCAGCATAGAAGGACTAGCAGAAAGACAAAGTTGCAAGTGTTTGAAATAAAAGTGCATACAAGGAAAAAAGCTCTTTTTTGTTTCTTGAGCCGCTCTATTACGTGATGATCATTCCCCTCCATCACGCGGCCGAGCAAACAAACGAATCTCCATTCCCCAAAACCTTGCAATGCACCTCAACACTTACCTGCTTGCCAATCGGTTGTGTATCGTTTGCGTATTCGTCTTGCGTATCAACCTCACCAGAGAGTGCGTTACTATTTGCATAAAAGGTACGAATTGTTTATGAGATATGAGGGAAATAACCGCTGATTATGTCATCATTCATCACATGATGTTATCCAATCAAATCACTTGTCCACAAACTGCGCTTTTCCCATTATTAAGGGAGCTTTTCCCCCCGCATTCCCCCTTTGGCATTGCACATGAAATCACACGATTGTCCATGGCTCTAGATTCATTGTCGTCGTTGTCAGAAGAGGTAACCCCTCACCCATCCTCTCCATCTTGTACTGATGCTGATGATGCACATGTTTTGTTGTTGACAGAAGTGTTGAGCGGTGCAGAGGTGTTGAATGTTGAGAGTTTGATTGTCGCCGCCGCCGCCGCAACAACACTGGGCGTCGACGATGCGAGTGTGCTAGGTATCGATGCCAGTCTGCTGGGTCTTGCAGAGGTATTAAAAAATGTGTTGGAGGAGAAAGAGTGGGAGATGCTCATGGACCCTTTTCGCCAGTCTCGTGGTCAACCTGTAAATGGCCCGCATGACGGGATTGAGACTGTCGACACCTCTCCGTCGCCCATGGAGGCACATGTACCCGAGGATACTCTTGAGCGTGTCGCGGGTCTGTTTCCGGGATTAGGTGCCCAGGAGGAAGAGGACGTCAATGACCTTTTCAAGGATATCTTGCAATTTGAGGGAGACCTTGATTCGACAATGGGTGTGGGGGCGGATGCCATCAATCAAGAGACAATCGTTTCCGATGGGAATGTGTCCGAGGCAAATGTGTTTGATGCAATGTTGAACGCAACAGTGAGGGACGCCGATACAATGACAAGAGACGCGGACTGGACCGCCAACGCTGTTTCCAGTGACTTGCCAGTGGCCGAATTGCCAGTGGCCGAATTGCCAGTGGCTGGGTATACATTCGATTCCGACGGCCTTGACAACCTCCTCTCTTCTCCCATGCTCTCTCTATCAAGCGACATGTCGAGCGCCTCTGGCCTCGACTGGGCATCACCCGAGATCTCTACTGTTCCCGACACGTTCAATCTCCTCACATCCCCCACACTCTCGCTCTCCGATAATGTCTTTGATTGCGGGGGTCTCTTGACGAACGAATCCTTTTTTTCGAATGGCGACGTCCCTAGCGACACAATGCCCGAGTCGACTGGCAACATGACTACTTTGAAACCGCCTACCGAATCGACCAGTCAAATTAACACGGACGCCCTCCTCGCTGCCATCTCCACACCCCTCTCTCCCACGCCCACGGTGACGGCCCCTTTTGCCGATCCCCCGACACCCACACCCGACGCAATAGCCTCCATCCTCGCCACGATTCTCTCCACCCCTCAGTCCGCCGACGGCCTGTACCACTGCCCCCTCCCCACCTGCGCACGAGGCTTTGTCCGCCGATACAACCTCAAGACCCATTTTGCAGCCACCCACGCATCCGTACGCAAGTTTGTTTGTCAGTACTGTTGTCGGGAGCCGTTTGCGAGACGATATGATTTGCAAAGGCACGTGAGTAATAAGCATGGTGAGAACCCAGACCAAGAGACCAATGCGTGCGAGCATAAGCGAAAACGTGGTGCGCAAGATGATGAGCATGATGGGAGGAAACGGAAAGCTGTATGTTGTAAATAGAAAATTGTAGTAATGGATTGCGAATCTCTTTAATTGGATTCCACAAAAAGAAATATAAAGTTGTCGTCGTTGTTGATCTCTATACACACGGTTTATACAAGGTCTGCCCCCCACCTTTATGAATCCATCTCTGTCACCCACCCCACCTTCAACTCCACTTTTCGAACCTGACACTCTACCAAAGCCCTCACCAAAATCTCCACCTCCTTTTCCTCATACTCTGCACACTGTTTCGCGGATTGAACTGCCGCTTCCAGCGCAGCATCCACCATGACATCCACCTCAATCTTTTCCGTATTCAAAACACTCAGAGCAGCTTTTGCTGCACACGCCGCAACACCAGGACTCACCACCTGTTCCAACACCCCTAAAAGCACCAAAACGGGATTCCCAACATCCCTGAACCACCCCCTCCCATCATCATCAACCATTCTCAACCCCTCCAAAAAACACTCTTGAACACTCTTTCCAACTTTTTTGGAAACACTTTCCCAAGACTCGATTCCATCCATTCCATCCAACACTAGACTACGATCCATATCCGTCCATTCCCCCCTCGCCAAAAGTCTATCTCCAGCAACACGGACAAAATCCTTACTCGACACATCAAACGGGTATTTACCCATCAAGTAACAGTCTTCACAGAATAGAACATGTGGTGGGTGAACCAGCATGTATGTACACAACTCTGTTTGACATGTATGGCAAGTACGTGATGGATGGTGTGTTGTATGTGGTGTATATACGGTCGTATCGGTATCCAAAAGGGGTTGGAATCCAGCGTATAGGCGAGTTAGACCGGTAGGTTCTCCTTGTCGAACCCTGGAATGGATTAACCCCCAATACCCCAAAAACCGATGCACGGGACAAATATCTAATACAGGTACACCTAACCGCTCACTGCATTCCGCAATGGGTAGATACCGATCCATGCGGCGTGTATAGGCTGTTATGATCCCGTTTCGAATGGTTTTGTATTCGGTTGGACGGGTCCGGAAGGTGGGGAGGGCGTCATATTCGATTGGGTGGATACTTTCCATGGAGAACCAGGGGGCGTTGGGGTGATGGAGGATGGTCCATGTCGCAAGATCCGTTGGAGAGGTCTCGGTAGTGAAATCCCATTGTTGGGCGGGTGTGGCGGTTTGAGAGAGTAATGTACCAGATGGCATGCACGGTTGGATCGTTTGGGAAATGTTTGAAAGGATACCGTTTGGTATGGGTTCGTATTCGTATTTTTTGGCGCGGATGCCTTTTCGGTCTAGATCTATTGGAGTTGTGATGGGGATTGGGAGGGCTTTGGGTGTTGGTTCAAGAGGTGTGTTGGGAGTGGGCTTGGGGGGTTGGTTGTCTTGGCCGTCCATGTCGCCTTCAATGGATACATCGGACATGTCGTCTTCTTCTTCGTCTTCGATTTCCTCTTCTTCTTCTTCTTCTTCTTCTTCATCATCATCGTCGTCGTCATCCTCTTCGTCGTCATCTTCGTCGTCATCTTCTTCATCTTCTTGGTCATCGTCTTCGCCGTCATCAGGTGGCTCCGGATTCTCAGCTTCATAATCTTCTTCATTCTACACATATTGGAATCTATCAACAAAAACCCACCACCACCAAAACATTAAACATTCGTAACAAACCATCCACTCATTATTCGCGACACTATCCCTCAACCACCGGACCGATAACCGCCAAGGTCCCTGATGTTCAGGCGCCGGCTCAGGATCCAAATAATCTCCTGAACTCTCTGGCATCCATACATCGGCTGAATCGGGTTTATACCAATAATGCAATAACACGTATCCATTGCGTTTTTCGAGGGTTCGGTACCATTCTTGTTCGGTGGTTGTTGCTGCTGTTTCGTGTTCGGGGGATTCTTGGAGGATGTGTGTTACGGATGGTGTCATGTAGGGTACAATAGTGGCTACCAAAACACAAAACACCCAGAAAGATATTGTAAATGTTATCGAGAAAAACTATTGTATACGCATATTTAAAATGGTCATTACCTTGAACCAACGGCGCCAATTCCACCAATTCCTCCCTAACATCCTCCCCCAAAGACTTTCCAAAAGCAATACAAGGATACTTTACAAACCCCTCACGCACCAAGCCTTCCACAATAACCCTCAACAACCCAATATAAGTATCCCGTTTCGTAGGGTTCTCCAAATCCCATCGCTTGACTCCATGATCCATCCGCCACGTAAATGCAATCTTGAGTACAGTATACAATGCCCCATCGAGATTAAAATCCTTGAAGAGTTTATGTGGGATCCGGACGAATGGACGGGTTTTGTTGGGGGACCCGAGAACAGCGTGTTGGAATCCGACGAGTTTTTCAGTGAATTTCGCGAGTTCTTTTGCGGTATGGTCTATGGTGATGCTGAGGGAGAGTTTGGAGCGGAGGGGTTCGAATTGGGCGATAATGTCGGGTTGGCGGTAATATGCATACTTTGATGAAGCCATTCAATGGGGGAAGGCTGTGATCTCTTACAAGTCGATATAGCGTTGCATCTACTGTAATGACCGACACCAACTCACACACGCCTAACGCTTAGTCACGTGTCTAATCGTTGCTACAGCAACAAGGAACGCTTGCCATTGCCAGTGGCCATTGACACTGTCACATCCACCACTCAGATCACCACCAGATCACCACAACCTCCATCCACCCTTTACACAACATTTCTCTTCCAACATGGTACGTTTTTCATTTCCCATTCTCATATCCATTACACTCTAAAAAACTAACCACACCCCAAGGCCCGAAATGAAGAAAAAGCCCAATCCATGCTCTACCGCTTCCGAGAAGCCCAAGCCGCCGAACTAGGGTTCAAAAAGTCCGAAAAAAGACCCTACCTAGCTTCTGAAGTACATGTCCTCAAAGACGCTGAAAAATGGCGTCAACAAATCATTCGAGAGATTTCAAAAAAAGTGTCAAAGATTCAGGATTGTATGTTGTGTTTTTTTCGCTCTATCCATGTTGGCGTATTGGATTTTTTTTATTGATTGATGTATGGGATTTGGATTTTTAGCGGGGTTGACGGATTACCAAGTCCGAGACCTAAACGACGAAATCAATAAACTGATTCGAGAGAAACGACATTGGGAGTATCGGATTCGAGAATTGGGTGGACCCGATTACAAAGTCCGTTTATCCACTTCCCTCAAGACCGTTTGAACGGGTTCACTTATGCTTTTCTTTTGTAGAGAATGGGACCAAAGTTGCTTGATCAGGAAGGAAAAGAAGTTCCTGGGAATAGAGGATACAAGTACGTATATATCAATAACTCGTGTTTGCTACAATGGTTTATTGTTTTAATTGTATCATAAAGGTATTTTGGTCGTGCAAAGGATTTACCGGGTGTAAGAGAACTCTTTGAACAAGAAGGTATCCATTCTACATTTTATCTTTTCGTAACAATGGCGTTTTCTAATGTCCTTTGTAGTCCCTGAAGCCCCCAAACCGACCCGACAAGACCTATCCCGACGAGTCGACGCTGATTATTACGGATACAGAGACGAAGAGGATGGGATATTACTTGAATATGAAGCAGAGATATCCAGACGGGGTATGTCACAAAAAAACCCCCCGCACCTTACTCATACACTAATTTTTCTTTTTATTAGAACTTGGACAAGTGATGGATACACCACTAACGGATTTCGTAGCGCATGTTCCCGTCCCATCCCAAAAAGATGTGGAAGCTTGGCTTGTTCGACGACGACAACAGGAATTGGCGGATCGGTTCTTGTCTGATGAACATTCACTGAGTAAACAAGTCACATCATGAGAACCGTTCAATGTCTTTTTTTTGTATTATACTATTTGTTGTAATAAAGAAAATGTATATCACATGAAGAAAGAAACCAATGAAAACCCCCCAAAAAAACCCCCACTTGGAAAAGCCAATAAAGGGTATCTATACAAAAAAAAAAAAAAAAACACTTTTCAAACCATTGTCCGCAACCGTTTCGTAGCAGGCGGCGATACTTGGACTATATCCCCCGAATACTCATCATACTCTTCATACGCAGACTCTGTCTCCGATTGCAACCCATGATCCTCTACAAGAGGCGGTGACGACCTGTTATGAATGTGTCGATCGATGGAAGGCAGTGGATTGGGTTTTGTATCTTGTGGTGAAATCTTTGCTACCTCGGCCTGTAATATATCCACTATAAAAAAAACCATACATTAATAAATGACGTAAAAAACAAGCATTATGCATAATGCTTTTTACCATCGAATTTCCGTTTTCGAGAGGTATTATCCCCATCTTCTCTATATATCGATGCCAAAAATGATGTAATATTGGTAATGACTTGATGGTGTTTACTCTGTAATAGCCGGCAAGCGACGGTTTCGGACCAGAGAAGGTTATACGATTCGTGGACTTTGGCTCTACATTGCATATATGAATATCCCAAAAACGGTTGAAAAAGATGTGTGGGGGGTACATTACAATTTTTCTTCCAGTTCCAGTACTTTGTTTGTTAATTGCTCGATACGCTCGTCTTTGGATATAGTTAGGTTCGCGGCGGCTTGGGCGCGTTGTTGTTGGGTCATTTTGGAGCTTTTGCGTTTGATGTTTTGTAAGAGTTCTACTTGGCCTCGACGAAAATCGGGGTGCTATTATTACGGTTAATTGCTACTTTTTTCGTCGAGTTTTTTAGAGTGGTTTTGTGCGTACCTTGAATTCCCATGTTTCCGATGAATTACCGTGGTACATGTCGTTAATCTTGTGAAAACCGTACATGTTAAGTTGTCGAACAAAACTTGCAAACTATAGCAACATGCGTGAGTAAGGTTTCGTTTTTTTAAAAAAACTTGGAATGCTCGGGTATAGTACATTGTTGTGCTTAAAGTATTGGGGTAAAACCGTTTTTGAAAAATCTAAAGCCATATAAAATAATGAGTATGATTTGCCCGTGATGTCGCATCGCCAACGTCGGTCGAAAACAATAACCCCTCCCACAACAACAAACTGAACATACCGGTAATGTTATTTACGATAAAATACGTGCCAGTCGGGTCCCAGCAAATAAGATGCTGAACGGAAGAATCTTCCAACATTCTGATCACACAATGAACATTGTCAGAACCCCACACAAGACACCAAAGTGTACATTCCACTTATACTTGCGAGTAAAGTTTGTTGATAAAGGCTGCTTGGGAGGAATTCCCTGCACCCGCGTCAGGTTTCTTGTCCGTCGGCGTCATTCGCTCCATGATCGGCCGTTTGTTTTTCCAAAAAAAGCTGGCACAAAGGACTAGAGGTTTGAAACTATTCCAAGTATGTTGAACCAAAGGGGTAGAATGGCGACGATGCCCTTTTAGAAACCGTGCTCAAAGCATGCGTTGAAAAAGAACGATCCAATGCAATGTAACAAGAAATCTGTTAAAACCCAAAACTCTTAAAATTCACGCTTCTAGAAATTTCGTAAACGTCCAGAAAACAATACGGGCGGACACAAAGCCCTATTGCATAAGCAAAGTCATGTGAATCGCGGTATGAATGAATGGGAAATGCGCGGCGGTCCAAAACCGTGTTGTGTTGCCCTGGGTTGGACTTAATAACCCCCAGATTTCTGATCGTTCAACAACAGGAAGGGATTGCTTTTTTTTTGTTCTTGTTGGTTTCCCAGTTACGTTTTTGACAAACGGTGGGTTCTTTTTGTTACTACTATGGCTACTGCCACGACAAGGTGTGTTTACTCGGTACAGCCCACTATTCTGGCGTTTGCTCAACCTTTAACCGCTAGAGTTTCGGGAGCGGGATACCCAGGCGCCGAAGATGTCTTTGTAGAAATAACGGACCCTCAAACTGGCAAGACATTTTTTGCCAACATTGCGACGGGGGAATGTTGTTGGGAACGACCGAGACATGCTCGTGTGTGCGTATTTTTGTCGCTTTACCGAGCGTTATGAGATTATGGGGACTTAAGAGGGTGATTTGTGAGATGAAACGTTGGAACCAGGTCATTAATTCGTAAAATTGTTTTCCTGATCGTTTGCAGGAAGCCAAAGGATGAATCGGGTATCGAGTGGTGGGAACTCTTTGATGATCATCACAAGTTGGTATGTGGAACATTTGCGTTTAGGATACGTCATGGTGTGAGGTATCTAAAATGGAAAAAAAACGACAGCCCTATTACTACAATACCAAGACGGGAGAAACGGAATGGCTTCGACCGACTGTGGGGACAATCATCCCAGTATGTGTCTTGATCGTGTTTATGGAATGGAACATTATGCTTATGTTTTTTTGAATGTGTGAAACAGCTGACAGCTATACAGGTATGTAGAGTACCCTCGTTCATTTGCATGTCGTAAACGAAATAGAATAATATCTTTGACGATGCACTGTCAACAGAACTCTTCCATCGGAAAGCGCGTTTCCGTTCTCGTACAACAAGCTTCCATCGCCAATTCTTTTGCTGGCACGTCCTTGTTGGGTGCTGCATCACTGGCTGCCGATAGCCCTATGCGCTACATGTCAAATTCACCGCCCCAGCGATCCATACCCGAGGAAGTAGGTCATCCTCCTGTCCCTTCCCAAAACACCTCCTTGCTCATTCTTTCCATGCAGCCTGTATACCCCAGGCCAACAACCCGCTCAGGCTCCCATCCAGATATCAGTACGACCCAGCAATACTCTCCGCTCGCCTCACCGAATATGAGACAAAGCAACTCGTCAAAGAATTTGTCTCAGTCACCTCCTATATCGGCTAGCGGGAATCGCACATCGCTTACTCAGTCATCTTCCATGCATAGTCTTCGTGATGCGGCAGCAAGGGCGCGTACCTATGGGATTAGTACACCGGTTTTGAACCCAGGTACGTGCACTCTGTGTTTGTTTCGGTCGATGAACGTGCGCATTCTGAGCCTTTCTGTGACTATTAGAAGCAGCAGCATCAATGAGTCCATTGAATAGTCCAATAAATGCAAAGATACAATCCAGTCCCGAGCTACAATCTCCTATCAATGAGTCCGTGATCTTGGTTCATTTGAATCCGCAGTCCGATAGCTAACACTCTCTGTCACAGGGGAAAAGCCCTCCCAAAAGACTTGAAAGCGCAACTAAGCCAGTTTCGGATAGAAGGATTTGCGACAAAGTACTTTTCAGAACATAGAAAGGGAATATTTTTCCGACGAAGAGTCCCTGTTGAAAAGATGTTGGTGTACCAAAAGGTTTGTTCCAAATGTAGTATGTGCCATGGTTCCTTATCTAACAAAACATTGCAGGAGCCTCTGAAAGCCCCATTAATGGTCTTGAACAAGGACTTGCACAAGGATGCACTAAAATGCTTCAAGCTCATACAAAAAATAATGAAATCCGACCCTGCCGCTGCGGTAACAGATACACATACACTACTGGAAAAAGGGATTGCCCATGGTGGCCTTCGAGATGAGATTTACGTGCAGATCTGCAAGGTATGTTTGTCCCCATCTTTTGTATCCTATTTTACAAAGGTCCTTGACCAACTTTTGATATCAGCAATTGAAAAACAATCCCGATGGGTAGGTGTGTGCATTTTCGAGTCTAGGCGGATAACCCCGCTCCAAGGCACCTCTAACCAACCGAGTGAACGCAGAGAAAGCGTATACAGAGGCTGGATACTCATCTCAGTAGTCACCATCGCCTTTCCTCCTTCCAAAAACTTTGAAGATTACCTCAAAAACTTTGTTCAACAGCATCAAGGAAGCACGGCTGGAAAAGTCGCCATGGTCGTGCAACACTGTTGGAAAAAGCTGTTAAGAATCTGTAAAACGGGGCCACGCGGGAAAACCCCCACCACGGCCGAAATCCAACGGGCTCAGGTTCAGTGTTTTATGAAACTCCAATTTGTGTTTCGCTAATTCCAGTTAATTCTGTCCGCGCATTTCTAACGATCGCAAAGTTGTCTGTTTACAGGAGGCACCCTTTACTCAATCCCTGTTTGGAGAGCCTTTGGAGGATATTATGAAAACGGAACTGGAAAAGAACCCCCACGCGAGTCTCCCTCGTATTCTCCCGTTCCTAGCAGATGCAATTATCCATTTGAATGGATGCAGAGCAGAGGGGATCTTTCGTGTACCGGGTGATGCGGACGCCGTGACTGGTACGACTTTTTTGTGACGAATTTCCTTGACGAAACATGTGAACTGAATTTAGGGGCAATACAGAATTGCGCATGCGGGTGGAAAAGGGAGATTATTCCGTGATGGGAATCTCAGGTATGAGAAAAATGAACATGTCCTGCGGATAAGTGAACAGACTGCTGACAGTATCGACAGACCCGAACGTACCAAGTTCTCTCTTAAAGCTCTGGCTACGAGATCTTGCAGACCCTCTCATCCCTTCAGAATTTTAATATCCTTCTACAATGTCGTTTTTGCTTTCTTCCGTTTTATGCTACACATTCAGCATCGTATGTTATCCTTAACCACATATCTACTTCGAGCTGCATACAGGTTGGACAAGAAGAATCTCGAATACCCCTTTCCCAATCCGGTCCCGCTGCACTACGTATTATATCAAGTCTCCCAGGTGCTGTACCCTTTAGTTCTCACCCCGCTTTTTCAAAACTTTTTGCTCAAATACTAGTTTTACAGAAATCAATCAACGCGTCGTCAACTACATGATCAACTTTTTGCGAGTCATTGCCGAACCACAGAACCAACCCTTCACCAAAATGACCATCAGCAACCTTGCCATGGTTTTTGCGCCAAATTTCTTGCGGTGTCCGAGTGATAACCCAACTGTTATCTTTGAGAGTACAAAGTGCGTATCGAAAATGCAAATGGATCTGTTTTTCTTGTTTTTGTGTAGCTGATTTTGTTGATTGTTAAGGTTCGAACAAGCCTTCCTCCGAATCCTTATATCATACGTGCAAGAAAAGTAGAGTAAACGCTCACAGTATTATGGTTATTTCCTAGATGAAATAAAATTGTTTTTTTGTTGCCAGTGTGTTGGACTGGGTTTGGTATTTTTTTTGTAACTATGATAAAAAAAAAGGATTTCATAACCAACATTGGGTCGTACGTGTGGTACTGATGTTTATGTGTGAGAGCTTTGTTGGGTTTTTTGCTAGAGTCCTGTCGTTCTTGTTGGCAAGTAATGAAACGAGAGGTCTTCTGTTGGGGTGTTGGATCGATCTATTCTCACAGTTGTAGACCCTTCATGCCTGAATATCATCTGTAGCTTGTTATACAAGGACCTGGTACTCCACAGTCCTATCATGTCGAATGCACTTAGTTAAAGGTGACCGTTTACCCGGGAAATACGCAATATGCCAGGAAGATATGGTACGTACATGGTGATACGTTTCTTAATCGGGTAGTGGCGAAGTGGATGATAAGAGCTCGAGTAAGTAATCGGGAAAATACCACCTGTAAAGCAACAAAAAGACTGACTTCATCTAGAACATCTGAGTTTGTATGGGCGCTTAGCTCGGCGTCGCAATTTACTCGAAAAGGACTAGTCCCTCAATGGAAGCCCCCAAATGCTTCGCACTTTGGCATAGTGAACGAGACGGAGATCTGTGTGCTTTTTGACAATGGTAGACTAATTGTTTTTTGAACAGACTGATGACGCAACTTGAGTGTCGAACGTCACAAAGCCTACATTGCAAAAAACCATTCTGGAATAGACGGCGATACAAATGTTTTTGTCGAGCCGGTTATGAGTATTACTAGTCGGCACACTGAACTCACGGCAAACGTGTTTGATGCATCCTTGGTTGACTGAAACCTATGCGCTTCAAGAATGGTGTGCACAGTAGGAACTTGGCTCACGAGCGTCACAATCACAATGTCTACATTGCAAAAAAGCCATTCTGGAACTGAGGGAGATATTGCAAGTGTGATCAGTCGGCACACTGAACTCGCGCGGCAAAATGTGTTTGATACTTTCTTGGCCGACGAACCTATACGCAACGGTGCACAGTTGGTTGTTGACTTGTCGCTGGTATTTCCTGAGGATAGCACTGTCGATATGACTGGCGAGAAGAAGTATCCCTACGTGCGTATTGGCGATAGCCCGTTCGGAACTCGCTAGTTTCTGTGCTACTGGATCCGACATGTCCAGTCTACCTTTGCGGGCACCATATCTTTAGTATTGTCAATATTTTGCGAGTGCTGGGCAGTCTGCCAAATGCAAGCCGACTTGAATTGTGTGAGCGCTTCAAATATGGTGTGTAGGTCGTTGACGGATGTTGTCGCTGTAACTTCCTGATGATAGTCCAGTTGGTATGACTGGCGAGAAGATATAGCAATACGTGCTTATTCGCGATAACGGTCGGGAACGACACGTAGCACGCTAGTTTCTGTGTTGTTGGACCGGAACTTTGCTATTGTTAGTATTTTGCAAGTGGTGTGCAGTCAAGTCCAAGAGCGGCCATGAAAAGCGCTCAATGATTGTCTGGATATCATTAAAAACTGTGTTGGTGTGCATGTTTTCATTTTTCATCCTATTTCATCCTTTATCGCAGGCCCTTCCTCCGAGGAGGATGCCATCATCGCCCGAAGGCTCCGGCGAGTCGTTGCTCCTACCATTTCTGGCGCGCGCACACGATCAGTCCCAGGCGCCCACCTCAAAGAGGTTAGTACGTTGCATTACTACAACGACCTTTAAAGTTATCCGGTTATGACTTTTCGACCGAGTTGAGTTTAGCGCCAAGTTCCCAGGGCGGGCTCGAGTTTTACGCCGTCCCAAGGCGAGTGAAGAGAGTGAAGAGAGAGTGGGGGGATGCGGGAGAGGGTGCCTTTTTATAACTTTTGGAGGTGGGCCCCGTTGGGGCTGTGGGGTTCTTGGATGGAATGTGTTGGATGGGGTCTGTGCGTCATCAAGACCTTCCATGTCTTCTTCATCAGGGACGTTGAACGCCCAGACCATGCTGCTTGCTTGTTGAATAACGCGTGGACGTTCTTTTGCACACGTCATCAACGTAGATGCACGTTGCAATTTGGAAAAAGGGACGCGCAAGATGATTAGGAATTTCAAATGCATTTCCTTTGCATGCTTCGAAGATCTATTGATGTGGATAGTGGAATGGAGTTTGAAAGCAAAGCATGATGAGAAACGAAATGAGGCAATTGGTCGATGCCCGAGAAACACATCCAACGAGATCTATACACATGCGAGCAGGACAAGACAGATTGGAACAGACTTACAACACGGCGACGAACTGCAAATGAGTCAATTGACCCATGGCGGAACAGACTCCAACACGATGACGAACGAAAAAGGAGGTAATTGCGTGCCTGCGCTGCGTTACAGAGGTACCGTTATTGGATTGTCAATTGGTCCTATGGCTGGAGTACGTGGAACAAACTTCCAACACGGTGATGAACGAAAAGGGAGTTAATGATCCTATGGCTGGAGTTCATTCCAAATTGCGTGCCTCAAAGGGGCATCATTATTGGATTGTAAAGATACTCCTTCTGATCCAAGAAGATTCTTGGATGAACGCACATGGACATTATTACCCTCATGACCACAGGGCTATCTCAGCGCAGTTCTTCTTTATTGCAGCAAACCAAATCTATTGGGGCTCCCCGCTGACATCTCCAAGGTCATACACGTTATCTTTCAAGTATCCACATCCTAGTTCCGCAATATGAACCGAATGCCCTTTCGATAGTCGGTGCGGTTGACCTCATGCGATATGCGAGGACGTCTCTTCAAAGCGCCCAAAAAAAAACCGCAGTACTTGTAGATTGGATTGTAGTTGGAGATGGAGGGTTGGGTTTTGTTTTTATTAAGAGTGAATATGCAAATAATCGTCCATCAACGGGCAAAAAACAAAGCCAAATAGTGCAATTAGTTAAGTCTTGAACGACATACAAAGCAATACTCTGACTGACTTTTGAGATCGCTGCTCTTGTTCTCACCAGACCGTGGGAAGAAACCTGAGTTAGCTTACGTAATCATGATATCCGAGATATCGGACCAACTTGCGCGTCTGGGTGATTTGCAAGCAACCTCACATTCCGAGATCTCAAGACCACGTACACCATGGCAAGCACACATGCCACAGCGCGAGAGTCTCCATTGGACGACACATTTATCCCTCAAACTCCCGCTGAACTAGCTGATCATGTAAGTGTCATGCATTAGTCGACAAGCTAGCACTGTCAAAATCTAACACGCTAGATCTTTGGACATAGGTTGAAGCAACTCTATCCAAGCTGGCAAGTCCACACACTATAACATAAATTGATTCCAGTGTGGATCTATGTTTTAATACGTGCGATTTCATGTAGCAACAAAGAATGGAGGACATGTCAAACAAGATTCTCTCACAGAGTGCGTATACAATCGCCGTTTAACCAACTGTTGATGCCTTGTGCTGACAAAGGTTTCAGTGGATCAGATGGGTTCAAGAATAGATACTTTGGAAAAATCTATTGGTGATCTGTTGGTTCAAGCAAACGACGAGCAGAAACGGCCAGAGAGTAATTGATTATATATACGAAAAGAATACAAAATGCATATATAGATAAAATAAATGTACATGTTGATTCCCCATTTCAGCTTTCAATGCTTTTTCAGCTGATTTTGGCTTCTGGAGAGGATGTTTAGCTTGTTCTCCGTACCCAATGTTCGTAACACGGACGGAGAAAGGGATCCACGCCGCTCATGTTGAAGGCGGTAGATATCGTTTTCCGATCGGGAGGCTTCTATGCCAGATGTACTCATGACAGCAGTCACTGTCGACCTTCGCCGTTTACGTTTCTTCTTGACAGAGATCTTGGTTTCTACTGCTGGTCTGGCTGGACTGTGCTGTGGTGTCGTTTGCGGGGTTACGGGGTGGCTCGCCGATGGCGGCTCAGCGGGCTCGATTTGAACCTCTGGCAGCTGCGCGTTGGCAGGGATGGATACCGGATTTGATTCCTTTGATTCGTGCCGGTTCATAGGAAGGCTTGCCTTTGTCCATGCCAAGATGCTGCCTATTCTGGATACGGTCAACCCTAGAAAGAGGGCTCCCGCAACCATTATCGTTTGAAGCAACAGTGCCGTGACATCTACATGATCTGTCATTAGTA